AGTGGCGTCGTGGAAACAGTGTCCTCACGTGCAACCCGTGTCCCCACGTGCAACCTGTGTCCCCACGTGCAACCCGTGTCCCCACGTGCAACCCGTGTTCCCACGTGGAACCCGTGTCCCTACGTGCAACCCGTGTCCCCACGTGCAACCCGTGTTCCCACGTGCAACCCGTGTTCCCACGTGCAACCCGTGTCCCCACGTGCAACCCGTGTCCCCACGTGCAACCCGTGTCCCCACGTGCAACCCGTGTCCCCACGTGCAACCCGTGTCCCCACGTGCAACCCGTGTCCCCACGTGCAACCCGTGTCCCCACGTGCAACCCGTGTCCCCACGTGCAACCCGTGTCCCACGTGCAACCCGTGTTCCCACGTGGAACCTGTGTCCCCACGTGCAACCCGTGTCCTCACGTGCAACCCGTGTCCCCACGTGCAACCCGTGTCCCCACGTGCAACCCGCGTCCTCACCACGGCGCCCGCACAGCGCAGGTAGCCCACGTCTTCAGGCCCCAGGCAGCCCGTGTACACGCTGGCACCCGACACCAGCCAGAGCGCCACCTGCACACGCGAACAACCCAGGGCCACCGCTCGAAACGTCGCCCCATCACGGCGTGCATGGGCTAACGTCGGGATGTCATTTGAACCGTTGGACCAACATTCCGTATTTACTGGGGATGTACGCTTATAAAATAAAAACACTCATGTAGACTGAAGCATGTTTAAGAACCATTGCTACAGTCTACTTTACAGACTGCCAATACGCTCACCAGCTTAAAAAGCAGGCTACAGTCTACATTATAGACTGCCAGTACGCTCAATCAGTTTAATAACCATTGCTACAGTCTACATTATAGACTGCCAATACGCTCACCAGCTTAAAAAGCAGGCTACAGTCTACATTATAGACTGCCAGTACACTCACTCCGATTATAAACCAGGCTACAGTCTACATTAGTGGTTTTGTTTTTATTATTTTTATTCACTTAGTTTTTTTTCTACGTGACTTTACCGAAAGAACCAAAGAATATGCCATGATAAATGAATGCCCGAGCACACGTTTGTACGGTAAGGAGGCTGTGGGCAGGCGAAGCAACAGGAGTCAAAGTCAATTCCCCCTGCTCGACTGAGCATTGAGGTGCATTTGGTGCGTATCTCCTGTTCACAGCTCTGCAAAGTAAGTGGAGGGAATTCCACAGTCATATGGCGGGGTCGAGTCTGTCCCATAGGACATCCACTGTTTACTTCCCCACTACGCGATACTTATTTTAATTAATTCCGAAGGGATGATGGGCTGAGAAGAAGTTCAACATACATACAAGCAACGCAAAGTTTTACACTAATACATACACATACCTGTCAACCCCTTATCAGTGCCCTACCTTATTATAGACCAATTCAGATCTTATTGGTCACCCCGTGCTCTTATAAATCTCAACGTTCATCCTACAAAGTCCCATCACAAGGGAGAAACACAATCAAATAGAAAAAAAAATGTGTTTGCCCGAAATTGAAACGGCTATACGCCGAATGGACCTGAAAACTCAATTTCCCTGCACAAGAATACGGGGCAACTCGTCTGGGTTGACAGGGTAGGCATACAGTATATATACATAATGTATATATACTGTAAAGTGTACTGCAGGCAGTCGCGACTGATGTGGATTCTAATCGTGTTCTAGATGGGCTAGGACGCTGCGAATTGAACAAATCGTCGAATCGATGCGCAAAGCTCCATCAGAGCGCGTGAGGACGGGGGGGGGCGGTGGTCGATGTCAGTGGCGGGGCAGGTCCCAGGCGAGACGCGCGAGCAAGGAGATTGATCTCTCGTTACTGACAGCTCCACCATCGCCGCCAGGAGGAGGATGATGAGAAAGGTGCCTCCTCCTCCTCCTCGTGTCTCACTCACCCCGATCGCGATGTTCGTGGACGCCGCCACTGTCTGAGCGCACGAGGCCATCGGCCTGGCCGGGAGTCGTCCCTGAAGAGGGTCCCCCTCGCCGCGTCCCCTGGTCGCTATGTAGACCCCCTCGCCGCCTCTTCTCGCTCCTATAAAGGCCACCCTCACTCTATCCCCTGTTCGCTGTAAGGCCCCCTCCCTCCGTCTCCTGATCTCCGAGGTTCCCCCGGCTGGCACGAAGGTCCTCTCTCGCTCCGTCTGCTCGTCGCCTCCGATCTTCAGTGATCTCCTCGCTCCATCTCCTCGTCACTGTGCAGGTCACCCCCCCCGCCCCGTGCCCCCTGCCCACCTCACTGCCTCCTCCGATCTCTGAGGCTCCTTTGACTCCGACTCTCGCTCCGTGCCCGCCGCTCGCTATGAGGGTGCCCCCCGGCTGTGCCGCGGTGACCCCAGGACTCCCCGTGCCCCCCCCCCTCTATTACCCCCCCACCCGCCCCTCTTACCCCGTGCCCCCCCCCTCTATTACCCCCCCACCCGCCCCTCTTACCCCGTGCCCCCCCTCTATTACCCCCCCCTATTTGCCCCCCCACCCGCCCCTCTTACCCCGTGCCCCCCCCTATTACCCCCCACCCGCCCCTCTTACCCCGTGCCCCCCCCCCTATTGCCCCCCCTATTGCCCCCCCCCCCCCTCTTACCCCGTGCCCCCCCCCTATTACCCCCCACCCGCCCCTCTTACCCCGTGCCCCCCCCCTATTGCCCCCCCCTATTGCCCCCCCACCCGCCCCTTTTACCCGTGCCCCCCCCCTATTACCCCCCCACCCGCCCCTCTTACCCCCGTGCCCCCCCCTATTACCCCCCCACCCGCCCCTCTTACCCCGTGCCCCCCCCCTCTTTACCCCCCACCCGCCCCTCTTACCCCGTGCCCCCCCCCTCTATTACCCCCCCCCTATTGCCCCCCCACCCGCCCCTCTTACCCCGTGCCCCCCCCCTATTACCCCCCACCCGCCCCTCTTACCCCGTGCCCCCCCCCTATTGCCCCCCCCTATTGCCCCCCCACCCGCCCCTCTTACCCCGTGCCCCCCCCCTATTACCCCCCACCCGCCCCTCTTACCCCGTGCCCCCCCCCTATTGCCCCCCCCTATTGCCCCCCCACCCGCCCCTTTTACCCCGTGCCCCCCCCCCCTATTACCCCCCACCCGCCCCTCTTACCCCGTGCCCCCCCCCCCGCCCTCTTGCTCGTCTCCCTCCGTGGCGCCACAAAGGCGCGAGTGCTGCTGGAGCCGAGAGCCGTTTCCATGGCTCGGACCGGCTTGGCTCGAATACTGATGAGGGCGGCTTGGCCACAGCCGGGGTGGGGGGGGGGGTCCCTGCCAGGGCCCCCTCGCTCAGGTCCCCTCGTCAGGTCCCCTCGTCAGAGGTCCCAGCTCTCGCCAGGTCCCCTCGCCACGGTGTGCCCCTTACATCTCCTTGCTGAACCCCTCTCGTCACGTCACCTTGATAGTCGACCCCCCTCTGGAGCATGATGTTGTTGTTGCTGCTGCTGCTGCTCGCTCCGTCACGCGAGCTCGTTCCTACTCCCCTTGCCCATCCACTGCTGGATGAAGGGCTCCTCAAGCTCGGTGGGTCACGGGGAGGTTGTTTGGCCATACTTCACCACGCCGGCCTGTTCTTGTTGGCAAAGGTGGCGGGGGAGGGGTGGAGGGGGTGGGGTTAGGGGTAGAGCCCAGGACCGCCTCAGATATCAATCGCCGTGGATTTTAGGGAATAGAACTCGGATCGCTGGGTTCGCAGCGCAGCGCGGTTACCGGAGCGCCACCGCTCCTAACCCGCACACGAAGCACCACGAGGTCAGTCGGACCAGTGAATGCGGGTGGCATTCACTGGTCCGACTGACCCCCTCCCATCTCTCCTCTCTCCAATTACCCCCCCATACCCCTGCCCCAAAAAACCCGTCAACTTTTTCGTCTGCTCTGAAAGAAATGGCCCTTCCTCGCAGCGCGTTACTCGAGAGGCCAGGAGCAGAGGCACAGAGTGGAGATTAAGAGTTGGAGGCTCTGATGAGAATTACATCTAAAATGTAAACTTTCTTTCCGATTACCACTTGTTGTTTTAATAGGCAAGTGCATAGCGACACTAACAGTGGCTATTGAGTAACGGACAAAGCCCCTTCAATAAAATCACACAAGTGTTACCGATAAATGATACACGAATTCAAAGTAAAACATTATAATTGGCATCGGTCCCTTGAATGAATTCCCTCTCGGGCCGAGCGAACGCTTTGCAAGTCCCCCCCCCCCCACCCCCTTGTCCCCCACCAGCCCCGCCCGAGGGGAGGGGTCAAACATCGTCCAAAATCGCGTGACGTCATTTATGGACGGCCCCTAAGGCCTTCCCCCAACCTGCAGGCGATGTTCGAAAATATGTAAAGGGACCAGGTGCGAATCGGAATAGGTGTGAACCGACATTGCTGAAGGTTTCGGGCGCTTGTGGTAATATAGCGCTGGGATCACCTGTACCGGTGATATTCTTTTATGCAGGTGTCAATCTGCACAGGTGGGAAACTACATGACTGGCCGTATGAAATGAAGTCGTGGGTCATATTAATTTAAGTTTTTTTTCAGTTTCATTTATTTGGTATAGCCCTGTGAGCCATTCGGCTCTTGAAAAGTGGTCGGACTAAAGTTGACCCAACGTTCGATCATGATTACTGGGTACGTCCTCAATTGCAATGAACATGAGCCATCACCGCCTCCTACAGGACACACGTGGCAGGGCCTCCCCTGAAGAAATAGAGTCACGAGAAAAAAATAAGAATAAGTTTGACCCTTTCTGGCAATAAACCCTATTGTTATTTTTTTATACTTTAATACTGGCAAAACCAGTCACGAGACTCGGCGAGGCCTTCCCTACGTCACTTTACCGAAAAACCTAAGAGTATAAGTAACAATGTGCTCGAGCCACACGAATCGGATTGACACGGAGCGGAGTGGCTGCCCGCTTAACCACCCCACGTGACGGCCCCGGCTGTGACGTCACGTGGGCAAGATGGCCGCGCCCAGCTCCCCGCACGGCGAGTGGAGCGGAGTTTATGGAGTCGTGTGTTGTTGTTGTTGCCGTGTGTTGTTGTTGTCGTGGTTGTTGTTGTTTGAGTCGTACTGGGCGACTCTTCGTGGCTGTAACTACTCGTAGAGGGCGCGTGTTTCGTCTGTGGTCGCGCTGCGCCGCGGTTTGAGCTCCCAGCCCAGCGGCCCGCCATGGGTGGCTCTGAGCCGCGGGTGATGCGTGCGTGTTCCCGCCTATTCTGCCCCCCCATCCCCTCTACATCACCGTGTTCCCGCATCCCCTCGATCACCCATATCCTTGTGTACCCCCAACCCGCGTGTCGCTGTGTCCCTCTACCCCGTATCATGCCCCGTGACCCCTCTCTACCCAAGTATCGTTACAGACCTCTACCCCCCACACTCTACCTCCGTGTTCCTGTATCACCTGCAGTCTCTATAATCCTTCTACCCCCTCCTCTCTCTCTGCTCCTCCGCCACAGGCGCCGGGGGGCTGAGCCCCGAGGCGCGGGTGGCCCGCATCGCGCAGGACATGGCCCAGCGGCGGGAGGCGCAGGGCCGCGGCGTCCGCCTCGCCTGGGGCCTCCTGCACCTCTCGCTGGCCGCCATCGCCTGCCTCGACCTGTGAGTGGGGTCGCGTCGGGTCGCGTGGGACCACGTCGGGTCATAATGGCCTGGGGAGGGAATCGTGGTGGAGGTCTTAAGCCAGGTTCCCAGCTGAGCGATACGTTGAGCAACCACATCGCTTTGGATCGGGTGAGGTGAGGGGGGGTGAGCACCTGCCGCTTTGTCGGCATATGCGCGTGTAGCAGCACAACAATGAAAGCGTTCAATCTTGATTTGAATCTTTCGTTACTGCAGGAATCCATACTCTTTGGTTCTTTCGGTAACGTCACGTAGGTATAAAATAAATCACGTTTCGGGCGCAACACAAGCGTCCGCCATCAGGTGGGAAAGCATCTTGCTTTGCCACCTAATGAAAGAGCGTATTTGACAAAAGCATTTGAATCAAATTATCTTAATTTGTGATAATTTATGGTATCACAGTGAGGAGGGCAAATCATTCCAGCTGTGGCTGTTTTTTTTGTCTCTTTTCAGATCAAGCAAAATGTTTGCTCAGTACTTTGGGGTGAACTACTTCATGGTCTACTATCTGGGTGAGTACAGGTCGTGAATTTATCCACGAGTCTCTCTACTGCTCATGCGGTGATTTCTCTGCCTCTTGGTGTGATCCCAAGCCTGCACCTCCACGCTTCTAAGCACACCACTCAACTTTTCATATTTTGTTCCACTTTATTTTGCGAGTGTCCCACGTTTCTGAGAACGTAGCGCGAGTCAGAGACATCGCATTGACGTAAGAAAAGCGGGCTCAGGCAGGACACGCCCGCTGTAAGGGGCGACGACCTGTGGTCGAGGAAATGCACCCGAGAGGACATCCACCGTTGAGATGGAGTGATTATATCGGCTCCTGTGCACAAGTGGAGGTGGATTGTTACATCGCAGGGTTGTGAGAGAAGGCGACGGCTTGGGGTGGTCTTCATCCAGTAGTAGATCGATCATGGCTGATACCGATCATGGCTGTTACTGATCATGACTTCATGAGTATGTGTGCGAGCGAGTGGGTGAGTGGATAGGAGGGTGGCCAAGAGGTGAGTGTGCGGACTAGCGGGTGAGTGAAGTGGATGACTGAGTAGGCGTTTGAAAAGTGGGGGAGTGGGTGCACCGAGTCGCGTGTGACGTGATTTGTACCCCCCGCAGAGTCGGCGCTGGCAGTGCTGTGCAGCGTGAGCTCGCTATTCAACCTGTGGAGGTACTGCCGCTGCTCGCTCCCTCAGCCTCCTGCCGCCCCCGGAACCTCCCCGCAGCGTGCAGGTATAGCCATGATCAACCCAACGCGCGTACACTTTTAATCATCAATATGGAGTGAACACGGATAGGTAGGTCTAAGCTCATCTTCATAGTGATCGTTTTGCCATCAAGATCGTGACCGGGTGTCTCAGAAGTCGGGGCACCGAGCAGGCACTGCTGAGATCCTAGTGCCGATTCTTGTCAGTTGTCTGTAATTAAACTGGGTTCTCTCATGTGTTCACTTGGTGGTCTCGCCCGGTCACCAATGGCTGCACGAGAAAACCCATCGCATTAAATTTGGGTCTGCACTTAATTTGGATAAATTTCACTTCCGTGGACCACCCTGTAACACGAAGGGTCACGCTGATGTGCGAGAGATCCGAATGGACTCTCGGTCTCATGACGAAACACTGACAATACAATTTTGGAAAACGCTAGATGAGTTCCTGGTGCATTGTGTAAACAGCACAGGGGAGACAAAGGCAGATGGCCATGGTTTTGACCACACTGCTGTCTCATAGGTCATACCACCCTTCATAGGTGCTCGCTGACAGCTCTTGTCTCTCACGTTAGTCTATGCAAGCTACACGGGAGCTTTGCCTTGGTCTTTGAGGGAGTGTCACGAGGCCCTTTAATGTCCGTGTGTGTGTGTTGCTCCCGCAGCGTTGCTGAGCGGCGTGTCTCCCAGGCGAGCGGACGCGACCCCCGTGAGCTCCCCGCCACCCCCCGCCCTGCAGGGTCAGAGCGTGCTGAGCTACAGCCCAGGGCGTGCCTTCACCCCCAGCCCCCGATTCTCCCCGGCGAGCCCCCTAGGGGGCTCAGGGTTCCACTCTTCCCTCGCCTCGTCATCTGTCTCCTCGGCCATGAGCAGCTCGGCTGCCTCCCCTGTGCCCCCCTACTCCTACTCACACCTGAGCTACGGACAGGTGCACACGAGTGATGCCACACACACACACGTGTGCATGTCCGTCAGCTCAATACAACAAACGTGTGTTTTGTCTTTTTGTCCAGTTATATTATGATTGTGATAGCAGTGTCGTATCATGAGATGAATAATCCAATCTCAGCAGAGCTCCAAAGCTAAGCTGGGATTGGAGGCTGGTTAGTACTTATTATGGGAGGCTACCTGGGAATTCCAGGTGTTGTCGGCTTGCGATGTGATTTGAGTGTTGCCAGCCCTCCACTGCAATCAGACAAACAAATGCCATACAGCAAGACCCTTCTGAAAAAGAGTCTTGAGACTTTGGATTTTCTGTGTAAAATAAAGGGTATTATTACTTTTCTCAATGCCACAGGGCATTGCTTGCCGTTTGTGTGGGTCATCAAACCTCGCCTTCGCCCGTCTTCACACAGGGCAGCCCCGGCTCCCCGGCCAGACCGATGGGCGCTACGTCTCCCCTCGACGGCTCGCTGGACTCTTCGGGCCTCCGGCTGCGCTACCGCACGTCCCCCGCTGGGCCGGCAGCGGTGCTGGGCCCCGAGGAGCTGATCACGGACCAGAAGACGCTGCACAGCTTCATGCAGGGCGAGGAGGAGCTGCAGCGGAGGCGTCAGCTGGGTGCGTGGGCTGCTCCGTGGGGCGGTGTCGCACTTGGGGTCAATAATAATTAGAGTTAGAGCGGCGGCGGCGTTGTTGGTTACTTTTCCTTTTAAATTGAACCAATATGTGGGCCTGTCACATAACGTTGTGTCCCGTGCTCGAACCGTCAACATGAGCTAAACCGGTTATGGAAAACAGGGGGTAGAGGGATGGGGAGCAGGCCTACTGCCCCAAATAAGCCGGCGTGCCACTGGATGAGGTAAGATAAGTATTTAAGGAAGGAAGAGGGGGTGGCAAGGGAAGGAAAGGGTGTAACTAAAACGAGCCTAAAATCAAAGAAACACATGAGGCTGCTAAAGAGCTATCATTTTTTACCTACACCTCTCCAAGTCCGTCTCTCGTCTAATCCATATGGGTTGTACCCCTCATCATCGGTTCCTGTCTTTACGACCCCCCATTGTGGTTACTTTTTAAATGACGATTGCTGAGCATAGGCCCAAACCGCCAAACCGCCCCGCCAGTCAGGAACAAACAGCACTCCTGACATGTTGATGTCTCTCGTGCCGGTGCTTGTTCAGTTGAGTTTAAATGAGTTTGTTTTTAACGTGGTGAGAATTGCAGCAACTAATAAAATAGGCATTGGTGCAAAAAGGACGCTGTCACGTCAGAAACGGAAAATCCTCGTGTTGGGTGGCTAGGCATGGCCGAGTGGAGCGTGCCCGCGGGAGGAGCCGGTGCCTGGGCCTACAGCCAGTCCCCCGCTGAGTGCGCCCAGAGCCTGCGCAAGTACGCCTACCAGCCGGCCTGCCGCTGCATGCAGCCGTCCGCACACAGCACCGACGAGGCGGACGCCGGCGCCGCCACCGCCGCCGACGAGGTAGCTCCAAACACCTGGCACCGGTCGCTGGCTCAATCGCTGGCGAGCTGTCAGAGCCTGGCCACTCGGCAGCGTCGTCAGTTCCTGCAGAGGGGACACGAGTCTTCTTTCGTATGGCTGCTGATGTAGATGCAGAGCAACAACTACAATTTCACATTCAGGTGGTCAAGCCAGATAATCACGTCATGAGCAGTGGAGTGTATCGCCGCTGTGATGTCTCCTTCGTATTTGTGGGTCTGGCTTTGTGCCGTTCCATGTTGTATACTTCCCTTCTACGTGACTTTACCGAAAGAACCAAGAAGATGAATCCCTGCAGTCACGAAAGCTTTAAATAAAAATTTATTCTGGAGTCGTTGGAAGCTTATATTTGCAATGCCGCTATTATAATAACAAATTAAACCTACGAGGCTGATTTGTTTTTGAAGTAGGTGTATTTTTTTCTTAAATTTCTTACACGGCTAGGGTGGAGGGGGAGGTGTGACGTCACTGCAATGCACGAACCAGGTTCAACGCTGTGGGTTGCAGGTGACGTCACCACCACGCAGATGTGCATAGCGATGTCACCACCGCACAGTTGCTCCCCCCCCCCACCAGCGTGCCAGCCAGTCAAACTTTTTTATAACATGGTATGACAATTAAAAAAAAAACTTCAATATTATCCGATTGTGCTTTTGGCGTCACGTCATGGAACAAAGTGTTAAATCGGATCTCTCGCAGAGCGGCCCTTAGTGTTGGAGAGAATTCCCCTTTGAAGGAGATACCCCAACTTTCTGAGACCCTTCCTTGTGAACTGTGGTCCATGGTGGCAGCACTTTCCCACCTGCTCTGCCACCGAGACTAACGTTCATCGCATGACAGTTAAATTGATGTTTTGAATTTTCAGAACTGAACTTTAGCCTCGTTAAGCACAGAACCATAATTAATGTTTTATTATTTGTGCAGTCATTGGTAACTGGGATGAGACCATCAACTCACTGCACTGGAGAACTCTTGTTTAATCGCAGGTGGCTCCTTGAATTTCAACCCAGGATTTCAGTGGTGCCAGCTCGGCCTTCGGAACAGAGCCACCAGGCCACCACCCTTTCCTGAATTATTTTGGACTTCACGCTCACTATGAACCCATCATGGACACCCGAGGTGGGCTGGGCGTGCCGTGCATTGCATGGCTCTGACATCGTTCTCGTGCGTCGCCGCGTGATGGTGCAGGTGTGGGCCAAGGTGGGCACGAGCCGGCAGCAGCTGGAGAACCTCGACTCGTGGGTCGCCAGTCTCCGCAACGTGAGTGCGGCGGGCATGCAGTGCGCTCATGGAACCGGTGCCCGTTACTCTGTCTTCAATGCCGGGTTAACTCGGGGGTGCGGTACTTGGGGATAAAATCACAGTTGTACGTGTGTGTGTGTATACATGTTGAACCTCTTTTGCACCAAACGTAGCCAACCAAGCTGATAGACTCTGTTAAGACACAATCCAATGCAACTCATTGGTCCGTGGTACTCCTCTGGCGCTGCCCATCTTGTAACGTTTCTGTGCAGCGTGCAGATGCAGATAACCACAAAGCAGCATTGATTTGCATACTTTTGAGCTTCGCGAGTGGGATTTAAAAAAAGCGACTTTTTTATTTGTTCGCCACGAAAAAGTCCACGTTACGTGCGGTGCACTGTATTCCTGCCCCCATCTCTTGCGAGGACAAAATTGTGCTCGCCCGGCTGCTGCTTCTTGCTCGGCAGGGGGTGTGTGACGATCGACGTGCGCTCTCTTGTGTCGCGGTGCGAGGGTGCAGTGGATCAGCGAGACGATCCTGGTGCCCCTGGTCAAGGAGGTGGGGACCGTGAATCGGCATCTGCGTCGGCTGGGCTGCCCGGAGCTGCAGGTTGGCGGTAAGGTCGCACGCCCACGGGTGCCGCGGGCGTCGGAACGTGACGCGTTCCACAGGGAACGTCATTCACAGGCATCGTGGTTAGAATTTGAAACATTTCCCGCCAATCACTCATTTGCTGTGGAAACTTGACAGGAACCTCCTGAAAGTGTCGCGAGATTAGGCGAGGCTTTCCTGGGTTAACGAGCACAAGCATAATAATAATACACATGCCCGTGTGTAGAGCTGCCACGATACGGTGTCACCGTGGTTTATTTTACGACGCAAGTTTCCACAATAGTGCTGTATTGTCAATTTTTTTATATTGTTGTTGCTTAATGCTTATTTTTTTAAATTTCTGTTATAAAAAAAAATAAAGCTTTTTTATTTATTTAAAAATATAAAGCTGTAAGTGAAGAGCTTCTGTCCATTAAACTGGTGGTGTGCCAAAGTCACATTTTTAGCGCATTTAATTGTTTTTATAATTTCTTGCGTGGGTCGTAATCGTTATAAATCGCAATGTTGCAATAATTGGAAGACTCGTGGCAGGCCCATGTGGAGCGAACAGCAGTTGAGGAGCTCGTAAACAATTGCTCTTCCTATTGGAAGTGCAGCAAAGCACAAACACAACAAACAGGGTCACAGAGTTACAGGAAATAGATTTCACGACGGTCATCTAATTGTGTAAACTTATGTCGTATCCTATCACTCGCGTGGGTGTCGGTGCCACACGTGCCCGTGGGTGTGAACGATGCACAGGTGCGTCATCTCACCTGTGGGCACGACCGTGTCACACACGTGCCCGAGGGTGTGTGAGCGATGCACAGGTGCGTCATCCCACCTGTGTGGGTGTCCCACGTGTGCCCCAGGGTGCGCGTGTAACACGGGTACGTCACCCCAGCCGTGCGTCTCTCTGGCAGAATCCAGCGTGCCCAGCTTGCGCCAGGCGGTGCTCCTCAAGGCGGCTGCCATCCCTACCCTCCCGCGCGTGCTGCTCTACCTGGACGTGACGGCCAACCAGGAGTATCTGTGGGAGAGGATTAAAGGTGCTGCCTGCCCCCGTCCCGTTTTTTTTTCTAGCGTGGCTTCCCGATGTTAATTTAGTCTCAATAATAATGACGTCTGTAGCACTTGGCATAACATGGCAAGTCTGTTCACGGGTGCTGGACATACCACAAAAACAATGAACAGGAGTCAGGCAAAAGGCTTATTCTAGTTGATGGCAACCTGTGGAAGTTTGGTCAAGTATTAAGACTGCAGATCTCATTTCGTTATTCTCTGACCAGTGTGATTTCAGTATCGTTAAACAATCTCCATGATCAACAATGTGTGGGGAGGCATTCATCCAGCAGTGGATTGACAAAGGGCTGTAAAATAATCGTAACTGCAACACTCAAAGAAACTGATTACCTCTTTACCGTAAACTCTACCATGGACCCAGCCGTACGTTAGTTAGTCCCTCGGTCTAAACATCACCTGTGACTGCTGCACAGGTCCGCGTGCGTACGTGTTGACAACTTGACGTTTATCTCCACTGCAAAACCGGCTTTCCCTAAAAGGGCTTGCACGTGAGATGATCACACACCTCACCAACACCCCCCCCCCCCGCAATTGCAAATGAAGGCACGTAGCTGTCCATGGTGGCAAAAGCACCGAGTGTTGGTTGTTTGTGAGACTTGCGACGCATCTCGCGTGTTGTGGGTCTCGGCAGGCAAAGCACGTTTTGCAGTTGACCTCTCGGCAGCACGAAAGATCCTGACGGCTTTCGACTTGACGTTCGTCGTTTTTTGACACAGACCTGGCCGATGGCGGTTGCATGAGCGCGTTCCGCTGGAACGGCGGCGGAGACTACCGCGGGCGCAAGTGGGACGCGGACCTGCCCACCGACGCGATGGTGAGCACAGAGCACGCACGGCCCATGTCCACACGACGCCGTTGGGGGATGGGAGACCCTCCGTGCACTGCTGACACTTGTGTGGGGAGGCCTTGATCCAGCGGTGGCTGTATGCTGTTGTGTCGTGTGTCTGCATCAGATGGTGATGCACATGTTGTGCACTTACCTCGACTCGAGGCTGCCTCCAAACCCTCGCTATCCGGACGGGAAAACCTTTACCTCCCAGCACTTCCAGCGCAGCCCCAACAAGCCAGGTGACTCAACCCCCCAGCCGACCCGAGTTCAATTCCCGATGACGGCTGACATCGGTGGACAGCAACACCTGAACCGGTCGTAGGCCCCCAACCTGACCTTACAGACCCACAGTGAGCAGCATTGAGGAGTACGGTCACACAACCCCATAGCTAACACTGGGTACGTCTTCATCAAAAAGTGTATTGACGACCAAGCGCTGTAAATGATTGTTATAGTACACTACAGTTGTTCACTGCGATATGGTCAATAGGTGTGGTCGGCGTTTCCACCGTCGTACGTTGGGCTTTTTATAAATGAACCTTATGGCGGGGCCCTGAGGTCCCATAAAGCCACCTGGCTTCGCATAAACTGCGTTGCGACGTCATTTTATGTCTGTTAAAAGCGAACGATATGGCAATATATTCCTCTCGACGAGCACTACACGTTACGCTAATCAAAGTTTTGTTTCTTCTGCGCATTCGTCCTCGCTGCGCTTGGACGACATGACAACAATGATCCGCGCCAGGTGGGTCGTGGCGTTTGTGCGCGGTGGGACGGAGTCGCCAAAAAGAATTTAATTAAATACGATTTTTACTTCCGTTTATTTGGGACCCCGGGGTCCCACCACAAGGTTCAAATGCCCACTTGTGGATGTCGTGGACGTCTCTGCCGCGGGACGTTCAAATTCAAGTTGAATTTGAACGCCGGAGTGACGCAGCTGCGAGCGCTTCTCCCGAGTCGCCACGACGCTCGCGTGACTCCCTGTTGCGACTTCCTCTTTTCCATCAGATGCCAGCAGCCAGCAGGGGCTGTACATTCACCAGATCAGCACCAATCCAGCAAACTACCAGCTGGTGTACCACGGCACGGCGCTCGAGCTGCCCAAGGTAACAGTGGTGCTCCACTGTGTGACATCATAACATCTGACACCGTGGCGTTGGAACGGCATGTGACGTCACGTGGCCCCGTCAGAAAATAAAGAACCCCGATCTGCGCTCACGTTCCTCACCTGCACCCCATCTCCTTCACCAGTTCCTTGTCAACAAAATTCACAAGGTGGCGGCGATGTTGGGGCTCAGCAATTGTTTCTCTTCTTTCAGGGACGGAATAACCTGTTTCACACCATCCTGATGTTTTTGTACATCGTCAAGACAAAGGAATCAGGGATGCTTGGGTATGTATTCTTGTTCTTTATTGGTACAGGTAGTGTTGCAGTTAGCAAGCTACGCTATGAACCCGGCGACTCGGGTCTGATTCCCACTCATGGTCAACAGTAGTGACGATTATCTAGGCCTCCCCGAGGTTGACTCAGCTTCAAATGAGTACCTGGTGCAGTGTGTAAACATCGCCACTCGGGAGACAAAGGCGGCCTGGTGTGGTGCTGGCCACCCCCCTCGTGTGCCGTGGTGCCCTTCACAGGTGTTCGCTAACAGCACTTGCCCCAACAGTCTGTTAAGGTTACACGGGGGATCTTTGTCTTTTTTGGTACAGGTCAATGGTGGTAGTGTCCATTCCAATGTGAATTTATCTGGGATCTAACTGTGGCTAATAGTGTCATGTATTAGATGATCGTTCCTAATGCAAATGCTACTCATTGCTACAGAAGGGCCAGAACTCTAAAATTGGGTATAAATATTGTTGAGTCGATGCCTACAATCCTAATAGCAACAAACTACTGAACCTGGGTAACAGTCGAAAGGTGAATTGGATTCACTTACGGCCATCCTAAAGTTTTAGGTTCTTTTAAGGCTTACTTCAAACACTTACAATTCACGATCATCATCACGACTTAATTTGCCTGCAAGTGAAGTGTGCTAAAGGTGATTAGAGATTTTGGAAACACTCGCAGGGCAGGTACAGAATTTCTGAAGACCGCGTCTTGTGCATTGCTAACCGCTGCCCCCCCCCCCCCCCCTTTGTCTCCACAGACGGGCGAACCTGGGCATGTCTGGCGTCAACATCCTGTGGATATTCGGAGAGCAGTAGATACGCCCAGGTGCTGGTGGGCCTCTCCATTCAGAGCCATCTACTTGGTGGCTTGGACCTGTCTGACCAGGCTTTGCCCCCTTCCCTCCATCCGTCGTGCTGTAAGCCGCCACCCCTGCAGATTTATTTTACGACCACAAGAAACATGTGTTTCAGGTTTTTTTTTATATTGAAGCGGTCGTCGGGGTTTTTTTTTAAAAAGAATGTTAAACTTTAATAAATGTTCGTGGAAATGAGTTTGTAGTGGTGTGGTTGTTGGTGGTAGACCTACTCTTCTAAGCCATGTCTTCTCTTAAAAAAAAAATTCCCTCCATTGTGCCACTTGAAAACTCAGACAGCTGTGTGCAACCCTTCTCGTGAGAGAACAACCCACGCTTTCACAGAGCTACCTCCGAGATACCTTCAAGTGACCCCTGTGGCCGACCCCATGCACGTGAGGTAACAACGGGGCTTAAACGGCGATCCATGGCGTTTGTGAAGCACCGCTACACAACTGCATCTCAAGATTCTGTCGTGTAAACGTAATCGGTACACGCACTTGGGGAGTTACGATGCAGTCAGAAGAGGAGAGTGCAGTAAAATCTATTGTACTTTACTTTTGCCGACCGGCATGGATGCCATGAAGGGAGAAGGCTGATCCATATTTTTGGGTTGGGCTGCGTAGTGGTAGTTACATACACATTCTTGTCATTAACCCTCCACCACCCTACAAAACTATCACCTTCACAAACATTGCGGGCGATGCTGGCAGTAGCGTTATAACAACTTTGCAAATACGACAATCGCGTCGGGTGGTGGAGGTTTAACGACAATAATTGTGTAAAACTACCACTACGTGGCCCAACCTCAAAAACAAACCTGGACTCAAGCGATGGCTACCTGCGTTGTAAGTTGAGCGAGAAGGCCGATCGCCGCGCAGCTACGTCACGAAGCTGCCCAGGACGCTGGAGGCCGTCTCTCTGAGGCCGTCGTCTTCGTGGCGCGTGAGCCGGTAGACGCTGGCGCACACCTCGGTGCGCCCGTCCAACAGCAGCGCGCGCAGTGAGCCCGGCTCCGCACCGTCCTCACCCGTCGTCGCCGCGAGGTTCTTCAGCAGGAAGAGGACGCGGCTCGTGACCTCCACGCTCCCCACGGCCTCGAGCAGCCTCAGAAAGGAGCTCGCCACCTGTGGGGGGAGGAGGAAAGATTCATCATTACCACCAACACTGCCGCCCGTGGTTAAGATTGATCATTGTTGTGTAACGTTGCCAGCAAACGTGTGAAGTGCCGCCGGTTTGACGATGCCAACTGGCAGACATGCTCAAGTTACAAGTCCTCACCGGCAGGCTGAGAATTTCTGCTTTCATGTCGGCATTCCCAGACAGGTTCACAAACAGCTTCAGGGCTTGTAGCTGCAAGAGGCAGAGACGGTGGCAATGCACGACCCCTTCACATGTTTTTACTGCTGGAGCTGAAACAGCTGAGATGCACAAGGGCAATTTGTTTGGCAACTCTTACCAGTGACTTAAAAGGAAATGGTTGCCACAGTTTCCTATTGAATTAAATAGAATTAGTTGCCCAAATCTGGACTAATCGAGTTGCTGCTTCATATTGTGGCCTGTTGTCTATACAATGTCCACAGGGTGGCGTTCATATTAAAAGGGATTGATTCCTCTGGGTGTTCACAACTTACAGAAACCTCAACACTATGGGGACCTCATTTGCCAGTAAAAATATAATTGGTTCTTTACCCTTCTATCTGGCAACAAAACTGACACCTTTTTGCAAGGAGTCATGTTTGCATAGACCGCAATACCTGCAGTCATAAATACAAACAAAAGACATAACTCTGATAATGTGCACTGTCCCTGAAGTTGATTGGTCCACACCCGAGACAGCTTTCCTTCGAGCCTAGTCTCATATGGGTTGGACCAGATGACGCCAAAAGGCGCACAACTCAAGGACAATGCACCATCAGAGTATGAGAGCTCGGGGCAAGCATCTACACTATGGGGACCTCATTTGCCAGTAAAAATATGATAATTGGTTCTTTACCCTTCTATCTGGCAACAAAACTGACACCTTTTTGCAAGGAGTCATGTTTGCATAGACCGCAATACCTGCAGTCATAAATACAAACAAAAGACATAACTCTGATAATGTGCACTGTCCCTGAAGTTGATTGGTCCACACCCGAGACAGCTTTCCTTCGAGCCTAGTCTCATATGGGTTGGACCAGATGACGCCAAAAGGCGCACAACTCAAGGACAATGCACCATCAGAGTATGAGAGCTCGGGGCAAGCATCTACACTATGGGGACCTCATTTGCCAGTAAAAATATGATAATTGGTTCTTTACCCTTCTATCTGGCAACAAAACTGACACCTTTTTGCAAGGAGTCATGTTTGCATAGACCGCAATACCTGCAGTCATAAATACAAACAAAAGACATAACTCTGATAATGTGCACTGTCCCTGAAGTTGATTGGTCCACACCCGAGACAGCTTTCCTTCGAGCCTAGTCTCATATGGGTTGGACCAGATGACGCCAAAAGGCGCACAACTCAAGGACAATGCACCATCAGAGTATGAGAGCTCGGGGCAAGCATCTACACTATGGGGACCTCATTTGCCAGTAAAAATATGATAATTGGTTCTTTACCCTTCTATCTGGCAACAAAACTGACACCTTTTTGCAAGGAGTCATGTTTGCATAGACCGCAATACCTGCAGTCATAAATACAAACAAAAGACATAACTCTGATAATGTGCACTGTCCCTGAAGTTGATTGGTCCACACCCGAGACAGCTTTCCTTCGAGCCTAGTCTCATATGGGGTCCCCATAGTGTAGATGCTTGCCCCGAGCTCTCATACTCTGATGGTGCATTGTCCTTGAGTTGTGCGCCTTTTGGCGTCATCTGGTCCAACCCATATGAGACTAGGCTCGAAGGAAAGCTGTCTCGGGTGTGGACCAATCAACTTCAGGGACAGTGCACATTATCAGAGTTATGTCTTTTGTTTGTATTTATGACTGCAGGTATTGCGGTCTATGCAAACATGACTCCTTGCAAAAAGGTGTCAGTTTTGTTGCCAGATAGAAGGGTAAAGAACCAATTATCATATTTTTACTGGCAAATGAGGTCCCCATAGTGTAGATGCTTGCCCCGAGCTCTCATACTCTGATGGTGCATTGTCCTTGAGTTGTGCGCCTTTTGGCGTCATCTGGTCCAACCCATATGAGACTAGGCTCGAAGGAAAGCTGTCTCGGGTGTGGACCAATCAACTTCAGGGACAGTGCACATTATCAGAGTTATGTCTTTTGTTTGTATTTATGACTGCAGGTATTGCGGTCTATGCAAACATGACTCCTTGCAAAAAGGTGTCAGTTTTGTTGCCAGATAGAAGGGTAAAGAACCAATTATCATATTTTTACTGGCAAATGAGGTCCCCATAGTGTAGATGCTTGCCCCGAGCTCTCATACTCTGATGGTGCATTGTCCTTGAGTTGTGCGCCTTTTGGCGTCATCTGGTCCAACCCATATGAGACTAGGCTCGAAGGAAAGCTGTCTCGGGTGTGGACCAATCAACTTCAGGGACAGTGCACATTATCAGAGTTATGTCTTTGTTTGTATTTATGACTGCAGGTATTGCGGTCTATGCAAACATGACTCCTTGCAAAAAGGTGTCAGTTTTGTTGCCAGATAGAAGGGTAAAGAACCAATTATCATATTTTTACTGGCAAATGAGGTCCCCATAGTGTAGATGCTTGCCCCGAGCTCTCATACTCTGATGGTGCATTGTCCTTGAGTTGTGCGCCTTTTGGCGTCATCTGGTCCAACCCATATGAGACTAGGCTCGAAGGAAAGCTGTCTCGGGTGTGGACCAATCAACTTCAGGGACAGTGCACATTATCAGAGTTATGTCTTTTGTTTGTATTTATGACTGCAGGTATTGCGGTCTATGCAAACATGACTCCTTGCAAAAAGGTGTCAGTTTTGTTGCCAGATAGAAGGGTAAAGAACCAATTATCTTACAGAAACCTTGTAAACAATCCCCCTCTCAGGGTAAATTCACACTTGGCTTCGTTGCATAAGCAATGATTTATAATCACCAACACTGTTACTTAAATTTTATCTTAAGATTCGTACACACTCGCATGTGTGGGGTCAGGTGACATCAGTGAGTGTGTGGTCAAAATGTGACATCAGCGACACCTGCGTGTTGTCGCTGTCGATTAGGGGCCACAGGTTGGGCAGCGTCCCCGCAAACTGGCCGTGGTACTGGTCCGTGACGGTCAGGTTGGTCAGGAGACGCAGGCCGGCCACCTGAACGTCGGGGTGAGCGTCGCTGCCGGCAATCGTTCGCACCACCTGAGGAATGTACTCCTGTGGAACACAACGGCGATGGAGACTGAAGTGCATGACCGTTCCTAACGCGTTACCACATTTTGGAGGGTCACCACAGTGGGGGGGGGGGGGGTCTCCACAATCCGCATCGCACATTGATGAGAAGTGTACCATGGGGGGAGAGGTGATGCAGGTGGTTCCTGCACTGCGCTCCGAACCAGGTGACCTGAGATCGATTCCTGGTCACAACTCATGTAGGTTGGGAGTGTGCATGGTTATATTCTATCCTAGGAGTACGTGGTTAGATCATATCCCAGGTGTGCTCGCATGTGCTGTCAGGGCCACACCTGCAGAACCTCCTGGTTGGCCATGTTCATGGCGAGGTTGTTCAGCGTGTTTAGCGCCTGCTCTCGCACGCCAGCGTCCTCGTTGGAGATGCAGCCCACGATCACGGGCAGGCCCCCGACCGCACGGATCTCCTCCTGGGATTGGGGACGGGGCAGTCAGGGTCGGGTCATGACCTGAGATGGGTACCTGGATTCGCGGTTTTCACGGCCTGTGCATCTAAGAATTTGGCATGTACACATGTCTGTTTACACATGAGCACAATAGTCACCTTATATTGACTACTATAATGAGCCAAGAATGTTTGTCCCGCATGTGACGTCACTCCACGTCGACCAGCCCCCCTCATTAATAATGTAGAAGAGGGGCTTGGGGTGTAGAAGAGGGAGTGGGTGGGGGGGGTCCTTCAATCTCTTCCCGGCGGCGAGGCCGACCCAGGCACCTGGGCGGCGGTGAAGGCTGCGCGGCCCGCGAGGGTGACGAGTACTCGCCGCCGCAGCGGCGCCGTGTCCGTGCCGGGGGGAGCCAGGAGCGCCCCCAGCAACGCGTGCAGCTCGCGGCTGGCGGCTGGCGGGGTGCTCGTGGAGGCGGCGGCAGCAGCAGCAGCAGCTGTGCGGCTCCGGTGCGGCCCATCGTCGCGCGTCTCCAGGCTGGCCGCAGTCCGCACGGGACGTGCTTCTTCTATCGACACGCGGGAGGGACGGGGGCATCGGGCGCGCTCGTGAGAACTCACGCCTCGTGCGTGAGATGCACGCGCGGCACTCGCCACGCGCAACGCCCGCGACGCCGCGAGCAGTGATGCCACCACTGCCAACGCAGCAGCCACTTCGCGAAATGCAAGCACGTTGTCTACCTTTGAAGAGACAACAACATACGCTTGACATGCTGCGACTCGTGTTGCTGTTGCATATACGAGCAGTCTCTTCATGGAAAGCCTGCAGAATGGTACCAGACTCAACTCTGCTTAGCTGACTTTGTAACTGATATTTGGGTCCGATCGCGTTAAGTAAAACGTGTCATAAACCCTCCTCCACCCGACACAGCCGATGTATGACGGCTACAGCGGCATGACCCCTTAACTTATTGCCTGTGTCGAGTGGCCGAGGAGGAGAATTTCTGACCCAACAAAATCAATTCCGAACCACGCTTCTCTCGCGAGAGGCGTGCTCAGTCTCCTGGGCTGCTTACCTGGGCCGGGCTGCGGCCGCTGCCTGCGCGAGCGGTACCAGCAGTAGACGGCGATGCCGGCCAGGCCCCCGGCCAGGGCCAGCCGGCCCACGGCGACCCCCCGCGACTCGGGGCCCATTGGAGCGCAGCAGCTCGTTCACTCTGCGAGCTCCAAGCTGCACCCCCCCCCTTCCCCACGTGGAACTCCGAGATCAACTTCCGGGCCGGGGGGTCACGTGCCCGGAAGTAGTTCCCTCACGTGGTCGCGGCGCGGGTCGGTCACGCGCGCTGTTTACATGCGTGACATCACGAGCCCCGCGGCCTCGCGAGGTAACGGGGAGACGCATCCACAACACCAACAACAACAACACTAGCAACAACAACACCACTAGCAACAACACTAACAATACTTACAACACTAGCAACAACAACACCACTAGCATCAACACCAACAACACTAACAACACCAACAACACCACTAGCAACAACAACACTAGCAACAACACCAACACCATTAGCATCAATACTAACAATACTTACAACAACACTAGCAACAACAACACCAACAACAACACCACTAGCATCAACACCAACAACACTAACAACACCAACAACACCAACACCACTAGCAACAACAACACTAGCAACAACACCAACACCACTAGCATCAATACTAACAACACCAACAACAACACTAGCAACAACAACACTAGCAACAACACCAACACCACTAGCATCAAAACGAACAACACCAACAACAACACTAGCAACAACACCACTAGCATCAATACTAACAACACCAACAACAACACTAGCAACAACAACACCAACAACAACACTAACAACACCAACAACACTAGTATCACTAACAATACTAACAACAACACCACTAACAACAACACTAACAACACCAACAACACTAGTATCACTAACAATACTAACAACACCACTAGCATCAATACTAACAACACCAACAACAACACTAGCAACAACAACACCAACAACAACACCAACACCAACAACACTAGTATCACTAACAATACTAACAACAACACCACTAACAACAACACTAACAATACCAGCAACAACACTACTAATAACAGCACTAAGATCATCACTAACACCGCTCACGCAGTCATTATTAACAGCAATACCATGACGAAAATCAACAATAAAAAACATCAACAAAACTAACAACATCAACACCACTAACACAACTGTAGGTTGTTGTGTCGCTGAGATAGATGCCTCCTTCGTATCTGAGACATTCTATCTCTTGTGTTGTTGTGCCCTGGGCTGTGTGGTTGTGCCCTGGGCTGTGTTGTTGTGCCCTGGGCTGTGTTGTGCCCTGGGCTGTGTTGTTGTGCCCTGGGCTGTGTTGTTGTGCCCTGGGCTGCGTTGTTGTGCCCTGGGCTGCGTTGTTGTGCCCTGGGCTGCGTGGTTGTGCCCTGGGCTGCGTTGTTGTGCCCTGGGCTGCGTTGTTGTGCCCTGGGCTGCGTGGTTGTGCCCTGGGCTGTGTTGTTGTGCCCTGGGCTGTGTTGTTGTGCCCTGGGCTGTGTTGTTGTGCCCTGGGCTGTGTTGTTGTGCCCTGGGCTGTGTTGTTGTGCCCTGGGCTGTGTTGTTGTGCCCTGGGCTGCGTTGTTGTGCCCTGGGCTGCGTTGTTGTGCCCTGGGCTGCGTTGTTGTGCCCTGGGCTGTGTTGTTGTGCCCTGGGCTGTGTTGTTGTGCCCTGGGCTGTTGTTGTGCTCTGGCTGTGTGGTTGTGCCCTGGGCTGCGTTGTTGTGCCCTGGGCTGCGTTGTTGTGCCCTGGGCTGTGTTGTTGTGCCCTGGGCTGTGTTGTTGTGCCCTGGGCTGCGTGGTTGTGCCCTGGGCTGCGTTGTTGTGCCCTGGGCTGCGTTGTTGTGCCCTGGGCTGTTGTTGTGCCCTGGGCTGTGTTGTTGTGTCCTGGGCTGTGTTGTTGTGCCCTGGGCTGTTGTTGTGCCCTGGGCTGTGTTGTTGTGCCCTGGGCTGTGTTGTTGTGCCCTGGGCTGTGTGGTTGTGCCCTGGGCTGTGTTGTTGTGCCCTGCCTGACTTGCCACTAAATCTGCACCTTGCTGTGCGGGACTGGGGCTGCCCGATTCGGTGATGCGATGGCAACAGCTGTGAGCGTGAGCAATCTGAATATTCATTCTGGAGGAATCCGATAAGCTATAAAGCTCTTTTTTTCACAGCCGCCCAGGAGTTGCTCTGTCGTCACGTAGCTGAGTTGTATGGCGTGCACACGTGTGTGTGGGTGCCCCTAGGGCACACGGAGTGAGTGCCACACGGGTGCCCCCCCGAGCCCGCCGCGGCATGGGCGGCGATGCTGCGAAGCGGCTGCACAGGCTGCGCTCGGGGCTGCGGGCGGCGCGATTCCACGGCAGCGGCAGAGATGCCGGGGTCGCCCTGCACGGCCTGGGCGACCACCTCCGCACCCTGGCCGCGGACCGCACGGGTGAGTCAAGGGCAGCTTGGTCACCTCCTCACCCTGGCAGGAGGTGATGAGGGATAGACCGCACACGTGGTCTTCCCATCCTGTCGGGAGACCACATGGGTGAGTCCTTGCACGACCTCCTCACCCTGGCAGGAGATGTCCACGCACAGTCAGTCTCCTTGGTGTCTCCTTGCCCACGGGTGAGTCTTAGCTCAAGGAGTGAAATATGGTGATGAGTCCAGACGTGACTGGACTGCATACTTCACCACGCCGGTTAGTGCGGGTTTGTGACGGTGGGGAGCATTAGACATTAAGCATAGCCATAACAAGCTCCAAAGTTAAGAACAGTGGTGTTGTTGCAATGCCATCTGCTGACAACGTAAGTTACACTGGGCATGTATCTTCATTACAGAACTCCGTACCAGAATAAACGCGTATTCTCTTACGTACATTAAATGTGCAAACACTTCACATATTGTTGTCGATGCTAAGCTTTAAGAATAATGGACACCTTATGTTGTAGGTTCCGTGATTATACCGTGTAGAGCGTGGCCGTGGTGCGTGTGCTTGCTCTGTGAACAGTGCCCAGTTTGCTACCAAAAGTTGAAGATCTCTGCGAGGACGTGCTTGACGCCCTGGAGACATTTAAAGGAGACGTGAACGTACAAGAGGTTGGTAATCGGACTCAAATATCACAGTGCAGTAACAATGCCGAGCTAACCATGTCACGTTCCACTCACATGACCTGGGAATTCTGTTGTTGGAAAGCATTACACTTTGTTTTTAATCTGCAGGTTTGTAATATTTCCTGGGTGCTTCCACAAATTAGGCAGCCTCACAGTAAACATATCTACATCCTCCTTATAACACATATGGGATTTCATTTTGAAGGTAGTTTTCTGTAGTTTTAGAAAACGTGGCTTTTTTAATGGAATAAGTAAATGGTTTTTAACGCATACAAGAAACTGAACGTACCATCGCCATCACCGATGCACCGTGGATGAAATAAGTCGGTTCGAGCATGCCCAACACAGTGGAATTTCATGAGCAGTTTTTCCTGATCAAGAGAGGTGGACAAGTTCTTTCTGAATTACAGTACAAGTGGTTGACATTCTTTGCCCGAGTAATAAAACCACCACCTTATACATTAATGATTACACACATCTTTAAACCGTCTGAAAAGTACGTCCAAAAACATGGTGCTGCCCTTCTAGGAATATGCCTGAACATTGTTGGTATTTTTCAGGGTTGGTAATTAACGAGTGGTGCTCTTGCTTCGTTAAGTGTTATTGTTATGTCTATGCTGGATGTGGTGGTGGTGTAAACCAGGGCTCTTCAGCTACGTTTTCCAGTGGACCAGGTACTAAAATGTGCACGTGTTGGCGTGCCACGTCACTTTATATAACGTCTGTACATGTGACCACTTATGCGTACCTCTGGTCTTCAGGTCTCTCATCTCTTGTTTATCTCCTTTTGAGCTCACTATTCTGTATCGGTATGTCCCAGGGAGCCATATCTCTCGGGGAATCACTTCAAGAGCCTTCTTGGGCTACATGTGGCCCACAGTTAAAGAACCCCGGTATAACTCTTGCCCTGTACTGTGTGCCATGTGCTGCCCAGGCTGGGTTGGCACTAATCTGCACCTTGCTGGGCGAGGTGGGGGCTACTGCTGGCTGCCATGCCCTCGCGGGGTCCGCTCTCTCCCGCCGCTGCTGGTGACTCATCAATACAGCCTCTGCGTTCGATTCCCGGCATACACACGAACATTCCTTCAATGTTACGGCTACAATGCCGACTGCACTCGTGCTCTTATGTGCGTTGTATCTGTGTGGCAATGCCCATGTTAACATGTTCTAGTGATATGGTAATGCTATAGATTTGGAGGTTGCTTGTTCTCCTCTGCCGCACTCTGCAGTTTGAAACTCCTTTCCTTCAGCCATCTCTGCTGTCAATTCCCTACCAATGTTCAAGTCCAGGCTCACTGACTGCCTCTTTCTCTGTATAGAATAAATATGCCCACTTGTTGCGAATGGCATCTTGCAATGCAGTCGTGTTTAGATGAACAATGTATCGCATTGTTTTTTTATAGAATAGCAAAAGTGGAGAAACCCTTTCTCCAGTATTTTTACCTTGGGAATTCATTTCGCGTGTTGCTCCTGTGCCTGATTTCTCGAGGCAATGCCTGCGAGTTCCCACAAGACTCAGTGTTGTGTGCAACAGGCTGGTGGTCAGGATCCTGGCGATACACGTGACTCACGTCTCCATCCAGTCCCTCGGGCTGAGAGCCATTGCGCTGCTGTGCACATCAGGTATGACGCGTACGCAGCTTTGTGAGAGGTCAGTAAGGTTGTGACCGTTGGATTGGTCCTTTCATCATGCCTTATCTGTCCTGTTGCTGCTGCTGTATAGAATAATGTTGCCACAACTTTGATTCATTTTGAGCTGGTGGTCCAAAACACAGTGCTGTATGCATTTGTTACGTGGTACAATTCAAGCCTAAATGTGTAATTAAAATTACAGGTGAGAGTGGAGCACGGCATATTGTGGGGATTCAATCCCGATACAGGGTGTATGGGGTGGACCACGTGTTTGAATGAGAGGGGGATGGTGAACTGGTACAGGAAGAGCAGGTGCTGGCTGTGAATGCCAGCTGATGAAGGGATTGATGAGCCTCATTCAGGTCGCCAATTCATCATTGGGGGCGTGGGCAGCATGCGCTGTGAGTTAAATAGTGAAGAAACCGGTGGGTTGATATTCATTTAGAACGGGTGCAGAAAAGCACTGCATTGTTGAATTCAGAACAGGTGCAGGGCTTAATTTTATCAGGAAAAATTAGCCAATTCCGGCCCAAATTTCATATATAAAGAAACCCACTCCCCCACAATTGAGATGCGGTTAGAGATCACAGCAGAAGCACACCAGCCACGAGCAGGGCTGCTCAACAAAGCTGTGCCCAACATCCAGGTAGCAGTGGAGAGGGGAGCGCTGGTCATGGAGAACAGCTAAGGTTGTGGTGGAAATGTTGCAGCCGCGCCCACAGAAGCCAAAAATGTGCTGTCCCTGTCTGACTCGTGCCTTTAACAGTCCGATACTGTCCTGCCGAGCGTGTGGTAGCTGGCGGAGAAGGGGCGGTCTGATTGCGGTGCTATGTATCCCAAAAAGTTAAATTGTGGTGAAGTAGCATAAAGCTACCTTGGTCAAATAAGCTGGAACCTAAATTGTGTATTGATCGTGAGGAGTGCCATCGACTAGAGCGCTGAGGTGGTGCGTAAGATTACCGAGCTCCCAGTGGGAATACTGTGGCGTAAGAAGGGGGGGTGTCTGATATTCAGTACCCTGAAGAACCGAGAGCAGAATGTGAAACCCAGCGTGACTCGCGCTACTTTGGCGGATGGTGGGAACGTCTCCATATCTGGAAGGATGGGCAAAACGGCTTTAATGGCCAACGGTGGTTAAGGTGGCCTTATCCGAGTGCGTGTATGGAAATGTGCTAGGGCATAGGTGTGTTTGTTACTACCTATAAGAGACTGCGTGACTTGCTGGTCAAAGTAGCACTACCGTGTGGAAGCGTGGAGCATGACTTGCCTCCAATTAAAGACGGTCAACCCTATGAACCTGAAAAGTTGCTCACGCTGTTTAACCCCACCCATACCACCTGGCTAACCAAAAAATATCACAGCGACACTAGGCTCGCTATTGCGCAGCATTATTCATGCAGCGTGGTGATGGCACGTGACAATGTCAGGCGTGATAGAAGGACCGATCCATTGGTCGCTTCCTTTTGTGTATTATTGTTCCTCTTATTTGTTTAAAGCCTGCATAAACTTTTCGGTCTTGGTGAGCTCACCATTTACAGAATAAATTAGAATTGTTTTAAGATTGTTTGCATTCGAGGGCAAAAATAAATGTGTACAGTGGCAGCTTTTGAGGTTTTACTCGTTTTTTAATAGACTTACGCTTACATTTGCCCCCCTTTGTCTCCGCAGTTGAAATTCAACAGGCCCTATTACACCAATCATTGGACGTGTTTTCTGTTGTTGTCACGGCCATGAAAAAACATCTGATGAGTGAAGAGATTCAGTTGTATGGATGCCAGGTGCTACATATTTTGCTCCGTCAAGGTAAGATACTTTTTTTCTGAATGGTTCACGGCGGTATTTGAAGTACACGCACATGTACAGCCGTTTTGTCAACCCACTGCTGGATGAGGTCTTCTCCACGCTGTTTGGGAGATGCGGCTTCTATTGCCATACTTCACCCTGCTGGTCAGTGCAGATTGGTGAATTCGTGAGCATAGGCCTTCATCCATTTGCGGATTTACAAAATAGGCATTATATAACAGAAAAATGTATTCGGACCCACGCGGTGCGGATGTCGCTCGGAGACACCGGTGCCTGTGCTTGGCATCCGCAGTGCCTGAGGAGGAGCTCGCCCAGTTTGTGGAGACCAAGGAGCACAGGGTCCTGGCCAGTGCTGCCTGGAGGTTTCCTGCTCAGCCCGAGGTCGTGTCTCACGCGCTCGCCGCCCTGCACACGCTCGCCTCTGTGGGTGCGTACCGGCCGCACTGCGCTTCGCACCGGGGCCGGCGCTAGCGGGGGGGGGGGGGGGGTCGGTGCTGGGGTGAACCCTGCACCGCCAAATGTTTCCTTTGGCCCAGCCAAGTTTGCTCTCATTGGTGGATCATCACTATTATGGTGGCCCACATACAACAGCTCTACTGACCCTTCCATCTGAGAGGAGCAGTAGCCAGGGCTATTTACACCCAGAACAGACCCCAACGGGCTGTGACACAAACATTTGTCTGTCAGTGAGCAAGGGGTGGGTAACCATATACGGCCCACAACTTCACTTAATTTGGCCCATAACTCAATGTAACAGAGCCGATGGTCACATGAGGCCTACCACTTTTAACAACAGCACAGCAACAGTGCAATAATCGTATACTTACATTGAAGCTCATATGCTTGTGCGAATGATAATGAATGCTGCTCTGTTGTACCGTGTGTGCTGTATGCGTGTGCAGAGGATAACTGTGAGGCCTTCATGTCAGGCTCCGAGCGTTGCTACAATCTGGCGGTGTCAGCCATGATGTCCCTGCCTGGCAGTGCAGCCGTGCAGGAGCGTGGCTGTGCGCTGCTGCTCCTGCTGTCCTCGTGTACGCTCATCTACACACACACGCATGTGTGCACATTTACAGGGCAGCAGTGTTGCCTAGCCCTGTTATGCAGTCCGAACTGTGCTGCGTGCAATTGAACAGCGCTGCACTGTGGGATTTTTGTGAGCAGCGAGTGTCTGTGCCCCCAGGTGGCTTTGGAGATATCCTGGTGCTGAACGGAGCCCATGGTGCCATCTTGCAGGCCCTGCGCTCCTGCCCAGAGAGCGGCGCTATCCAGGCGTCCGGGCTCGCCTGCCTCTCCCGGCTCGGTGCGCCCCCGCTCGCCACTCGCAATCCCCTGGCGCAACTTCCTCAACTCGCAATCCATTCGTGTGCCATCGTCTTCTTCTTCATCTTATGTTCTCTGCCCAAACGCGAGTTCAGGGCTCAAGTTCACTCCATCCCGTACGATGCCACTAGGGTTGCTAATTGTTATGTAATACCACCTTCTTTTCCACTCGCACCAGCTCATCACACTGTTTCTCATGTCCTTATAATACATCCAGATTCCAGCTTTTAATTGTTAAGTTCCTCTTTCCAAGCGCAGGTCCATGGCTCTCAAGTTCCCTCCATCCCATTGGACGTAGTTTCCCCTTACCTTAGTTTAACACCTAGGCTTTCACGACCAATATCTATAATACAGGTTTTTTTGGGTTAGATCGCGTAAATATATAAATGTGTCGTAAAACCCGACCCCACCCGACATCCAATTAGTAAGCGTTGTCACATAAACAGACTATGCCAATTCATTACTAGTAGAGCACACCGGTGTGTTGGAGAGCAAAGCCACAACATTTTCAATTTGAGTACGACGTTTCGCCAGAAATTACATCTAGCTTCATCAGGCAACAGCCAGATTTGTCCAGTGATTTTTCTCAGGTGACACGATCAACAGATGTAGTTTAACCTCATACCCAGAATGTCCAACTTATAAAGTCGACCAAAAATACATGCAAATGGCTGTGCGGCATGTTTTCAAACCATCGTCCACAGCAACTTTTTGGGCTGGTGTGGTGGCTGTGTTTTCTTCGTCTTCGTGTTTTGACACGTGACCCACCCAGCGGACGCCCTGGTGAAGCTGAGTGTCCGAGACGGGGAGGCGGAGAGGGGGAGGGATGGCGCTGAAGAGGAGAGCGTGCGGTGGAGCGTCCTCGTGGATGACGCTGCTTGCTGGCACTGGCTGGAGGAGGCCCATGCTGCCCTGGAGACGCACGGCGGAGACGCCGGCGTGCAGGCAAGGCCGCGCGCTACACATCCCAATCTCGGCACTGCCGTGCAGTAAACGCAGTGCCCGAGTCGGACGTTCCTTAACCCATGTGCACTCATTCGGGGCTCGCTAACAGCACTTGCCCAAACAGTCGGAGGGCTTTGAGCCGGGAGTGATGCCTTTCCCCCTCCTCTGTCACCTTTTCTATACACATTTTGACTTTCAACTTTCGTGACTGCAGGAATTAATATTCTTTGGTTCTTTCGGTAAAGTCACGTAGATAGAAAAACTAATCATATATAATAGAAAAGTATTTAAATTAAATTATTATTTATTTTTATTACTATTCGTTTATCTACGTGACTTTACCGAAAGAAACAAAGAATATATTTTCTATACACAGTTATATCAATTGGTTCTCACGTTGTAACTGGTCGTTACTGATAACACTGTGTAACACGTTTTTTGTTTTGTTCCTGGGTAGTAAGTGTTATTTTCTAATTGCTTATGCCTCAAAAGTACAGAAAATGGCGATTATTCACCACAAACTTTGCTTTTGTGACCAGGACAGTGATATTTTTTTAATTTACCTATTTTCAATGAGAAAGCGGGCGAATTTGTGTCTTTTCATTCACATAAAGTCAGAAAAAACAACATATGAATCAAAATGAACATGTATTAACACTAAAGTAATACAAAAATTACTACAGAAGATTTAGACACCAAGGCGCACTACCACAGGCGGGACTGGTCACAGCGGACCGAGTTCTCTGTGGTGAGGAGCAATCTCGAAAAACTATTCACTTCTAAATCTTTTGTAGTCATTTTTGTATTACTTTCGTATAAATACATGTTAATTTTGATTCATATGTAGTTTTTTTCTGACTTTATGTGAACGAAAAGACACAAATTCGCCCGTTTTCTCATTGAAAATAGGTACATTTCAAAATATCACTGTCCTGGTCGCAAAAGCAAAGTTTGTGGGGAATAATCGCCATTTTCTATACTTGTTAGGCATAAGCAATAGTGAAATAACACTTACTACCCAGGAACAAAAATTGTGTTACGTAGTGTAATTAAAGTGTTTGAATGTGGATGTGCATCCATTACAGGAGAGTGCTTGCATGGCTCTGGCTCAGCTCCTGTCCCTGCAGCCCAAGCTGCAGCTCTCCGTTGGAGATGGTCCAGGCCTGTAAGCCACCACTCTCTATAAGCAGTGCGTGCACTTAATACTGTGCTGGCCGGCACTGCCGTACGATTTGGTACGCTTCATCTTCCTGGCATCCCCACTCACGTGGGGTCTTCCTTCCTGCTCCTCTTTCTCCACTCATTCCTGTCCTGGGCCATCATCTCCACGTCCATTCCACAGTCCTTCATATCCTGAATCACCTCTCTCTCTCTCGGCCAACCTCTAAGTCTCTGCCCTCATGCTTCCATGTTCATCACCTTTCTTCTGACCTGTCCTAGCCATGTCGACGTTCTTTCTGCTTCTGTGAGAAGGCTAGGATGATTGCGCAGTTTAGTATTTAGCAATTCCATTCATAACATTATTTGGTGATGCTGCATTGGCAGTGGTACGTAAGCACAAATAACAGAAAAACCTCCACCCATTTGTCAATAACACTGTGGCCTTAAATGTAAACGTATACAATAGGCAAGGTTTGGGCAATGAGCCTTCTTCAGAGCACACGAAGAGAGAGAGGCCAGAGGAGAGTGGATAATAACGTTTGGAGACTGCACCTTATTAATGATTGTTGAGCCTGTGGAGGTAAACAGAAGAACCCAGAGAAAGTCCTTCTCGCAGCCCGATGTTTGTGTCGTGCAGGATTCCGGTGCACAGGGCAGTGGTGATGGCTGTGCTGCTGCACCCTCACTCCGCAGCTGTGCTGTGTGCCGCAACAGACGCCCTTCTCAGCATGGCTTCTGCGTGCAGTAAGGACAACGAAAAAGATCCCCCGTATAGCCTTTAACAGACTGTCGGGCAAGTGCTGCTAATGACGACCGGCACGGTATACAATGCGGTGGGTGGCCAGCACTATGCCAGGCTGCCTTTGTTTCCCCAATGGTGATGTTTACACACCGCACTAGGTACTCATTGGAGGCCGAATCGACCTAGGGGAGGCCCAGGGCCAATTCAGATTATCGTCACTGGTAGTAGCTGTGAGCGGTAATCAAACTTGTGTCACCAGGTTCATAACGCAGCATGCTAACTGCTGTGCCACCATTCCCCATGTTGGTAAGGACACACATTAACTCTAAAAAAATGTTATGTCCGTGACTACGGTGTTTAGAGAACACAGGTTTCACCACAATGAGCATACATCTTGTACTGTGCGGCACTGAAAGGGCGTTTATTAGGCGAGCATGGGAAAGGGAGTGGTGACTGAGAAGTGGAGTGTTGCTGTTGGTTACTGGCATGAGAGCGGAAGGAATGTTTAAGTGCTTGCAAGTGCAGTTACCCAGGAAAATAGCCTGTGTGCTAATCATGCAAAGTAATGCCAGTTGCTTACCTGTGAAAGCCTCATTGAGCTTTGAGACTCTCTCTCAGGAGGGTTCAGCATTTGAACGTTTGGCCATCCTCAAGACAATAACACAAATTTAAGCTTACTGCATAGGTTTTCCCAGTCGTGCTCTACAGCTCTCTGATGAATGGAATTGAATTCCTGGAGGAGCTCCCAGCACGCGGAGTGAGACGTCGGACGTTATGCCCAAAAATTCCGCGGCACAACCCGTTCGCGCGTAAGAGACGAAACAAAAGTTATTTTTAAACGTCGCCCGCGCGTGCGTTCCGTCACCCGTCTGTGTGTGGGTCTCAGCGGCCCAGGTGAAGTGCGCTCTGCTTGAGAAGCAGACGCTGACGGCGCTGCTGCAGGCCATGGAGGAGCACGGGAGCTGTGCGCGCATGCAGCGCGGCGCCTGTCTGTTGCTGGCGCTGCTGCTCGCCGGCCGGTAAGCGGGGACGGCCGCCCTCGGTGCTGCCGAGGAATGGGCCACTGGAGCTCTCGGAGCGATCGGTCGATTTAAGTCGGTCAGTTGATCGATTTGAGAATTGTAATCGACTGCACACACACCCACGCTGTTTCGGGTATTTCAGCGAGGTGCCCCTGGACGTGATGACGTTGGCGGTGAGTGCCATGGCGCTGGCCATGCGGAGGCACGCGGGCGAGGGAGAGGTGCAGCTCGCCGCCATGAACGCTGTGATTTCGCTTCTATCTCCAGGTGCCGCTTGTTCACACACGCATATGCACAAAAACAAAGATCCCCATGTAGCCTTTTACCGACTGTCGAGGCAAGTGCTGTTAGCGAGCCGGCACGGCACATGTGACGGTGCCGATTTCGATCCACGTGCTTAAGCCCCGAGCACGCGGAGTGAAACGCATCGGGAGAATTTCCTCGTTGGTCGTGTTCCAGTAGCCCGTGTGTTCTTGTGTGCGTGTGTGAAGGTGAGGAAGAGAAGGCTGCGGGATACCCCCCATCTCCCGTGCAGGAGGAGCCCCTGAGTGGCGAGATGCACCTCGCGATCGTTCGAAACCAGTGCTTGGTGGAAGGGCTTCCTCGCCTGGCTCTCAAGGCCATGAACAAGGTAGCAGACGGGTGAAAGAGTAGGTTGAGGTGATGGGGGAGAAGTATGTGGAGCACTGTTATGGTTAATGACTTTCTAAAGCTGCCAGACGCCCAGGATTGCCCGGGACAGTCCTGGTTCCGGAAAAGCTGTCCCGGTGTCACAAAGCATTTTTATAAATATCTGGATTTTGTCCCAATTTATGGCCTTGCACTCAATTCATGGTATGGGCATGGGTGGAGGCTGACTAGTGGGAAAGTAAGCAGGGCCAACACCAGAGGGGGGGGGGGGGAGGCTCTCGTCCACAAGTGGCTTGACGGAAAGGTTGTTCGTGCGCATGTTACAGTGCCCGTTGTGTTTGTGTGTGTGCAGTTCATCAGCGAGCTTGCGCTGCAGGAGGCCGGCCTGAGGGTGCTGGAGTGTCTGGCGGCAGGAGAGGGAGCGCCCGATTTGCTCCTGCAGCAGGGGGCCACAGACAGCACCCTGCACAGCATGCAGACCTACCCACTCGAGAGAGGTACTCATCCTCGTCGTCGTCATTCACGATTGATTCCACGCCTCCCGTGTGCGGTACTGCTGTCAACAGGCATGACTGTAATAAGCAAACGGCCAAGGTGGCCCAAGTGACTCCAGAGGTCAGGGTGCTGAGCTGGCACCACTGAGATTCTGAATTTGAATCCAGACAGCCGTCTGTGATTAAACTGAGTCGATGGTCCTCATCCCAGTTACCAATGACTGTGCAACAAAAACCATAATATCACTTTTGGTTCTGCACTCACTTTGGCGAAATTCCAGTACTGAGAATTAGAATATGGATTTTTGACGGTTGCGTAACACACACGACTGTCTGTAGCATCGCGAGTGGGAAGTGCTGCCCCCCACGGTGTGGACCAGAAGCCATGTGAAGGGATCTCGGAGGTAACTCTGTGGTATTTGCTTCCGAGACCTGTTTTCTAACATGAAGGGCTGCACTGCCCTTTGAGATGTTTTTGTTTTTATTTCACCTTTATTTAACCAGGTAAAAAACCCTGAGGTTCAAAACCTCTTTTGAGAGGGAGACCTGGCAAGAAGTCAGCAAAAATAATAAAACCACACACATACACACAATACGAAATAGTACAAAACATTCAAAACAATTACATTGGTCAATGGCATTTTCTTCTATCGGAGCTTTTAAATCAGACAGTGATACCCTCTTCTCCAGTTTTATAATCGTTTGTAATTTATTCCAGGGCCAAGGAGCATTATAGGAAATTGAACGTTTCCCCATTTTAGTCCTTGCCCTAGGAACTGTTAAAGAGAGCACCGGCTGAGACGAAGGCTGAAAGGGTTGTGATGTTTTTGTTCGCTGTGAACAACGATATGTAGGGAGTAGGCCAAGTTTCTCCCTTATATATTGACTTCTGGCAAAATGCCGAGAGCAAAATCGGCATAAAATAGTGGTGCATTGGGGGGGAATTGTTGTATATATGTCTTGAAGAGTTAACTGAGAGCAGAGTCATTGATGGAATATGCCAAATGGTTACTCAGCATCTTTTTACTGTCATGTCTCCTTGGAATGGACCCTTTGATGAGGCTTTTGGCAAGGACAGGCAACACAGCCTTATCCACTTTGACAGCCTGGTGTGTTGTGACTCGCTGTGTTGCGTGTTGCAGACGTGCAGCTGGCTGGACTGAACATCCTTGGCTTCCTGACTCCGCTCAGGGTCTGGGGTAGCACGACCCTCAGCGTTCTGGCCGAAGTCATCACCGTGGCCATGCAAGCCTTCGGCGAGTACGAGGACATACAACTGCAGGTACTTACCGGGCGATAGGTCACTATTACACGGGGGGAGGGGGGGTCCCCTGGCCGGAGCGGCCCAGGCGCAGGACTACAGAGGGAGGAGGGACACGAGACGGGGTGCTCCATTGCATTCCTGGCATCAGGGTCTATGCTCAACCATGCTATGCCACTGAATGGATGCGTTGTGAGCATGAGAATTGATTGAAGTTGATGAATCGATGCTCGTTGCATGCCCTACATTCCGCCCTTTCGTTCCTTGTGCAAGCCGAGTCTCCGTGTGCGTTGTTTGCGATTCCCTTGCTGTGTGGTGCAGGGCTGCAGCTTGGCTTTGGCTCTGCTCAAGTCCAGCCCTCAGGCGCCTAAGATATTCCTGAAGGTGTCATTCCACAACATTCTCTTCCCCATCATGAAGTCGCTCATCCTCAGGAACAAACAGTGTCAGGTACTTAAATCGGCTGCTGCCTCAGTAGTGACCGGAGTGCTACAACCAATATATGTGTGTGTGTGTGAGGTGGTGTGTGCGTGACTGTGGGGAGCAGTGGCGTAGTGGTTCATGCAAGGTACTGCAAACCCAGTGACCTGGATTTGCTGATCACTCAGTTTAAATAAATATGCTTTCGGATGATTTGAGTTTGAGCAGTGGTTGGTGCACTGCGCTGTGAGCCCAGACACCTGGGTTCGATTCCCAGCCACAGCTAACATCAGCTGTGAATCAATCCTGTGCCTCCCTAGGTCAACTCGGCCTTTAAGAAAGTACCTGGTGTGATATGTCAACATCAGCATTGAGGAGCCAAAGGCTACCATCACGTTACGAGTGCCGGCCACACCACTTCCTCCGTGCGTTGTGCGGACTTTAATAGGTGCTCGCTAACAGCCCTTGCCCCAACTAGTCTCTTACATCTCTATGGGGGTTCTTGGTCATCGTGTGTGTGTCTGTGTATGTATTTATGTTGAACTTCTTTAACACAGTACGTAGCCAACCGTGCTAATTGGAGGCGCTAGGAATGTGCAGCTTAGCCTGCGTGCGCTTGTGGGCGTGTGCAGTTCCTGGCAGTGTGCAGCCAGTGCATGGTGTGCATGACGAGGCGGCAGGGCGTGCGGGACTCCATGCTGCGTGCGGCGAGCGAAGCCGGCGACGCGGAGCTTGCGGAGTTCCTCCTGCTGCTGGATGCTGACCCCAACGAGAGCACGGGCCACGACAGCTTGCTCTGCAAAGTGAGTGGGCAGCGATGGGGGAGAGGGTCAATCGCTTCAGAAGCAACAGCCGTAGGGGTGGCGTTTTAAACAAATGTACAGCCCATTTATCAGTCCACTGCTGGATGAGGGCCTCCCCATGTCGTGCAGGTCATGGGGGTTATTTGACCGCACGTCCACCATCCTGGTCAGTGCGGGTTCATGAATGCATGGAACATAGATGTGGGAACGTAGAAATACAGTACAACAATGTTTTATTTTCTGCACTGCCCTCTGATGTCCACCACGTAGCAACAGCCCTGCAGCTGTCTGTGACAATCTGGGGCCATGTTATGGGCCTGGTCTGCAAATATTTTCCGGGTTGTCGGTGCGTGACCCGTAGCCGCGGCCATATCGAGCGGTATCCTCGATTCGGTGTGGTGTCTGCTGCTGATATATTTTTCGGGAGTACTACCGGCTGAAATAAATCCCTCGGTCGCGTTGCAGGCTTGTGCCCAGCAAGACGTCGCTCTGACGGAGCTGCTGCTGAAGCACGGCGCCTGCGAGGCGGACGTGCACGCTGCCCTTCGGCAGAGCCTGGCGCACGGCAACGCGGACATCGTGGGCCTCCTGCTACACAGGCTCGGCAGCGACCCGGCCAACAAGGCCGTGTCCCTGGGCCGACTCCGTCTGGCTTCCCTCCACGCCGCGTGGCTCCGGCCGCTGTTCACGCAGTCAAAAAGACACGCTGGCAGGACCGGATTGGGTAAAGGATTATGATTCTGTTCCGTGGAAAATGTGAATAATTTTTGCATGTGCGATTTCTTAATATCTGAAGGTCATGCAGTACCAGGTGGCATCGATGTTGATAAACTATTAAATTAAACTTTTATTTTTTACCAGGTAAGGCCCACTGAGCTATATAACTCTTTTCAGAAGCGACCTGGCCACAAATGATAGCTCAACGAAGTGGCTTATCATGTGGAAATTCATAGCAGCCAAATACTCTTAAACGCATGTTTCTAAATTTGGAGGGAAAAACTGGAGGACCCGGAGGAAAAGCCACACGACCACGGGGAGAACATGCAAACTCCGACTATACAGGCATAAGGGTTGGGATTGAACCCACAAGCTCATGTGCACCGGGCGAGGGCGTTAACAGTTTGTTATCATGGCTAGATACCGGCGTCTGGGTCTTAAGTCGAAAACGACAATGGAGTGCATTGGTGTCGTGTTGTTCGGTCGGTCATGTCGTCCGGTGTGTGTGTCCCACCTACCTTGAGCTGGGTTGGGGAACGTTCGACCCAGTAGGTAGGGTCTCCCTCGAGACACGGGGTCTGTCTCGGCAATAATGCCCGCCTTGCCAATAGCCTAACTCGACGGCAAGCATTCATTTGCGACGAACAGCGGTCCTGGCGTTGGCTGAGCGGGGGGCGGTCGAGCTCGGGGGTTTTGCAAGATGACGTCGACGTCTTGCCAATAACCGAAGCAATGCCGCCCCGCTCCAGTGTCAAAGCACGAGGTGGTTGTTGAAGTGGGGTCGTGTGACCCGCTGGGGGGTTGCGTTTGTGCCCCCGTTACGCGCAGGCGTCGGATCGCGGGTTGCTGGCTTCGTGCTGCATTGGCTGGAGGAAGCCGGCTCGCCTGCTGTGGGCGGCAGTGTCCCCGCCAGCCTGTGGGAGATGGACCTGGGAGGAAGCGCCCTGTGGGACGGAGCCCTCCTGGGGAACAGCTTTGGCAAGGACGACACGGATGGGACGAAGCTCGCGTTCAAACTCTGGGGAGACGTATCAGGAAAGTTACCCTGAGCGGCGGCGATCAATGGGATTTGCACTTGACTGCCATCGTTTAAGACGACACCATCGCAGCATTAAAATACGTCAGTGTTCATGGAAGGTGTTCATTCGGTATCTCTCCATGTGAAAACGACACGGGTGCAAGCATACACAAGCTGACAAGAGGTTATTTAAAACCTAGTAGGGCTGTGGTATAATGCGTATACAATGGTTTAGAGCTCTTTGTCAGTCCATTGCTGGATGAAGACCTCTCACACTGTGGTCATGGGGTTGTCTGACCGTACTTCACCACTGCTTTTTGAAAATGATACCCGGTGCAGAAATCACTCACCGCTGATGTTAGCCATGGCTTTGAATTGAACTCTGACCTCTAGGTTCATAGTGTAGTGAGCTAACCGCTGCACCAGTGCTCCACCTCAAATCACCATAACACATTCTGATTCGAACAGAGTTATCATGAAAGCAACCCAGTAAAAGTCACTTTTATACCAAATCGGGGGATTACCTCACTTTGCTTCTGTTAATGTGTGTTTGTGTGCAGGTGGGGCATGTGATGCGAGTGTGGAATCGCCGAGCCCCACGGCATCGCAGAAGACCCAGGAAGGCGCGCACGACGTCGTGCACAGCGTAGACCTGTCCGGTAACGAGCTCTCTGGCGACATAAGCGGGGTGCTGCTAACCCAGTGGCTCATGCCTCACCTCTCCAAGCTGCTTCGGCTGGACCTGCAGCAGAACCGCCTGACGGCGATTTCCCCAGCTCTCGCCACCGTGAGTTTGCCTCTCTGCGGCGTGGAAATGTTCCAGTGTGGACGAGGATGAGGAATGATGAGAAGGGTGGGACATGGGACTGTGATTGGTGTTAAGACGGAGGCTGCGCAGGGTTGGCCGGGGTGGCTCCAGAGGTGAACAGCGCTGAGCCGGCGCCGCTGAGATCAGTTCAAATCGATGTTTCGGCCGACCTGTGATTAAACCGGGTGCTCAGCGTGCAGCGAGTTGGTGGCCTCGGCCTGATCACCAATGACTGAACGTAAACCCTCATAATTAAAATTGGTTCCGACTCCTGAGAATTAAAATGTCAAGTTTGACTGTCACGGGATGAGTTTGACTCTCCAGTTGTGGTGAGGTGCTGCCCCCCTCTACTGTGTGGACCTTGGGCTGCCACTCCATAGTTAGTCTCGACCACCGGCCATCATCTCTTCTAGTGACATGCCCTGCTCAAGTCCACTTGACTTAACAGTCAGTGTTTTGTCTCTAACCAGTGTACATTCTCAAATCCACGTGTCTCTCTTTCTGTCTCTCAGGAAGAGGGAACACATGCACATACAAATTGGAACACACTGGTTTATATACAGGCGATTCGACGGATGTTTCGTTATCTTCGTAATGTATATCAACGAATCGACTCTTCAGGACTGCTCTAGTGAATTATGGAGTGGTTTCTGAATGTAAGCAAGGCTTTTTGATGTGCCAGTGGTGACTGCTGACCACAGTTTTCTTGTTACTTGTTGCTAGGCGCTGAAAAGCCTCACTTCGCTGAACCTGAGCTGACAACGGCTTTCAAGAATTCCCTCGAGCTGTGCTGCTGATAGAAAGCCTCACTCACCTGGGCCTCTCCCACAACTGCCTCGCGTCGCCGCTTCGCTTCGACAGCCCCGTTCGGTGCTCCCACCTGCGCACTTTTAACCTGTCCCACAACGGCATGGCGGCGTTTCCCGAAGGGCTCCCCTCGTCCTTCGGCAACCTGGACGAGCTGCTCCTGGAAGGGTACGTGCAGCGCTCTGGGTATGTGTGCGGCAGGGCAGGAGGGGAAGGGTGGCTTTGGTTAATTGGACCAGAGAAATGCTATTGTACAATACAATAGGAAATGTGTGTGTGCAGCCCTTTGCCAGTCCACTGCTGAGTGAGGTCCACTCCCAACATCGTGTGGGTTATTTGACTACACTATGCAGGTTCGTGCGGGTTGGTATAGGGAGGTGAGGGTATAGAGGACAGTACTTCAGTATATTTTTATGCACTGCATTTTGTTTCCCACCCTGTAGCCACATAGCTTATAGCAACCCGATGTGCATGGTGGTTACACATTTAAGCACTAGCCAGGCTCAAGGCTGCTTAGCTTTAGAGAGCTGTCGAGATCGGGCACATTCTGACGATTTGGTCATAGGCTTCGAATGTAGACGGTGTTTAAATGCGACCGTGTCTCAAGACGCTGTACGGAAAGGGTGAGTGTGTTTGTTTTGTAGAGTGAGGCAAAGGGTCATAGGCAGACAAGAGGAGGAAGGTCTTGAGTCTTGAGGACTTGAACTGGGGTAGGAAGCCGACAGCACGCTGGGGTAAGGAAGTTCCAGACTAGGGGACAGCATAGAAGAATGAGCGACCTCCCACTGAGTGAATATAATATGATAAACGTTTTTTCATCAAAAAATGTTGGGTTAAAAAATTGAATGCAGAAACTGACCTCGATTGTTTTCTTTTTGTTTTAGGAATAAAATAAAATCTATCCCAACCGGTCTAATCCTTCCGCACCTGCGGCACTTGGACGTGAGTCGGAATGACCTAGGAGGCCTGCCGGGAGACCTGGCCACGACGCTCCCAGCCCTGGAAACCCTCCTCATCTCCCACAACCGCTTGGGTAGCAGCGACACGACACCACAGCGGCTTGCACAAAAACAAAGGCGCGCGATGTAACCCAAAATCCTTGGTTGTGAATAATATTGTACGCGAAAGCCTACGTCATTGGAACCTCATTTGCCAGTAAAAAATATGATAATTGGTTTTTTACCCTTTTACAAGGAGTCATGTTTGCATAGACTACAATACCTGCGGTCATAATGCATACAAAAAACATAACTCTGATAATGTATGCACTGTCCTTGAAGTTGATTGGTCCACTCGTGTTAACTGCTCAGAATTCCTCGTGTGGATCCCTCCTCCCATCAGTACTGTAACCAAACGACTGTTTGACCAGGACAGTCCTGATTTCAGAAAGGCTGGCCTAGTCTTCAAATGCTTTTGTGAATTTCTGGATTTTGTCCCGGTTTTAATTGTTCTGACGTATTGACAATGGAATATAACCGGACACGTTGCACAGATCACAATGATGGGCAGAGTAGAGCTGAATGTAATCGGCTGTAGGTTTCAGGATATCGTAGTCGGATTCTTACATGCTATTATTATCCTGCGTAATACATGCCTATAATATATTATTGCTCATGCGATAGCAGTAAGTTGCACATGTCATTTCACAGGATTGGTGGGAAACCTACCCAGTAAGTTAAGCACAGTAAAACTATCGGACAACGAGCTGGACGCCGTGCCATCAACCATTCTCAATCTACAACAGTGAGTACTCTGCATACAAAGTACCACAGCTCAGATACAAATGTGGAACTCACGTTTTAATTCCAATGTCTATGTCAGCATGGGTCTCACGGTTTGGGTGGTTTTCCACTGGCATTCTGCTGAGCCGAGCTAAAATTGGACTTTGAGACTCTGGCCTCACGAGACATCTGAATCTGGTTTGGGACCAAGCAGGGCCAGGAGTGGGGCTAATTATGTTCATCATGCGGCATGTCCGTGTGTGGACTTCATTATGCGTGACGGCAGCGGTGTGTGCCGGATTCTAGAGTGGGGACAAAACAACCTGGCGCACCTCCTGAGCCGTGCCACGTTGGCACGGCACTGCCCCGGCGCAGCTCACTTGTACGGTGGAAAAGAGGCGCCACGGTGGCGAGATGTTAAGTACCTCCCCTGGTATGCAGGAGGTCGTGGGTTCAATCCCGACCCTGACGCCTGTATATTTGGAGTTTGCATGTTCTCTCACCGTGGTCACGTGGATTTTTCTCCGAGTCCTCTAGATTCTCCCTTCACATTTAGAATTAGAATCAACGTCACGCTTAGAGTATTTGGCTTGCTGCTATACCTTTCCACGTGATAAACCACTTCGTTGGGCTATCATTTGTGGCCAGGTCACTTCTGAAACTGAGCTATACAGCTCGGTGGGCCTTGCCTGGCAAAGTAAAAATAAATAGTTGATAGTTTAGGTAACAGGGCCACGTTCCTGGCTGCGCCTGTCCCTCGTTAGGTTGAGGGTTGTGGACCTCGGCAGCAACTGCATCACGGTGGTGCCGAGGCCCAGCCTCTGGAGGACCGGGATGCTGAAGGAGCTGCTGCTGGGCAACAACCTCGTGGAGGCCGTCGAGCTGACGGGAGCCTCCGGGACCTGGGCCCGCCTTGAAAAGCTGCACCTCGGACACAACCGAATGACAGAGGTGATGCTTGCCGACCTCTGCCACGTTGTGACTCATCTCTCCTGCTAATGGTCTATTGCCACTCGGCCGATTTTGATGACACGTGGTTATACAGGTGAACCTCGCGAAGGTTGTCATCGTGTTCGCCCATTTTACCTAATGGTGTTTAAACACTGTGGCAGTACCGTGCACCCTGACTTGGTGATTGACCAGACTGCCGAACGATTCATGGTCAGAGGCTTGTCAGACTCCCGAGCCAGCTGGGCTCCTATAGAGCCAGGAGATGATAAGGCAGCGAGTGGGTTTGTGAACTTGTCTGTGCGGACGTCTTGTGTATATCCCCCCCCCCCCCTCCCCCCTGGTGTGCATCTGCTTCTCTCCCACAAACATTAAAATGAAATTGGCCAAACATCCCAATGCAGAACACTCCTTGAGTCTCAATGAGACTTTCCTGGAAAAATCTACTCCGGAAAGCCTCACTGAATCTCAAAAAAACTTTCTTTTAAAGGGTCTTGCAATGGGGTGTTTAGATATTTACATACATTTTTAGATGTGTGGGAGAAACCAGAGGATATGGAGAAACCCCACGTGAAGAATTGTAAGCAAACGAGACTTGAAGCGACAAGTTTTGGCAAACAGAGAGGGTATCTCGCCGCTCCTGACAGCTAAGATACCACACCGTCAGACAGTCTTGATTATTGGAATATTGGTGAGATTACGAGGGAGGGCTTGCATGTCGCCTTAAGAAATAGAGCGGAGCGTGACGCAGATTTCTGCCGTGCTCGTTGATGATTTCCATAGGTTCCAAAAGGGATCGGACAATTGGAGAGCCTCACGTCGCTGGACCTGAGCTACAATGACATCACGACCCTGCCCAACGAGCTGGGCGGGTTGCACCGCCTCTGGGACCTGCAGCTCGACGCTCTCAAGCTCGACCTGGACCTCACACAGTTTGGGAAAACCAAAGACCTGCTGAGGTAGGCACGTGGTCTCCTGTTTGTGTCACTGCCGGGTCATCTAGCCCGCATGCCCAGCCACCGCATGCTTAACAGCTTTTGTTCAGCCAGATAGAGGAGCCTAAACGGGCATGGCACGGGCTAGAGAAGAGATGGAGTGATGTGGTACAGGAGGACGTGGAGCTGAGTGTACTTGCCGATGACTGGTACCAGCGGTGTCAAGATCGGCCTCTATCGAGGAGGCTCATGAAGGATGTTGCTACTGGGTAGTTGGAGGCAGCCGCCCTCCAGCAACAACGGAGGAGCGACGCTCACAACAACAAGCGGTGTGCCGGGTGGCTAAAGCACATCAAGTTGGCACAGTAGGGGGCACAGGTGGTGCTTCAGCCAGTCATCTCAGTCGACCCGTGGCACCTGCGTCTGCCCCGTGACCTCCTGCCAGGGGGCGGTTGTTGTTGTCGCTGTGCTACGAACCCTCCGACATGAATACATTCTCGGCTAAGGCTGACATTGCTGGCGATTATCTTGGGGGGGGGGGGGAACAGTGTGGGGACCTCCCTTAGGTTGACTCGGCCTTAAATGAGCACCTGGTGCGATGTGTGTAACATTATCACGAGGATAACGGAGGTGGTTGGGCGTCGTATTAGCCACACCACGCCCTCGTGTGTCGTGTTGGCCTTCGTAGGTACCTACCAGCAGCACTTGCCCCATTAGCCTGCAACGGGCTACATGGGGGATCTTTGTCTTTGGTGTTGCTGAGAGTGGTTGTGGTCGCCGCAACTGTCGGCCCACCTCTCGACCTCAGGGTCATCTCGACGGGGTCACTGGTCATCTCAACAGGCTCACCAGACATCTGGACGGGGTCACCGGTCTTCTCGACGGGGTCACAGGTCATCTCAACGTGGTCACCGGTCATCTCAACGGGGTCACCGGTCATCTCGATGCGTTGGCCTGCCAACAGTCTGTTAAAGCTGTACGGGTAATCTTTGTCTTCGTGTGTGGCGTCTTCAAGGTTCCTGTATCATCGGCTGCGGAAGGCCGTTCCCTACAACCGCATGAAGCTGATGGTGATGGGCAGCGCGGGACGCGGCAAGAGCACGCTGCTGAGACGGCTGCAGCGCGAGAAGCTGCTGGTGTCCACGGCGACACTGGGCGTGGACGTGCGTGACTGGGCCGTCCTCCACCGCCAGCGCAAATACGTCCTCAACTGCTGGGACTTTGCTGGTGAGGCCGCTGTGCTGGAGCCAATGACCACGATGCACCGAGGTCCCTCATCTTGACCCCGGACCAGCCAGAAGCAGTCTCTCGCTTCCGATCCAACCCCTTTTTTCGAAGCCTCTGGCTGACTAAATTCTGGCAGCAGTCCCCTCCCCTGTTGGTGGTCACGGACCATCTGCTGCAGTGTCTCTCCCACTCTATCAAGCCAGAAGAGAGTAACGTAACTTGAATACCATGGCCCCAACCTTAATGCTGCTGTTAATCCCGATCGTTAACACAGCTTCTCTCGTAAAAGCTGTGAAGTGGTTGGCGTGCTGTGTTCTGAACTCGTCAACTGGAGTTTTATTCCTGGCCATGATTGATATCAGTGGTGCGTTATATATATATATATATATTTATATGAACCGATTTTGTCCGCCCCCTTCACCAACCTTCTGTTGCTGTGTCTCGTGCCTCCATGCCTCGCGTCATCCTTGTACGTACGTCCCGCGCCGTGCACCGTTGGCAGGACAGGAGGAGTTCTACAGCACCCACCCGTGCTTCATGTCTCAGCGGGCGCTCTACGTCCTGGTGTACGACGCAAGCCGGGGCCCCGACGAGGTGGCCAGCCTCAGGCCGTGGCTCATGAACATCAAGGTTCGAGTCCCCCCGTCCCCAGGGCCAGGTCGGACTCGGAGTTACGCGAGGCACGGACTCGGTGCCGTCGGTAAAGCAAATGCCACAGACGAGGAGGTTTATTCGCGTGTCATACCGATGTGCGAGGGAGGGGGATGTCGCCAGTCAAGAGCGACGAAAGCCGCCCGAGTTGTGTTGAGAAGCAAAGTGCGTTTTCGTTTAAGCAGGTGAGAGCTCGAGCGACGGGAAAGGGTATAATTAGTCAGAGTGACGTGGGTCACCGACGTGATGAAACCAGTAACATGGCAACAAGTTACAACAACGATAGAAATCTCAGTAAAAACGAGAAAAATTAAAATTAGAGAAAAATCAAACTTCGATTTAAAGCTTTCGTGACTGCAGGGATTCATATTCTTGGTTCTTTCGGTAAAGTCACGTAGAAGGAAAATATTAAAATAATACAAATAAAACATAATAAAATAAAATTCTCACGATGTTTCGCCACAACGCAAGCATCCGTAAAAATCAAACTGCCTTTCAGAAATAAATCAAAGCAGCGGGCCCTGCATGCCACGCGTAATGCACGTCGTCGCTCGCGTGCTGCGTTCGTGCACACCCCACAACGTTGCCTGCGCTTCCTGCGTTTACAACCAGGTGCGGGCTCCACTGTGTCCGGTCATCCTCGTGGGGACACACGAAGATAAAATAGCCGCTGAAGAAAAGGAAACGCTGATGCGGAGTAGTGTGCGCTGCATTGAGGAGCTCTGCACAGAGATTCAGCTGACGAACATCGCGGACCACAAGGTGGTGTGCTGCCTGGAGGAGAGCGGCAACATCAAATCGCTGAGAGAAAGCATCGTCCAAGCGGTCAGAGACTTTAAGGTATGTACGTTGAACTTCTTTCGCACCGTACGTAGCCAACCGTGCTAATCGGAGGTGCGGGGGAAGGACAAGGTGGAACAACGGCTTCTGCAGAGGGCAGACTCTGGTCACTTCCATAATAATAATTACGATAATTATCTTACCCAGGAAAGCCTCGTTGAGTCTCAAGATAATTTTTCAGGAGGGTCCTGAATGGGGGATGTTTGGCGTGCGGGAGGAAACTAAAGAACCCAGAGAAAAACCCTGCACGCACACGAGGGGTGACGCCACTAAGCGCTTCGATCTCGAACCCCATTCCTGTAACACCAGCCAAGCCCCGATGAGCCAGTCGTCTACGGCAAGCGTTGGAATCGGTCGATTGTCACGGGCCTTTGCACGCTCACTCGCTCGTTGGTCGTCGCCGCGATTTCAGATTAAAGGGCAGCCCGTGATGGGGCAGCTGATCCCGCACAGCTACGGGCAGCTGGAGGAGCGGCTGTGCGTGGAGCGCGGCCGCCTGGCCGCCGGATTCCCCGTGATCTCGCGCTCGCGCCTCCAGGATCTTGTCGCCGACAGTCAGATCCCTCTGGACAGCGAGGAGCTGCCGCACGCCACGAGGTTTCTGCACGAAGCTGGTGGGGCTCCATTTGCTAGTCCTTTGTGTTTTTAGCCTTTTTGCCGTGTCCTGCCCGCATCACCTCTGTCCTTCCTTGCATCTGTATCTTCCCATCTCTCTTTTATAATACCGTGTGGATTTACGTCACGTCTAAATGCGACCTTATCTCCAAGACGCCATACATAAATAGTGGGCGTGTTTTATCGAGAGGGACATGCAGTCGGTCATCGGCAGAGGAAAAAGAGGGACAGTCTTGAACATAGACTTCAACATGGGCAGGGATTCAACAACACGGGTGGCTGAGGAAAAGGAATTCTAGACAATGATGGCAGCAGAGGAGAGCGAGCAACCTTTCGCTGAGCGGGCAGGTTGACTGGCGGCTTCGATAGAAGACCTTGGCCACTTGGGTCCAGAGTGCTTGGAAGGGATGAGAATGAGAGGAGAGCCACCGGCCCTGTGTGCGCACCGCATGTTCGCTCGCCTCGCCCTGCCTGGCGCCGTACTGCGTTGTTGGCGACGGCCACGTGGTGATGCTGTGTGCGCAGGTGTGCTGCTGCACTACGACGACCCCGCCCTGCAGCTCACGGACCTCTACTTCCTCGACCCTCAGTGGCTCTGCAGCTTAATGGCCCAGGTACACGCTCAGGACACCGTGAACTCACATGGACACTAATATATAATTATCACAGACGCTGTGAGCGTGGGCTTGCTTTACATTAGGTGTGAACGATCTGGGGCTTCATTTCCAAAGGCCTGTGGCCCACATGACGTCTGCCACTTTCACACGAACCCAAATGATATTCATCTGTCGCTGCAAGCACCTTGGAATCACTAATTAAGTAGTAGAGGGGGAATATTTTGACCTGACAACAAGACTGTGTTCCTAATTTTAGCCCTACACTCAGTCACTTTTGTGACTGCAAATCCTTCCGTTACGGCTAGTTCTGTTACACATCTTGATTGCATTATTATTGGATGATGCTAAGGTGTGTGTTCATGTGTGGTTGGCCACCAAAGTCCTGTTCGGTCTTCGGTTTGGGAAAAGTTTCCCCACTTCTGCTGCAGAGAGATTCTAAACCAAGGCTGTTGAAACACCTGGTCCATGTGGGCTGGACTGGTCCAGAATCAGAATATTTATACTAGAAGAATCCGCACAAACGTAGCGCGTGGTGACGCGAGCCGCTCCAGGTGGTGACGGTGCGCGAGGTGAACCCCTTTGGCAGCACGGGGCTGCTGCGCCGTGCCGACGTGGAGGCCTTCTTGCTGCGGAGGAGCGGCTTCCCCCAGGAGTACGTCGGCCACTACATCCGCCTGCTCGAGCGATTCCAAATCGCCCTGCCGCTGGGAGACCACGGCGACACGCTGCTCGTGCCTAGCAGGTGCGTGTGGGAGTTTAAACCACTCCACACCTTACCTGGCGGAAACACCCGCTCGTAGCTCGGCAGTGAAGATGTACCGTGGCTGAACCTCCGATGGGGGGGCGGGGGGGGTAGCTTTGTCTCTTGGGTTTTGTAATCGCAGCCCACGTGACCAGGTGATAAATTAACTCGAGGGCAATGAGTGGTGGAGCGGTGATGCCAGTGGTCTGCGCACGGTACCCTGGACTTGGACACGTGCGTTCCCCAGGCACAGCGAACACATGTGGTGATATCTGAACTGGTCATGGTCCCCCCTTTCACCACTCCGCATTGACCAGCATGGTGAAGGGCATTCAAACAATTCCTATCGCCAACACGGCATGGGGATGCCTTCATCGAGCAGTAGAGGGCATGGCAAAGGAAGGTGGGTTGCGTAAACAGGCGTGCATTCTGGTGCGACGTGTCTTTTGTATTGTGTGGTGTGCTTCTGGTACCTTGTGGTGCAATGTGTGTGTCTCTGGTGATGTGTGTTGTGCGTGTTAAAGCGGAGTGCGGTGGTTGTCTGTGCTATGAACCCGGCAGCTCAAAATCGATTCCTGCTCACTACCAACATCGGTGATGAATATCTGATTTTGTTCTGGGTCTCCTCTAGGTAGACTCGGCCTTAAATGAGCACCTGCTGCATTGTGCGATACATCAGCACTGGGGAGACGAAGGCAGCCGGGTGTGGTGCCGGCCACTCAACCCCTTGTGTGCTGTGCCGGCCTTCATAGGCGCTCACTCGCAGCACTGGCCCCAGCAGTCTGTTAAAAGGCTATACGGGGGACCTTTATCTTTGCGTTGTGTGTTCGCGTAGCCTCCCTGAAGGGCGTCCCGCACTGGAGCTGCCGGGGGAGCCGGGGGAGCTGGTGCTCACCCGCTGGTACTGCATGCCCTACTTCCCCATGGGCTTCTGGGCTCGCCTCATTACCAGAATACTCGCCTTCTCGTCCTACATGCTCTCCGCACCAGGTGACTGTGGCACCAGCGTCGGGCTCGAGCACGGGTCGACAACCGGCGGCTCCGGGGCCGCATGCGGCTCTTTAGAACACAGCATCGTGACGTCATTTATCAAGGACCCCCCCCCACCGTCTCGTATTCACCACGCAGTGCATTGCGGCTCTTGAATTTGTTGAGATTTTTTGGATCGAATTTCTAAAAACAATGATCTTATTTTGTTTGCCGACCCCTGCGCTAGATGGTTCCGTGGATCAGTTGCCAGCATAAAAATCAACAATGTTTATTCGATTGTCATTATCACCATTGCCCACTTATCCTTTGCACATCGTAGCTATATGAAGGGACAGGAAGCAGTGGTTCGCAAACTGCACTATGAACCTTGCTACCTCAGTTTAAGTCCTGGCTATAGTGAACATTCATGGTGCGTTTTATATCGGAACCTCACTTGACCAGCACACACTGAGCAGCGTGATGAAGTAAAGTCAAACAACTCCCTTGACTGACAAAAGGGAGGTCTTTATCCAGCAGTGGATTGAGAAAGCACTGTACATGTCCTCACTTCTACAAGAGGTTGCATCGTTTTTGATGGCTCGATGAAACTGTTAATATTTTTGCCAGAGCTGCTCTTTCTACCACACATGGTGATTCTGCTGTCAGCCTGCCATGTTTTTCATTCCTGCAATTGGCTGTTAAGCCGAGGCTGCGTTTGCGCATTTTTCCGGGTCTGGCCAACGCTGTGATGGATTATTTTTTGTTCGGTTTTCCTGCTGCTGCTGCTGCGCTTTCAGGTTCCTTTCTGCAGCCCTCGCGCAAATACTGGCGCCAGGGCCTCTCCCTGCACTGGGGCCCAGATGCCTACTGCCTTCTCGAGGCCGCAAACTTGAAGTACTGTCCGACAGACAGCAGCCTCAAGATCACCGTGCCCAACTCCAAGAGAGGTGCTTGAGGGGTCGCGGGCAAAGGGCGGTCAGGGGTTCGTTGCCAAGAGACAACAAAAGTGAATCACTTAACTTTCCATCCGAATACAATGTCAACGAAGGAAATTTTTACTTAAGATATTTTAATGGAACCAGCCCAAGAGGTCTTCACAGATTGGTGCTGTACTTGGAGGGAGTATGTTTTCGAGCAGACTCGCTCACTCGTAACGATGGGCAAAATACATTCAAAATACAGTTTACTGGAAGAAATGTAAGTGGATGCGAATGACCGATTGTGAGATACAAATTCTCTGATGTGTTTTCTGGTTGTTACCGCGTGTTGTTCGGCATGATGTCCAACGTGCTGATGAACATTACTCGCAATCCGAAACCACATCGGAGAGCCATCATACAGCACAAGTGTCAGATGCGAATTTCCACGTACTTTAAGGTGTGTACTTTAGGCACAATTTACAAATGTAACTTCATCTCCTGTTAATAATTCTAAGGCAGTGGTGGTGGATAAGTCTATATAACAACCAGTGTTGGCTTTCCCACAATGTGGCATATATTTTATTTGCCCCAGAGGGGTGATTGGCCGAGTGAACTCGCAACCTTCCGATGGCGAGCCGCTCGCTCCCTGGCCCATTTTTTAGATCCCCTCTAAATTAGATACTGCCCATCTCCGCTGGACTAAGCGGCACGTGGCTGGACGGGTGTGCGCGTGCAGGCTGGGTGCTGCTGGGCCGCGCTGTGGACCACGTGGACTCGCTCATCGAGGAGTGGTTCCCCGGGCTCCTGGAGCCTCACGACGGCTCGGAGAGCAGCGCCGCGCTGCTGCACCAGTGGGCCGGGCTGGGGCCCGCGGACGACCCGCAGCCGCCCTGCGTGCGCTTGGCCGCCCTGCAGGACATCGCCGAGTCCGGTGAGCGTGTGGCGCCCGCGACGCCCCGGGAACGTCGCCACGCGTCCTCGAGATGCGCAAGTGTGGTCGAGGGTTTTGAAGTGGTCCTCCCTTGTAGAGTAGTTCGCTTTCGCATGTGTTCAAATATCCCGAGGGTTCCCATTGCCTTAGGGAAGTTTATAGACGTTGCATAAATCTGTCACATTGCAACAATGACAGCAACAATTTGAATTCCTAATCACATCTATATTTTATGGCACTTTTCATGAACTCTGTAGGGTTGTGGTGGACGAGGTGGGTTCATAAATAGTTTCTTTAGAACAGCTTTGTGTTTAGTTGTCCTTCTCCCGCACCTCCGATTAACAAGGTTGGCTACATATGGTGTGAAAGAAGTTTAACGTACATATACATACTCACCACTTCTCAATCTGCGTTGCTCAAACTTTTTTTCTCATTTTCCTCTGAATCTGCTGTTTATGTTTAAAGTCCCTGTATGCACGTTACATCCAACTTAATATTGTTGCCTCTTTGGAGAGCGTCTACACGTAAGCATGACGCAGGGCGTAACTTTGTCTTGTCGCAGACGACGTTGTGTTCTTTCCGAGAGTCGGGGAGAGGCACTCGAGCGGACCAGAGGAGGAGCGGGAGCAGGAGACCCGGATCCCCATTGCCCAGCTGGCGCCCGATGTGGTGCTGGCCGACGTTCCCGACCACCTTCAGCTCGAGCTGTCCAGCTTCACCCTGGAGCAGTCTGCCGAGCACCTGTTAGGCGAGTTGCCGCCGGCTCGCGCTCGTGTCTTCGCCTCCGTGCCGCTCATTTGCAGCCGTGCACACGCAAACGCAACGGCGGTCCAGATAAGCTGCGTATCGGGTGTTTTACGCATGGACAAATTTATATCGTTAGTTCATTCGTAATTTGAATTTGTAACACGCGCAAATTGCACATAAGAGGACGTTTGGATGCACGGGAAAATGAATGATGAAATTAAAGGGAAAAGTTTTAAGATTCTGACAAAAGGTGTACGCCGACGTGCGGCGCGGTGACTGGGGAAGAGGGGCGTGACTTCCAGACGACTGGAACTGCGACAGAGAAGCGATGTCCTCCGCCATGTCTGGAAAATCTTACACGGCATGTAAATATCATGCGTAGTCATCCACACGGCGATATTGTTGCACTGTTTGAGTTTGCATGAGAGAAGTCAAGTGGATGCATGCGCCATTAAAGAGCGGAGATTGAAAAAGAAATCAGTAAGTCTCATCTTCTCTTTCTGTTTTCTCTTTGACCGGACACCAGGTGAAGGAGGGTTTGGATCGGTCTACCGGGCGCTGTACGGCGGAGACCAAGTGGCCGTGAAGATCTTCAACAAACACATCTCTCAAACGCATCCGCACCGCCTCATGAGACAGGTGCAGCAGCCAGGCGGCTTCACGTTTTAACACCGACCCAGGAAAGCCTCACCGAGGTCTTGCCACCAGTGAAATGTAAGCACGCCTTGCTCATACGAGTATCGTGCTTATTATATAAGGTGCTCTTAAATCCAGATTCTATTGTGTACGGTATATGAGTTAGTTGTGTTCATGTGGCTGTGGCTCCAGTTGCGGTTGTATGCCTCTGGCTCTGGCTCTGTGTTCATGTGGCTGTCGCTGTGCGTCATGTGGCTCTGGCTCTGTGTTTATGTGGCTGTGGGCTCTAGCTGTATTTGTGGCTGTAGCTGTTTTTAACGACTTTAGCGTGGGCACGTCACGTGGGTAGGAGTTGGCAGTCCTCAGCCGCTCGCGCCACCCATCGCTCGTGTCCCTCCTGGCCGTGGGGCTGCGCCCACGGCTTCTGGTAATGGAGCTGGCGCCACGGGGCTCCCTCGCCGGCGTGATGGAGCGGGAGGGGGAGCTGCACCGCACCCTCAAGCACCGCATCGCCCTGCACGTTGCACATGGCCTCCGGTAACCGCCCACCGTCCCTAATTATCACAGTTGGCTGATCTCTTATTGGAAATGCGACGTCTTTTCTTTTCTTGGATATATGCTGTGTTCTCTGGGATGCCAGAAGGGTTTTGTTTGTACATTATCGTGTGTCCTCTGAAGTCATTTGAATCAATGAAAGATCATGAAAGCCTTGTCATTCGTTATACTTTTATGTCTTCCCCCCGCTATCCATGCCGTTGACTCCCTGCTCGTTTTTTCTTCTTGTCACCGATTGTCTCTGTATCTCTGTCCTCCGTTTTTTGTGCAGCATCTTGAGATGTGGTCACATTTTCACGCGACAAATTTTAAGTATTGTGTTGTATAGACTCGCACGGAGACCCTTAGACTCACGCAGGGATCCATAGCCTCACAAGGGGATTCATAGCTTCACAAAGAGAGGAGCCATAACCTCACATGAAGACCAATAGATTGACAGAAACTTACAACTAATTGCCTCTAAATCAAAGAGGCCCACTGAAGGTGCGGAGACGCTATATATAAATCCCACATTGTGTTGTGTAAGTAGTAACAAGGTAGGTGTGTGTGTGTGCGTGTGGCAGGTTTCTGCATGCCTCCATGATCATTTACCGCGACCTGAAGCCAGACAATGTGCTGCTGTTTACGCTGCAACTGAACGCAGCGGTCATCGCCAAGATTGCCGATTACGGCATCGCACGGCACTGCTGCACCATGGGCATGGTATCTCCCGATGGCACACCCGGTGAGAGCCGCCGCCTTCCCCACGCTGCACTCCTCGTAGCATCGTGGTTAGAGTCTCCGCGGGGCTGCCCTTGTTTTTTGTTATTCCTGGCCATGGCTAACATCCGTGGTGATACCAGAACCACCTTTGACACCCCCCCCCCCCCCCACCCTTTCGCCAACCTGCATTGACCAATATGATGTATGTGTTGAACTTCTTTCACACCGTACGTAGACATTTGTGCTAATCGGAGGTGATGAAGTTTGGTCAAACAACCCCCGTGACCATCCAGCAGCGGCCTGACAAAGGGCTCTGCATTATTACTCATTTTATCAAACTGGCGATCATAAGGGATTAAAGGGAAGATAATTACTGATAATCCATGCTCAGCTTGTCACAATCGATATTAAAGTGGATTTGCCATATGAGCGCATATCTGGTGATCTTCAGAGTAGAGGTGCAGAAAGAAACATTGTATTGATCTCTTTTAAACGTTGCACATTTATTTCGCGACGACTGAAAGGCGGGGGGGTTGTCCTATTTTCAGGCTACCGCGCCCCCGAGGTGGTGAAGGGAGGCGTCATGTACGACCAGCAGGCCGACGTGTACGCGTTTGGGCTCCTGCTCTACGACCTGCTGACGGGCGGGCGGCGCATCGTGGAGGGGCTGCGCTATCCTCACGAGTTTGACGAGCTCGCCTCCAGCGGGAAGCTGCCCGGTCCCTGACACACGACGCCTCCTCGCACACACGCACGCACACAACACGCACGCACACAACACGCACGCACACACACAACACGCACGCACGCACACAACACGCACGCACACTGCACGCACGCACGCACACAACACGCACGCACACAACACGCACGCACACAACACGCACGCACACAGCACGCACGCACGCACACAAACACACGCACACAAACACACGCACGCACACAACACGCACGCAACACGCACGCTGCAACACGCACGCACGCAACACGTACACAACACGCGCAAACACACGGACGCGTGTGCACGAGCATCCACGCGCCAAGCTCAAGCCATCATCCTAACCAAAGCCGTTAACGGAATCCGCACTTCGCCCAAGCATCCTACCCTCTGCCAAATCCCGCAGCTGATGCACGGTAGCAACGCGAGCTCCAAGACCTGCCCTCTGATCCTTAGCTCTTCCCCTTGGTCGCCACACTTGTGGAGACGACTCCAATGCCGGTCTCGGCAGCCGGCCCTCCCCCACACGGCACACGTCCCACTCAGCACAACTGCATCGCTTGTCCAAAAAATGTTCCCGATCGTGTTAGGTCTGGGAAGCTCAGCAGTTTTAAGCCTGACTAGTGCTTTGATGGGTGACCATCATGCACAAGCAGGTTGTTATAGGCTGCGGGGCTGTGTGGTGGGTAGCAGATAGCAGTGTAGTATCGCGTAAATATAAATGTCGTTAAATCTGCCACCACCTAACGCAGCCATTTCGCAAAGGTTTATCACGTAAATAAAATGTCAATCCGTTACTCTACAACACACCGGTGTGCTGAACTAGTAACGAATTGGCATGTTTTGTTTATATTTACGCATCGAGCCCAAAAAACATCGATGGATATTGGTCGCTAAAGTGTACAAGTTAAACTGTCTGTACTTACATGTTCTCGTGTGGATGCTTCCCACCACCAATAATGGTGAAGTATGATCATATAACTCCCATGACCTACACGGCATGGGTAGGCCCTCATTCAGCAGTGGCTTGACAAAGGTGCTGTATATGGACACGCCTGTTGAATCACACGTGCATCGTGTGTCAAAAGTAGCTTTGCGTATGACTGTCGCGTGGGTTGTGGTGTGCTCAGACCCAGTGACTTACTACGGCTGCAGTCCGTGGCCAGACGTGCAAGAGCTCATCGCAGCCTGCCTGCAGCCAGAGCCTCAGCAAAGGCCCGCGGCCTCGCAGGTATCCCCATCCCACACGATTTAAAACTACTGACCTTTTTATTCTACCAGTTAAGGCCCACTGAGCTATTAGTTTCTTATTCAGAAGCGACCTGGCCCCAAATGGTAGCTCAACGAAGTGGTTTATCACATGGAAATTAATATCAGCCAAATACGCCAAACGCACGTCGATTCCACATGTGAAGGGAAAAACCGGAGAAAAATCTACGCGACCACAGGGAGAACATGCACACTCCAAATATACAGGCGTCATTGTCGGGATAAAACCCACGACTGCCTGCATATCAGGCGAGGTAGTTAACAACTCGCCACCGTGGCACCCCCACCACTCGCGCAAGGCCTGTTCCAACGGCTAAGGAGACAAGCTCTGCTTACAACTTGGTATGCGATGTTGTATACTTACGTGGATGCATGGTGGAGCCCTATAGTCAGTGGTAACATTGTTCTTACAAGCGGGCCGACACTCATCACACACAGTGCTGGTAAATGCTGCAGGGTGGTCTTGTGTGTGTCTGGAGTTTTGGGGGAGTGGTGACGTAGTGGTTAGCGCATTGAGCTACAAACTGGGCCACCAGCGTTTTATTCCCGCTCATAGCCAACATTGGTGAGTAATATCTGAACCGGTCCTGGGCCTTCCCTCGGTCAACTCGGCACTTAAGGGATAAATGTGGCTGGGTGTGGTTCTGGCCACACCACCCACTAGTAGTATGCCATGCCAGCCTTCATACTCACTCAAAGCACTTGACTGCAGCCCATGTGTTCTATCTTTGTTTTTATCTTTGGAGTTTGTTCAACATGGTTTTGCGTTGCCGTGTCTTGCAGCTCGTGTCGCGTTTGGCCTCCCCCGAGTTGCTGAGCCTGGTGGCCGTGGTGGCTGCCCCTGTGAGGAGGCCACCTCCTGACCTCGTGGTGGTCGGCCAACTGGAGGGCCCCAACGTCTGGCTGTCCGGAGGAGATCAACCTCGGGATGGCTCTTCCGGAGAGGCCGAGAGCGATCTACAAATTAATGGACAAGCAGGGGAGGAGGAGGACCCCTTGCAGCCATCGGATGAAAAAACGTCCGGGGTCGAGCTCTGCTGCCTTGACCTCACTGGGAAGGTTCTGCACAGAGAGGTGAGGGGTGGCAAGGCTCTTGTGCTGCGCTGGTCGGGTGGGTCGGCGGTGGAGTGAGCTGCTCTCCATGGGAAGGTTGCGAGTTAAAAGCCGAGTAGGGGGTTGACTCGGCCCCATTATCCCTCTGGGGTTAATAAATTGAGCACCACCTCGTGGGGAGGTCGACAATGATTGTCACATGGGTAGACTTGCCTCCGCCATAGCAATGTTGATTGTAAGCAATGTTGATTGTAAGCAATGTTGATTGTACACTAATGGTTGAGAGCTGTAAACTGAAGATGAGAATCCTCGCAATGCCCATTTGAAGAGTAAATTACATTGACTTGACACCGGAAAGGTTCTGTACATAGGTGAGAGCAGCTGAGCTGTAGTTGCTCAATACGATTGTGTAGGGCAATTGGTGTACAATCTTTTTTTAAATATATATAACGCTGCCAATGAGGCACAAGGATGGTTGCGCAACACGCGACCTCCGCCTTGCGCCCATTCATTGAACGGTCACGTGGTGCAAGTGCCTACAAAACGCGGCTTAGCGACGTCATTATCCAGTGCCGTCGCCGTCTTACGCAGGGTGGTGCACCGCTAGTTGCAGAATTCCAAATGGGAATATCTTCGTTGCATGACGTTAATGCCGATATTGTGCTTGGAATACAACTGGGAATAAACTTAAGCATAAGAAATCAACAATAACAGTGTAAATTTTACAATTGTAAATAAAACGCAAGCAGGAAATTGCAGTACTAGGCCTTTACTTCTGCAGGTGCTGCCAGACCAACGGGTGCTGAGCTTGTGCTCGGCAGAGGTGAACAAGCGTCAGTGGGTGCTGGCGGGGACACGGTCGGGGCGCGTGTGGGCCGTGAGCGCCGCCTCCGAACGTGGCCGTCACTCCCTGCACTGCCTGGCAGAGCCGGTCACGGCGCTTCTCTTCGTCGCTGCCTACCAGTAGGCCTTTCGCTTCCCGAGCGACAACACACAAACACGCACCCCTGTAGAAATGACCGGGTCGCTGATTTTATCATTTCTGTTTTGGCTGGGTGGCGAAATGATCGGGGCGCCAAGCTGGCAACTCTTAAGATGTTGGATTCAAGTCCAGGCAGCTGCCCATGATCGCACCTCACTTGATGGTCTCTCCCTAATCACCAATGACAAACGACTCGGTGTAAAATTTTGTTCGGATCATTGTTGGTTGCGTTTAAGCTGGGAGATTTAAAAGTTGGTTTGACTTTCCTGCACTTAGCATTGTTCTGTGGCAGGGTGGGTGGAAAAGTGCTTGCCCCCCCCCCCCCCCCTTCTGTGTGGAACAGAGATAAATTGAAGTAATCTCAGTAATAGCTGTGTGGTATCCGCTTCCACGGACCATTCTCCAACATTGTTTTATGACACCGATAGCACAATAGGAATTGGGGAAGACAAAAAAAAATAGACCCTTTGAAAGTTGGCTCCGTTACGGGCAATTCATCCTGACATCAACGTGGATTTACAGAAGTAAATGTGAACCCTTGTTGTCCTGACGTCATCTGCTTTATGCTCAGGAACGCAAGTGCAGTGCTGGCCGGGACGGCGAATGGGACGTTGGCTGTGTTCCTTGTGAACTCACTCGAGGCATGTGTGCAATCGCCAAGCACCACAGATGTCTACTTGTAACCTGGCACACGCACACCACAGCATGAATTGCAAACAGCTCACAACTCCCGAGAGTGTGCCGCAGAGAAGACTTTGATGGTGCTGCGGTGGCGAGATGTTAACTACCTCGCCTGTTATGCAGGAGATCGTGGGTTCCATCCTGACCCTGACATTTGTATATTTGGAATTTGTATGTTCCTCCCCATGGCCATGTGGATTTTTGTCCGGGTCCTCAGATTTTTCCCTCCACATTTGGACACACGCATTTAGAGTATTTGGCTGCTATAAATTACCACATGACAAGCCACTTCGTTGAGCTATCATGTGGCCAGGTCACTTCTGAAAAAGAGCTATAAAGCTCAGTGGGCCTTACCTGGTAAAATAAAAAGTATGAAATAGTTTAGTGTCTTCCACTCACGGGTTAGATCTCGCTTGTAAGAAGCTGTCTTGAGAGTCGCGATGTCAAGTGGTTTGATGGCGTTGTTTTGTAGACTCCCGGCTGTGTCGTGAACACGGTGCACGGCGTGGGCTCGCCGGGCCGGCCTGTCACGTGCCTGACCGTGGCGCCTTCTGCGCCGCTCGAGAGGACCGTGTGGGGCGCGTGTGGGACGCAGCTGTTTGCTCTTAACAATAACTTACAAGTGGCCAAAGTCATCGAAGCTACACCCATGGGAAGGTGACTGTTACACACAGCCAGCCCTAAAAGAAAATTTTGAAAGCGTTCAGTCTGAATTTTTGTTTTTACATTTGGAAAATGTAAATCTATTTGGCCTGTTTGGCCCTGGGCCACTGTTTTCTCCCCCCCCCCCCTCCGTGTTTCCCTACCCTCACCCTCATTTCCATTGCACTGTCTTCCCCAATCTTGTCTCTCGTCGATGTGAAGTGTTTTGAAATGCGGTTGCATACAAACTCTTAATCTTTTTCTTGCTGGAGTTTTTCCCACTCATGTGGGGACTGCTTTTCTGCTCCTTTCTCCACTCATTCCTATCCTGCGGCCATCATTTCCATATTCTGGCTCACCGCTGTGACCCACTTATTTCTATTCCTGCCTCTGTTTCCACTATAGTGCTTCCATGATCATCACCTTCCTTACAATAATTTCTCTTTTTTATGACATGCCCGAGCCCTGCAAGTCTGCTTGCTTTCAGCTTTGTCCGAGATGGGTTGCGATTCTTGCCTTCTTCGTTTCCGACCTGATCCAGTCTTGCGATCCCTGAGATCCACCTCGCCATCCTCATTCGCCCCTCCCTGATTTTAGGCATTCGGACACTTTGTAAATTGAAAAATGTTGCCGTCGAGCGTTTTTGCATCTTGCTGCTACGGAATCGCGTTGGGTGCATTTTGGTGGGATGGCGTTGCGCCTGTGGAAAGCAGGAGAGGCGCGGTTCCTGGGTCGTCCGTTGCATGCATGGCCGTGGGGAAGCAGGTGTTCACGGCGACGGAGGGCACGTCCCGACTGCAGGTGTGGGACATGACGATGGACTGGGGCCACGGAGCCATCGACTGCGCACCGCTACTCAGGTTTGCTTCTGCCACGGTGTGCTGCCTCAACTTAATTCCCTTTATAATGTCCCTCGTCTGAAGACGTGGATGGCTCAGACCGCTCACTTGGTGCTGCTGATACCCTGGGTTTAAAAGAAAGGTAGCCAGGATGGAGTAAACTGGGTTCTAAAGTGTGGCAAGCCTCAATCAGATCACTAATGACTGTAAAAGAAACCCATATTGAATTTGGCTATTTCAGATCTGAGAATTGACTCGTGATAAACATGAGTGAATGTGCAACCCCCCCTGCTGTTTACATCAGCTGGCACTCGAAGGTATCTCAGAGGTAGCTCTGTGATATTCGCTCCCGTGCGCCATCCTCTGAAGACTCAGGGTTTCCACTGCTCTGCCAGAGCCGAGGATTCTTCATCTCATGACTTGACACCAGTAGTACAATTGCAACGAGTCTAAGAGCCTCCTACTAGTTTTTTAAAGCCTTGCATTGGCTGGCACCACCACCATATATTCACGAGCTAATCCATCCGTGCACCTCCTCAAAGTCGTTAAGATCTGTTCTGGGCATACCTTGATGCGGGCTGCGTTCCTGGGGTGAGCGGGCATTTGCTGTGTCTGCACCTCAGTTGTAGCATTCCCTACCATTGTATATTCGTTTAAGCAACAATGTGGATACTTTTAAGTCGCGTCTAAAAACACATTTTCTTAAGTCCATTTATTATATTTAGCTCTCCTTCTCTCATGGCCTTTCCTTAACCTTAATCTTACAAAGCGCCTCGAGGCATTAGTGGAAGGTGCCTTACAAATAAATGTAAATTATTATATTATTAATTGTGATACAACTAGATTTGAAGCTTTTGTAACTGCAAGGATTCATACTCTTTGGTTTTTCGGTAAAGTCACATAGGTAAAAAAACGTCGCGATTTAATTTAGTTGTTTTCATTTATTTTATTTTTTACCTCCGTGACTTTACCGAACAAACCAAAGAGTGTGATACAACTGTCTTAATAAAAACCCGATTGAACCTCAAACATGCAGAGGAGTGGGAGTGGGGTGGCCAGGTTCGTTGTGGTGACAGTGAAAACGATGGCTTGTGCAGGGAGCAGTATGGGCGCGACAGGCAAGCGGCGCACGTGCAGAGCCTGCTGGTCCAGAGGAACACGGCGCTGTGGGTGGGAACCAGCGGGGGGGTCCTGCTGCTGCTGGACGCGCTGTCCCGGCAGCCCCTGCTCGTCACACAGCGGCTGCATGGACCACTCCGCCACCTTCTTCCTGCGCAGAGCTCCTCGGGTACGTCACCAACCACGATAGAGCCACTGCTGGACTAAGGCCTCCCCCCAAACCGTCACCATCTCTCGCGGTCTCACGATGCAACAGAAATCCATCTGGCTCCTGCGCCCGAGCGCTCCCTCTCCACGGTCGACGTACTCTGGTACGCGTTCCCTCCTTTGGTGCGGAGATAGAGATGAGAGCATGCGACGGCTTTGAGAGGCCTTCATCCAGCAGTGGATTGATCCTAGACGATGTTGACATAATTTTCAAGGGTTGCCAATTGTAAGCCAGTGACATAAGTCTTTGTAATGTTTTGCAGCTGTTAATATTTTCTTTATTACAAAGTTGGTGGTGTGGAGCATGTATTAAAATATAAACTTTTTCTTGGCAGATCGGTATCCAAAGAATTTAATATTTGCACTTGGATCAAACATCGCAAAGAAGGATGACAAAGGTAAGACTTTTTGCCCGCACATGTAGAAATGTACAATGTTAATACGAGTAACTCGTGTAAAACAATACTTGTGTGCAAGCTATAAGATATTCAAAACTGGTCCAAAAGGTCTCAAATTTTTCAGCTCCAGCAGTTGTGGAAATTCCTCTTTCCTATGACAGGAATCAGTCTCTCCTTCGCTTAACAGCCGTGTTGGCTTCATGCAAAGTGGTACTTGTTTTATAAACCTGTCTCAGAGGATTTATGAGCCGAGTTCACGACCTCGCTACCTTCCAGTTGAGTCGGGGGCACTCCGTGTCACACCACCATCTAGATGGATATATAAATCGAATACAGAATATTGCAGTGGTGTAATGGTTCGCACATCGGACTTGCAATCCAGAGGTCCCTTGGTTTACGTGTTCTGCTGATTGGCAAAAAGTGCCATCAGCTGTCCACCTAGCACAGGGATGGGGAACCTTTTTTCTGCCAAGGGCCATTTGGATATTTATAACATAATTCGTGGGCCATACAAAATTATTAACTTAAAAATTAGCCTGTTATATTTGGTCAAACATTTAATTAACTCACCCCTAATGTGATGGCTGGAACTGCTTCTCTTTGGCGAGGCGTGTGATGTTAGCTGGTATTGATGATGTTGCTACTCTAACTGCTTTTCCAGGTTTGCTCCTAGATTTATTGAATTTCGAGTCCTGCCTGCGGTTGCCTTGGCAGGGCCACATTAAATGTTTCCGCGGGCCTTGTACGGCCCGCGGGCCTTGTACGGCCCGCGGGCCTTATACGGCCCGCGGGCCGAATAAGGCCCGCGGCCGGACGTTCCCCACCCCTGACCTAGCAGGATGGGTCCACCAGTTGATCGGCAGGCACGTGTGGGGAATCGTGTTGGTACTCCCACCTTAGACCATGATGTTGGGCCAGCATAGAAGGCCAAACACCCTCGAGAGGGACTCTAGTGGAGGCCATTTTTCCAGCAGTAACCAAGCAATTGCAGGGCTGCACCTTCACCTTGTCACAATTTTGATACCGCACTTTGAGATGCTCTCTAGAATTATATTACAATTTTATGCATAGAATATCAAAATTTAAGTCACCCGTCATCCAGCAGTGCTTCAACAAAGGTCTTCGCATAATTCTTAAAAAGTTACTTTTCATCCACAATCCTATGTGCGCTTTCATGTGCCATGTGGCTTGCATATGGGCGCACACACAAGTTCATGTGCCTCGAGGCATGTCATAATGCAGTAAATGGAACCGTTTGCTCACATTTGAGCTGCAATGTGCACGCTGGAATATTATTATGTAAATGTTATGCAACTGTATTCTGTATACTAATTGATGACTTAGGACACTAAAAGCAGGCCAGGCAGTAGAGACAAGACAGAATAAGTGAGGCATACAATACCGATGAGACATTACAGATAGGGTACAATTGAGACAGCACTAAGTTAATGAGTAACTCGTGCATATACACAGTACTTGTGACTTGTACACAGTAAGATGTGTGGGGGCCAGAGGGCCCATGAGTGGATGGAGTAAATGTTATTTATTGGCACAATACACCCAGGACAGATGAGAACAAGGAGGCCATACCTCATGGTTCGTTTCTCGCACTTCTGTCGGGGTCTAAGAATTGCTTTAGTTGGGCTGAGTCAGTGTTAATCATACCTTTGGCATTCAGAGTGAATCTTGCAGCGACCCACCTGAGTTTGATTCCCAGTCATGGCTAACAGACCAATGTCGAATTATATCACAATTGGCTATTAAATTATTACTCCTGTATATATGCACAAATACATGCTACGTCTGCATTTCCAGGTGTGGTGCAGAAGACTGACAGTATTTACTTGTTAATTTATTTACAAACTATTGCAGGCTTATTTGTAACTACATATCTGCTTTAAAAGGTGAAACATTTGTTTCTTGGTTACAGCTTTAACTTCAATCTATATTTGAAGTTTTCGTGACTGCAGGGATCCATACTCTTTGGTTCTTTCGGTAAAGTCACGTAGGTAGAAAAAACGAAACAAATCACGACGTTTCGGGCGCAACACAAGCGTCCGTCATCAGGTGGGACAACCGCAGCAAGAAACAAGTGGGCAAAAGGGCTGCTGGAACAAGAGGCTATATAGGCAAGAGAGGAGGGAGGAGCCAGGGAAGGAGATAGAGGGGGGGGGTGTGAAGGTGGGGCTTGTGGATGCAGAGGAGATGGGGATACAGGGAAATTAATATCGTGTAAAAGCGACAACCAGGTAGTCCAGATGAGATGGATGAGGCAGAACAAGACAGTGCAGGTGGTACGAGCGAGTACAGACACAATCATCCACGTAAGGCTCAAAGTAAGGACAGTATAAATAAGACGGTACAAAACAAGATGCCATTGATTTTAAAAATTATTTGTGCCTCTGCAAGTCAAGTAATCTGTGTTGGGAGCGTTGAATGCGATAATTTGGCTTGAATCGTGAGTGGATTTGACGATGTGTGTGTGAGAGTTTCAACTCCTGCATGTCTCGATAATCTGTAGGTTGTACTCTCCCTGTGTGGGGAGCAGTGGTGGCGGTGGTGGTTATCACGCCACGCTCTGAACCTGGCGACCCAAATTCGAATCCTGCTCACAACCCCAATGAAGATGATCTGATACTGGGTCTCCCTTGGGTCGACTCAACTTCAAATGAGTACCTGGTGCAGTGTGTAAACATCACCAATAGGCCTTGGTAGGCGCTTGCTAACAACACTTGCCCCAAAGTCTTTGGCGATACGGGGGGGGGGACTGTTTGTCTGTGTACACTCTCTGTGGGTGTGCAGCTGGTGCTGTGTGCGTCCTGGTGTGGGATGCCAACTTGCCGCACCACGCACGGAACCTGCAAAACCACCTGGCTGTCCGGCACGATTTGGAGGCCAAAATGCTGAATGGACCCTTCATGGAATGATATTGAAATACGTTGACAGCCTCACTAGAGTGTCTTAATTATGTCCGCCTCAATTAAACTGCACTACAAATGACCTGTTTACAATAGGAATACACTGTTGCCTTGCTAAATACTGAGATTTTTAAAGCACATCCCCCAAAACACCCTTCCCTCTCTCTCCCCTGGATGGAGCTGAAGGATGATCAGTAATGTCCCAGTGAGAGATATCCTATTGAACCAAAGTAACACTAAGAAAGTAACGACTACACAAGCACCTATTTGGTTTACAATCCTCGTTGAGGACTAGCGTTGCTGCTTTACATCAAAATATTTATGCTGTGGGTTTGTTTACTTAAGTTTTTCTCCAGCCAACTGTTATTTAATTCTAGCTTTACTTGCAGAAATGAAAAAATTGTGGTCTGGTTGCAAGGGAAATAAATTGATCAAAGAATAAACACTGTTTACAATCACTCCAATCTTTTGTTACTGTGTTTTCTGAAGTTCATATTTGACGCGGTTTGCTTCACACAGTTATTGTTTGGCTGATCACACATAACAGTTCACCGATAATGACGACACTTACCGGAACGGGTGACTCATTAAGGTTACGCTGCACTAAGAATGCCATCTGGCTGTGGATCAGGAACTCCTCGTTCTTCGTTGGCCACAGCAGTAACTGGCTCCAGGTAGGCGCCACTGGAATCGTAACCAAACCAGGGTGGCGGAGACTCGGAAGTATGCTGCCAGCTCTCGAGCCGGGCTCCCAGCTTCAACACAGCATGCCTAAAGACACACACGCACAGTTTGTGACAGTGACTTCAGTTAAAGCACAAAGGTACATAAACGCCTCTATGTTATGCACTTCTTCACCAACCCACACTGACCAAGACGGTGACGTATGGACAGATATAGGAGGCCCTTAGCAAGCAGGGAACACACACTTGGCGCGCAACTGAAATCACAGCAGGCTTGGGAAAGTGTCTGTACTTGTGCAACCAGCGGCTGAACTTCTCACCGAATATTTTCCAGGTCGCTGGTAGACTGGAATAGGTGGCACGTGACTCGTAGCTACCGCGAGTGAGAATTACACCCGATGTGGGTCGCCGAACCATGCAGACTCGAGTGAAAATAAGCCACACGCAGTGCCAGGTTGAGCTAGTGTGGGGCCTGTAGCATATGTTATAAAGGGGCCCTAAATAAAAACACATGAAAACACATTTTTTACTTGTGTAGTAAAGTAATTGTATTTTTTCATTTGCTATATTGCCAGATTATACGACATCGCCGAACTTAAACAACCAGTCGTTCATAAAAGTTGAAGGCAGTATAGTACTATAGTAATAGAGCAAGTGTAGAATCACTGAACCGGAATAGCATTTAGCGCGGGGCCCTTGAAAATCCGGGACCTGTAACATATGCTAATTGGCTAATTGGATAATCCAGCACTGGCCACGTGTGTAACCAAGCCAGTCAAATGACACCACAGTATGTGACAGGCACTTGTGTGCAAAGGGATTCCATACCTGCTGACCCTGGGGCAGTACAGCATATTGAGGTGTGCGAGCTGCCGGCAGCCTTTCCTCAAGTAGCGAGTGGCCAAGTCTCCCAGCTTGACGCAGCCGGAGAGGTCCGCGATGCGCAGGTAACGACAGACCCCCGACAGATACTGCGCACTCACGTCCGTCAGCTGCACACGGACACGTGGGGGAGCACCGTACGTTCCTGGGGCCGGCAGCTCCTAATACGCTTTTACGCGTAGCAAAAATACACATTATGCATGGAAATATGTACATTTTGTTTGCATGGTGGTTCAGCGATGCAGTAGTTTGCGCGCTGCGTGGTGATACGGCCACTCGAGTTCGATTCCTAACTACGGATAATATTGACAGAGTGGTATCTGAATTGGCGCTGGGCACCCCTCATTCGATCGGTAATGACCGGCGTGGTGATTCCATCAAACCAACCCCCCCTATGACGGAAACAGCCTGTGGAAGGCTTTCATAGGAAAACTGCTGTGCAGCAATTTTTCTGATGTGTGTGCGGTGAAGGAGCGGTCACGTGATCCCCAGGGCCGTGAGTTGGCATCCTATAATGTGCTCCGTCGTGCAGTTTTAATTTTGGGATAAAACTTATTTTAGACTTTCTTTGGTTTAGTCCATCCTGTTAGCAGCTGTCTTAGTTCTGTATTGTTATTCCAATTTTTTAGAATAGTTCAAAGTCATATTACATACGCCCGCCAAAAGTTAGTATGAGAGACTGTACGGTAGAGCATCTATCGAATATACTCATGAGTTCACTTTCAAGTTGCATTTTACCAGCCTGGAAATCCATTTCACTCGCCCGGCATCAACTGGAGAGTTCATTACTCAGACCCAAATCCTTACTGGAGCACTGCGTGGCCTAATTCACTGTGTGCATCTGTCCAGCACTGACATTGCTCAAGTAACTATTCTGTGCCCGATTGTGCCTGTTACCCGGCTATAATAAACACTCCAAGTTGACACCACTCTCGCGTGTGTTCATCTGTTGGCAGATGAGTTATTTAAAACTTTGGTGCCGTGCACCAAATCCTGAAGTGTTAAATAATTTTAACCTTTACACGGTGCCCATTTAAATTGCTACGATACATTTGAGCAAAAATAAATATATATGCCATTCTAGCACAGGAGTGCTCTCAGAATGTTCCCTTTGTAATGAATGATGTTTTCACCTCATTATTGCCTTTGTTAGATTCCCACTTCACCAACTTTGGTGACGAATATCTGAACCAATGGTGGGCCTCCCCTAGATCAACTCAGCCTTAGAGAGTACCTGGTGCAGTGTGCAAGCGTGAGCACTAGAGAGACAAAGGTGGCCACCCCCTTGTGTGCCATTATGGCCTTAATCGATGCTCACAAATAGCATTTGCCCCAACAGTCTGTTAAAAGCTAAGGGGATCTTTGTGTGTGTATGCTATGTATGTGCTTGTACATTTATATGAATTCTCTCTCTGCATCCCAGTGCTTGAAGCACCACTTGGCACTGGACAGCCTATGCACATATCATCCACAATGCGTCAGAGCACGGAAGACAAATCGATGGGTGCCCACCATGCGGGGATTGTGCTCCGTAGTGGCCGTGTGGCAAAATGAATTGTGCTGTACTTCTATGCTCCTACATCTATATTCCAGGCCTTCACCAACCCGCACAGCTAGCGTGGGTGCAGAAGTCAACTAGCCTCCCATGAACCACGCTGCGTGTGTAGGCCCTCATCCAGCAGTGGTACTGGCTGAGATAATGTGCATCAGTCTGCACATGCCTACCTAACCTACCCGAAGTGGCCTCGCTGCACTCTCCAGACACCTCGCGTGTTGGGAGAAGTCCCTGCTCAGTGTCGTGCCTGTGTGCCTGTGTGTGGGGGGGGTACTCTAGTTGGGTACCTGTGCGCAGCCAGACAGATTGAGGTAGGTGAGACGGCGACAGCAAAACACGAGGTTCTTGACCCCGAGGTCGGAGAGCAGCCGGCAGTGCGACACGTCCAGCCGCTCCAGGTCCCGCACGCGCTGGCAGAACTTCTGAAGTTCCGATCGATGCCGCACCACACTCGTATTACATACAGGGGGTCCACAGCACTCTCCTTAATATGCAAAACATCACTTGCGAACGACGGGTAAGTAATAAACATTTCTACAGACCCTTTAGTAAATTCACTGCTGGAAGAGGGCTTCCCCACAACATGGGTCTATCATACTTCACCACGCTGGTCAATGCATGTCGGTGAAAGTGGATAGCACAGACTTGTGGTTCCAAGTTAATGTGTGCTACCTATGTGTGATTTTTTAAATTAGTGCTTCCTTAAGTCCATTGATACTTTTCGGATTTTGTGAGGCACAATATCGAGTAATAAGATATGTGGGAGCATAGATATACAGTACAACCCTAGAGTTTGCCTCACTGCCCTCTGCTGCCTAAAGCATAGGCCCACAGCCTATAATGCCTGTTATGCGTGGTGATCGCAAGTCCAGGCACTATTCAGCCTCCACGCTAATGGGCCTCTGAGATCTGACCAGATCGGATGCACTCTGGTCGAGCTGGTCGTAGGGTAGCTGTTCCTGACCACACTGCAATTTGCAATTTCTGTACCTGCAAGCCAAGGTCTGAAATGGCGACGCACTGCGATATGCAGAGCTCCTTGAGTCTGCTGTTGGTCCCAATAGCTGCAAGGCCCTGTAATGAAACACGTTTGTTTTTAGTACACTTCAATGCGAGCTACGGCGTGTACAGGGCATACAACAGCTGCCCAATTATATTGGCAGCAACCAACAGAGGTTTCTGACCAGTGTGTTCTTGAATGTGAGGGTTTTCGCTCGTTTCCTACGCCATGTTCAGCACAGGACCAAAATAGCATCGACCTTAAACCATACCCTGCCAAAAACATCTGTAAATATAGAAACTTGGTATTTTTATATCTAGAAAGTATTTAAGTGAGTTTCACTACAGATCATTAAAACATCGACTATATTTACATAACATTTAATTAATAAATGGATTTTGTTCATCATAAAACATCATCAGCGATGGTCTATCCACGGCTGGATGAAGGCCTCCCCGTGTCACCATTCGTCAAGTCTTGCGATGTCAATCTATTCCACTCCGACACAAAAGCTAATCTCTCATCGTTCCATCTCCACAGCGGTCATATTCTTTGACGTCTTCGCTCCTTTGGTTGCCATTCCATCGCCAGTCTTCTTATCGGGTTCACATTAAAGGGTTATAGACATAGGCGTCTTAACATGCCCATTGTTTCTGGTCCGAGTGCCATCTAGAGTGACAGATACTGGTCTGGGTGTTTTGTTGGACGGGCCATGGAGTCCGGTGCTGCGCACCTGATCCTGGATGTTGGTGCCCGCCAAGTCAAGCGCGACGAGAGCCGGCATGTTCCCCAGCAGCTCTAGCCCAGCGTCCGTGAGTTGATCGCAGTAGCGCAGGCTCAGGTGAGTCATGCTCTGACACCTGAGCAGACATCAGGAAACAAGCGAGTCACACACGAGGCATTGCCAAAAACTAGCAGCACCTGAATGATTGCTCTACCCCAACATACCACTTCCAAGTCCCTCTATAAGCGAGCCCAAACCCTTGTACCCTCTCACAGAGTTCATCCTACCTTTGTGTAGGTTTCAACACTTGCGCTCTTTAGCTCTCCGATGTACTTTCAAATTGAGCTCACCGTTGGGACTGGCTGTTGCCCAGGAGAAAATTTACGCGACCACCGGTCCACTCTCACAACGAAGTGGTAATCTGTCCAGACAGGGGGTGAGTGCGATTCTCACTTGGGGATCAGCCTCGTCAGGGTGAGGTCGCTCACTCGCACGCAGTTGCTCAGGTTGAGCTCGTGGAGGTGGGCGGCTGCCGCTCCCTCGGTCAGGTGCCTCAGCCCCGCATCGGTCAACCTGGCTCACACACATCGACAACAACGCAGGGCAACCCTATACCGCTGCAGTATGAACAGCATATTCTGCACGCCTTGTAGTAAAGGTGCATTACTTACACATGCAGCTGCTGGCAGCAGGGCCTCCACTAATAGGAGCTCGAGAGAGAGCCCCTCTAGATGGTATTTTGACCGACTCGTCTACGCCGACATCTTAGAAGAGGTGGAAGTATCCACACTTTACCCCAGCCCACATGCACAATCTATCCTTCCATCAACCAGCTGTGCTGAACCCATTTATGCTACTGGGTGGAGAGAGGCTGCAGGTCGGGGGGGGGGGGGGAGGGGTTGCGGGGGAGTGTGGGGGAGGGGTTTTAAGAGACTTGCACCATTGTTTTTACCGTTAAGCCGAACCGGCGACCTCTAAATTGCAAGTCCCGTGTGCTAACCATCACACCAAGACGGCGTCCCTGTCTCGGAGTGACGCAGATTTATTGCAGCGTTAGTGGGTTGGTTGTGGTTAGGTTGAGTGGCAAGGGCTGGAAGGTCGGCTCACTTGGCGCAGTCGGAGACGTTGAGCAGGCGAAGTTGCCGCAGGGCAGACACGGCCTTGAGCGCACCGTCCGTGAGACTGGAACAGCCCACGACCTGGAGGCTGCCGAGCCCCGCGCAGCCCTGGCAGACAGCTCGAACCGCGTCGTCTGACATCTGCTCGTTACCTGCAGGGATAACACTTTCTCAACGACTTCATTTCAGCTGCGTATGTCTGGGTGGGTGACCCAGAAAACACGTCCGCAGCCACATCAAGCACATCTCTCGCTATGACTGTGACTACTTGACACGTGCAGCCTCCCCGTCTACTCACAACCCCAGAAAATATTCAGTGAGACATTTGTCCCTGCTTTGCACCCGTGCACGTCGTGGGAGCTATTTGACCATGATTTCACCACGCTGGTCCTGTGCGAGCTGAAGACACGGACGTTGGAAGATGGGTAAAGTAGAATGGATTCTGCTGCACTATTTTATGCCCACAAAATAGCACAAGCCCAGCAGGCTAGAACACCTCCCTTATGCACGGTGTTCATCCATCCAAGCAGTGTCCAGGCTCGAGCCTGCTAAGCTTCCGAGATGTGACGAGATCGGCCATATTCTGGGTGATTCGGCCATAGGCTCTCCCGCTCACACCACTGGCAAAAGGTAACGTAAGCACAATGTGGCAAGGGCTGCTTGCTGCAGCAGCACAGAACCACACCCCATGGCAAGCAACACATGGCTGGACGAAGCCCCACAAGGGCACTGCCTTAATGAACGTTTCCTGTACGTCTTGTGAATGTAAATACGCTCAGTGACTGTACAACAATATACACCATAATCACGATTATTTTACCCACGGAAGCGTTACCCAGTCTCAAGACTAGTTTTCGTGAGGGTCTGGCATCGAGGTGTTTGGCTAAGACCGTGTTGTGTGGGAGGAAACCAGAGGAACCCTTTAAGAAAATATTTTAATAGAGGGACTGGTACATTGATGCATGATTAAAATACACGTGTGCAGCACTCCAGGTAAGGGTTTGGTTGTTTGAGTAATTCCGTCCTTCGGTTTTGACACTACGCGAGTCAAAAATGTACGTTACTTTGAACTACTTTAAAAAAAAATGCTTGTTCTTACATTACAGCGAAAAGGGCGGATGAAAACCCCATGAATGTTTCTCAAAGAGTCTTCTTACAACGTTTAATTCCAAAAGAAACAAACACCACGTGTTGTAGTTTAGGGGTACACATCACAGAACACCCCCAACACAGGCCCCGAGGGTCACGTGACCACTCAGTCACCGCGAATGCATCAGTTCTTCTCCATCACACGACCTCAAGCTGTACAGCAAATTTGCTGTCTATTATTATGCATTTCACTTAAATGTTGCGTCCAGTACGAGCACATCTGGAGCAATGCACATGCGATAATCTGCTTTTCAGCCACCGTGTGTGCATTGTTACACTCAGAGGAGGGTATGTTTTTATAACGTGTTCCCCGTGCCATGTAACTTGCCTTCGGTCTGAAGGCTCGCAAGTTTGCAGCACTTCGCCACAGCCTTGAACGTTGCGTCGGATATGTGCGGAGAGCCCAGCAGACTCAGGCTCTGCAAGCCGCGGTTCACTTCAATCAGCGGCTGGAATCACAAACAACACATTTTGTTTAAAAAAATATTCTATACCGAGCAGATGACCGAGTTAATATTGTCTGCTTGAGTGCCCCGAGGGATAACGATCTCTCATCAGTTACGTCCTTCACGTGTGGTTTGTGACGCTGTACAGATTACGCAATCGCCGGAGAGAAAACGCAAGAGACATCATATTGACCACTAAGAACCGTGGGCTTGTGCGGGACACGTCGCTAGACGGGATGACGACCGGTGGTCGAGACCAATGCTGGAGCCGCAGCCAAAGGAGGCAGCGTGCACAGGAGTATGCCCACCGAGGACATTGAGTGATGAATGCAGCTCGCGTCCAGGAGTTTTATGGATTCTTTCATCGTTAAATGGCGTGAGATGACGGCTTCAGGGAGGCCTGAACCCAGAAGTGGATATATCATGGCTGATGATGATAATTAGGAAAACGGAACTCAGAGTTTCTATGAATATGTTTATACTTGATCCCTCGTACATTTATCCATTTTTTTAATCCACTTGGGACTCCACCTAAAGTTAGGAACTCAATCCTGTACGGAAAGTAGAAGTATCACGATGGATTGATGCGTCGTTCAATTTTGTTTCGTGTTACTACCAATACACGCGTTGAATCTCGCGTGTAAGAATCAATGATGTTATTAGATTAGCGGATGCAATACATAACGATTGCATGTGGCCCCTCCAGCCAATCTAAATCTTGAATCGAAACGCAACCCTGATTTCGTGACAGTACATTGAAGCGTAGTGAGGAGGGAAATGGGGGGGGGGGGGTGGCAATTATTACTCTGCTAATATTAGTGTATCTAGCATTTGTTTTCAATTAGTATCATTGTGAACCCTGTGGAGACTGTGAGCCCTCTTAGCAACATGCGTTTAAACGGGCACGAATGCTTTACCACTACTTGCTAAACCTCCACAGTAAGTTGCATTTACCATTGTTGCTCAAATCGTGTTATATATCTTAACGTATAAATATAAAAACACAGCCCTTTGTCATTCCACTTCTGGATGAAGGCCTCCCCATGCCGTATCAGTCACGGGGGTTGTTTGGCCGTACTTTGCCATGCCGGTTAGCGTAGATTTGCGATAACGTGCTGCATAAAGCATGAAGGAATCTGGCATCCTTCGCAGAAGATGAATCACCAGCCAACTTGAATGCGTATCCCAACATAACAACACTTTAACCATACCCATAAGATCTTATGGCAGACCAATGCTTTCCAAATGCATCATAGGACAAATTACATAAGCAATGTAACAAAAGAACCCGTTCCCAGTAAATAATCAGTTTCCTGAGCACTGCACGGATCGTTACATCGTTACTAAATTACGTTTACTATCAGAGGTTTGTGCATGTTTTACAAGCATGCATAATTAGAGGAGTTGAAACTTTGCATTGCTTTGGCCCAGATGTTTATTTCTTTGCTATGTTTGTTTTGCAGCCACCCATCATCCTAATTGCTTCATGTAATCTGAATGCTATTATAAGCTGATTGGTAATCACAGGAATGAGCAGAATGCGGTCTCTTTACTCACCAGCAGACATCCGTCTGTTAGCGTGGGGATGTCGTTAAGAACCAGCGAGAGGAGTCCATGGCAATTTGTTGCGATGGACTGAAACGCGTCCACTGATGTCTGAGAAAAGCATAACACCGAACACTTCAAATCCAAGTATACAACTTCATGCCCAGGCATAGCACTTTAAAACAAAGAAATTGGCACGTTTGTTCACGTGACAACTTTATTTGTTTGGCTGTGTCGCGTGGCAGAGGGTGTACAAGCAATGTTGGCATTTAACTGGCACGGTCTGAACCAAAAAAAATCTATTATGAATAGTGGCGTAGACGTTGGGAGCACAGAGGTACAATACGCTACATTTTGCTTAACTTCCCTCTGGTGTCCACCACGTAGGCCCACAGCCCTGTGGCAATCAAGCTCTTGTGCAGCAGGGGTGGTCGCCCACAAAAAGCGCGTCCAGGCTCAACATTTGCCGAGATCCGGTGAGATCGGGCAATGCCTTCTAGGCGATTTGGTCAACGACCGGCAAAAGATTGAGATCAACAAAATGAACAACAAAAGTTTCAAATATTGAGGCGAGGGCTGGCTGCCACATGGCAGGCGGTCTCACGTGGAGATGAGAGGCTGGTATCTAAGCCCGCACACAAGTTTGCAATGCTGCTGCTGCTGCTTCTCATCATCAATTATGCAGTGTGTATAACCCCAATCCTCAATAACAACCAAATAAATCCGGAGCCTTTCACGAAATAGTCTTCTGTGCATCATTGTGGTTTCATACATCAAATGTTGAAAAGTAAACGTTCACAAATGTCTGGTATTTTCAATAAGGTGTTATTTTTCATGGATAATAAGTGCCTGGGGAATTATTAATTCAACATATGGGTTGCTTGGTCCGCTAGCCATATGAAAAACAAATGTTATGACCCACTTAATAATATTTAACTTACAGCCATTTGCCAATCCACTGCTGGATGAGGGCTTCCCTATGCCACATGGCTCATGGATGTTATTGTGCCATGCTTCACCATGCTGCTCAGTGCGGGCTGGTCAAAGTGGTGAGAATATATGCAGGAGGACAGAGGTACAGCTCACAATGGATTTTTCTGCACTGCCCTCTGCAGCCCAACATGTAACCCCACAGCCGATAACACCTCTAAACGCTGGTGTTCATCCAACGGAGAACTATCCAGGTGCAAGTCTGCTTAGCGTTTGACATCCGACAAGATTAGACAAATATGCTAAGATTAAACTGAGAATATTATTCGAGCAAGCTCACCGTGTTTAATAGAAACGCCTAACCGTGCAGCGGCCGTAGCGTTCTCTGTAAACGTCGAGTGAGTGAACCGCTTGTTCTGAAGCAAAATTTGTATTCAATTTACCAACTGCTCGCACATCTGGAAGCAATTACTGTGACTGCTCAGAGCAATGACACATTTTTGCACACGTCCCAAAAAAACTCGACTTCATGGTCGGTCCGGTCGAGAGGAGTGCAGGAGGGAGGGAGGGGGGGGCGGTGGTTTAAATGACAAAAGGAATGTTCATTGGCTAGAGCATTGAGCTTTATAGGACGAGAGTAAATGTAAAAGCCCGAGCGAGCCAAAGCTGGTTTGCAGCCGCAAATGGCCTTTGCTCAGAGTGTGGGCGCTGGCCATGTGCTACAAGTATTGAAAACATTTTAAATGCCCCACCTGCGTGCATCCGGAGAGGTCGAGGTACAGCAAACGACGGCAGCCGGTGCGAGTGGCCAGGTAACGCAACCCTTTGTCTGTAAACTTGCAGCAGTAGGCCAGGCTCAAGTACTGCAGCGGGAGACAGAATCTACCCACGAGAGGGGACAGGGGCAGGAAGGTAAACACTGCCAAACTCTCCGCTTTTGTAGCTCTAAGCATTTTTTTACAACTCTATGCAGCAACGTGAAATGTTTTCGCATTTGCGTTCGGTTTACGATCTCACGTGATTTTTTTCATTGCACCGTTAAGGAAAACTTAAGGGGGCTATGGTTTTTCCATGCCGGCGACGTCGTGTAACGTGTAACTATCGCGGTTCCTAGAACGCTTGCCAGGAGATGTTTGTGTGTGGGGCCCTGGCTGGGATGAGTTTCCCCGTGTCGTGGTGGAGTTGACGCAGCTGCAGCAGCGGGCGAGCACTGTACACAAGTGTTGTGCTTGGGGGGGTGGGGGATGGGACCGCCGCGTCTCTCGTTTCTAAGCTCATTTGCACCGCGGAGCAGACCGCAGTCTCCAGCCTCCTCCTGAGCGTGGACCTCGGCCAGTGATCGGGGTGCTGGTGGTGGAGGGGGGGGGGGAACGAAAAAAAACCCAGGGAGAGGACGTGGCAAGACAAGCGCCCTGGAGCACACCTTCTGGACTCTTGCAGGTGAGCCATTCACACAGCTGACCAGTCTGAAAGGTATGTGCTCTGATGAAGGTCTCATGCCCGAAACGTCACCTATTATTTATTGTCTTCATTGAAGGCCACAGTGTTAATGACGTGCACCACTGCCAATGCAGCATCACCATATAATTTAATAGTACATTTTTTTTTCAATTACTCCGCTAAATAACGTTGCTTTTAATTGTGCCTAGCCGTTGTAGGCTATGAAAACTTCTTAATGCAGTCGTCCAAGTTCTCATGTACCAATGCCTAAATTATAAATATATATTTTTTAATACTGAGAAGTTACGCAAGAGAATGTAACGGAACAGCGATGCTGAGATGACATGAAGTACAAAGATACATATTAGAAGGGGAGTAGGAAAGGTGACATGCCTTCACCGAAGTTATTCAACTTGAACACGTGTTTTCTGAAAATTGGACTGGCTGAATGAAGGCATAAACACAAAGGGATAACAAAATATATTTTCTGATGACAAAGTATGTACAGCAACCCATGGAAAAATCAACTAATGGAACTTAACAAATAAGGCTGCAAAGTTAGGCTCTCAGAGCTAAAAAAGGAGTCACACAACAAGTTTGTTAAACAAAAGAAAATCATGTTGGAGGGACACAGCTGTAAAACACGACAGTGGTTCCTCGGCAATTACTGGAGGCAGACCAGGATCAAAGCGATGGCACAGAGATGTGAGCGCAAGCAGGCTGAAATGCTTTCACAAAACTGAACTTCATTATGAAAAGCAGCACATGTGCCCAAAGCAGAGTTTTCTTTGTAATCAGTCATTGTTACCTACTTTGACATATGGCTCAGAAACAAGGGCACTGATCAAAGAAAATGGAATAACAGCTGAAAGGTATGCAAAAGCGTGGAGATATGCATCCTTGGAATTAGACTAAGACACATAAAGAGGAACACATAGACCAGAGAACTAATGCAAACTTTATGAATATTGATTGTCGAGGGTAGCAAGTGAACTTGGGCACAGCACATCTCTAGAAGGGAAGATGACCGATGGCCGAGACTGATGATAGAATGGCAGCCGAAGGAGGGAGCACGCCCAAAATGCCAAAAGAACGCAGAGATGGAGCGATGAGATCAGGTCATGTGCAGGAGCTGGGTGGATTGTGGCATCGCAGCAGCGTGGGAGATGGAGACGTCATGGGGAGGCCTTTGTCCAGCAGTGGTAAGATCTTGTCTGACTCCATGGCTACACTGCAGGCTCATCGTGTCTCGCTCCGTGGAGAACACGCCCGTACGTCGACTACATCCCCTCCCACTCCACGGGGGACTCTTCATCAACGCTCACAACTTCACCTCATGTTTGGGGACAGTTTTAGATTTTTTAATACTGATCATTTCTTGTATTTGCATTAAATGTTTCAAATGTATGGATGTAGAACTTCTTTTACAGCGTATGTAGCGAACCGTGCTAATCAGAGGTGCGGGGGAAGGACAACAAACTAAACGAGATAAATTAGTTTTCAATCTAGATTAAACGTACACAGCTCCAGTGGCTTGCCAATGTAACACGCTTACAATTTACAAAAGTTAATCAAATAAAATGATAATTACTATAAACAATACTAAGCCGTAGTTGCACACCTGCCCAACCACTTCAGCTTCACACAAAACTGGTGTTGTCAGTGGGAGCCATGCCTCTGACAACCGTGTTTATACAACACAATTTGGATGTGTATAGTGGCGTCTAAATACGATCGCATCTCAAGATGCTGTACAGAAACAGAGGGCAAATATATTTAATTTAGAGAGGGAGTGAGTCACAGGCAGAGCGAAAAAAAAGAGGTCTTCAGTCTGCACTTGAAAAGGGAAAATGAACAGCATGGATGGCTGGAGAGAAGTTTCGGACCCTGGGGGCAGCATTGAAGAATGAGCAACCTCTCAGCGGAGATATTTCTTGACTCCAGTGTACTATTCCTAATATTTGTTGCATTGCAATATGTGAATAGTTTCCACAACTAGCTCATTCAGTAAAACTCCATTCTTAGGCATCTACTTTCATTTGTTGTTTTCAAGATAATTAAATAAACAGTCTTAGTTAGCAGCATACATCAGCCTGACACGGACGAAAATGTACTCTAGCAGAATACAACTACGTGTGTGCCAGGAGTGTACAGAGGTGAAGAGTTACCTGGCCAGGGCGCGGAGAGAGCCGTCACCTATATTAGTGTAGGCCAGGTTGAGGTAGAGCAAGGAGCGGCATCCTTCTGCCACGATGGCCACCATTTGATCCTGAGAAACAAAAGCCAGCGCTAACCATTGTCTTTTCCTTCGTCGTCGTCTGCGCCATCACCACATCCACGCCACAGTCCTTCAAATGGGCATCTGTGACTACTGGCCATCTGTGAAAAAGAGCTTGGTAGCTCATAAGATTCCTCCCAGATAAATATTCCGATCATATCCTGGGTCACCACTCCAAACCACCCCTTTATGGGCCTGCCTCTTGGCCTCCACTCAGGTGTTTCCATGTTCATCACCTCTCTTGTTGCGATGTGATTCTCCTGTTGATAACGTCCTAGCCATCCAAGTCGACTCTGTCGGCTTGCCTGAGATGGGTACCACTGTTACCTTCTTCATCGATTAATTTCCTTCCCGAGCGATATCGATTCTTACACTGGTGATAAACGCACCACATTCAGAGGCAGCTCTCTGTTTCTGGCTTTACAACACATCCTACCTATCTATACATTCAGGTCGACATTCTTTCAGTGTCTGGAAAATAAACAACTCTGGCTTTCTCTTCATTTCTGACCAGGTCCAGAAAAGTATTCCCTCGAGGCCACGAATATTTGTTCCCAACCAGTGAACATCTTTTACTTCTTTGTACCCTAGGGTTAGGGGTCAGAGGTGAGGTGGCTGCATTTGTTAAGATCGCGTTAGCACCCAGAAAACCGAGTGAATGTTTGACAAAAAACTTTGAAAAGTGATCTTAAAATTGTAATTTCAGTCAGAATTGCATGGACTTGTGTGTAAAGGATGACTTACAAAGGAGGGGGTACAATTATTCATAAAGGGGATCAATAACCATAAAGGGGATCAATATCCATAAAGGGGATCAATATTCCCAAATATTATTTCCTAGGGGGAACAAAAACATTTGTTCCAAGAGGAACAAATGTTTCCTAGAGGAACCAATGTTTGGAGGTAACATATATTCTCTGACACTGGCTACAATGCAGGAATAACATCTCCTTAAATATATAGTCTTCCTTATTTTTCAAAGTACGTTTTATGATTGGGATCGTCTCTTGTTGTCGAATTCGGCAAACCTGTGACATTTTAGCCGAATGGAAGGATGTTTGGGAGTCGCTACAGCGGTCATTATCACGGTGGTCTACTGCACTGCATGGATGTCACCATGTGCTGGGTTTCACATAGCTACAACAAATGCCTGCAAGCACGAGCAGCAGTAAGAGATGGTAATCTGAAGATTGGCCGGGCTCCACGTTGTTCATCTGGATAGAGTTTAAGCGTCCTGATATTAAAGCCATAAAAACGATTCTGTAAATTACCACCAATAAATGTCTTCAGGCACTGTACAAAAGCCACACATCTCCTTTTTTGTTTCAGAACTGAACAAAACTTGTCTCGTGCTCATTTAAGGAAGGCCAGCATCACTTGTGAAGAGGTGATGCAGTGGTTAGCCCAGTGTGTGATGAGCCTAGTGACCTCAGTTTGATTCCTGGCCATGGCTAACATTAGTAATAATTATTTTAAATCAACCGATCCTGGGCCCACCTCCTTCCCCCTACCTTTACCTCCCTTCACTGATCAGTACGGTGAAGTACAGTCAACCAACTTTCATGACTGACATGGCATCAAAACCTTCATCCAGCAGTGGATTACAGTGTGTCCTGAGTGGCCTGGCATGCCGCTCGGTGAAGGATATTACCGTCAAACCCATGCATTCTGAGAGATTCAAATCTTGCAGGTTCTTGCACTCGCCTGCAAAACAAACAAAACACATTTCATTAGTAATGTTGTGTCCACTCTTAGATGCAATATACATACACATGCAAGCTAATTTTACTATCATACGGTGTGTAATGATTCACACCCCTCATGATGACGAATCGTCACAATGTTTGGTGGAAATTCAGTTAAATATTTTGTTTCGCTTGTAGTGAATGCGGCGACCGTTGCTATTTTCTTGGTCACCAACCCAGGTAGAATGGGCCGAAATTACCCCTTGATTAATCCTCTGTTATTTAGCCATTCATCTGAGACCCCACGCTGCTTCTCCACAGAAATCGCAAGTGACACTTTGGCGTTATAGTGGCGCAGCAATGCCAGGCGGAGGAGGAGCTGTGCGCTGGGCGTGGGGCTGCCGTTGCCCCGGAGCCCTTCTCGTCTTCTCGCTCGTGATCATCACTCTGCTTCCTTGCATCTCTACGGAGAAGAACCCACGCAGGCAGCGCCTGGGTGCCCGCACGCGCGCATGCTCGGGGGACTGTCGCCGGGAGCAGAGGGCGTTTCCCCGCAGCGTGGATGAGTGCGAGGTATTCTACTTCAACGAAGAGAAGAGCCTGGATTGCAGAGGAAGGGGCCTAACCAGCCTGTCGGCGAAGATTCCCCACAACATCATTCACTTAAACATGGCACAAAACAAGATTAGCGTGCTTCTGGACTACCAGTTTGTCAAGTTTCAGGAGCTCAAATCTCTAGACCTCAGCGGGAATGTCATTCAAGAAATGCAAGCAAACGCGTTCGCAGGCCTCAACGCTCTGCAGACTCTGCTGCTGCAGTTCAACCGCCTGGCGCTCGTCGCCGAGGAAGTGTTCATTCACCTACCGAAGCTGCAATTTCTCAGGATTTATAAGAACCCCTGGCACTGCAGCTGCGAGATGGAGGGAATGTTGCACTGGCTGCAGCTTCCCAGCAGCCGACACATGGCTCTCTACGCCGAGTGTAGCTCCCCCTCCGAGCTGGCCGGAGAGAAGCTGAAGAAGGTGAACTTGCAGGTGCTGTGCCCCGCGGCCGCATGGGGCGCCTACTCCAGCCAAACAGACCTGAGCAAGAACACCACAGACCCCAAAGAGGAGACCGTACAAGACCTCACTCCTCAAGTAACCACGATTGGCAAATGCGTCGTCACCAACTTCCCAACGCACGCCGTCAATTGCCACGGCAAAGGTAAATCCTTAGATTGATTCACAACAGTGCCATTGTGTTGCAAGGTTCTTTTCGGTTAAATATTACACACGTGAATCAGAATAACAAGACAATCCTGCGAATTCTGTAACGACGTCCCACGTTCGTTTGTCCTGGATAGTATATTCTTAGCTATAATATTCCACTCCGAGTCGCACTCGATAATGTCACATGGCGCGTTACATGTACGCAACGCGACTTAAGGCGTACTGTAACGTTGTCAATGGGAGGCGAGCGAGAGGCTCACACTTCCGCTTCACTTTGGTACGGCGAACACTTTTAGCGCTGGTTTTGTCTCCACATTTTGGGCAACATTTTAATCAATTCGGCCAGTATTCTCACAGGCAAATTCCTCATAGCAACACAAGTGTGTGCTAAAGTTTCAGTCACGTGCTAATCTGTTACAGAAAAGCAAATGGACCAAACTAACTAATGAATTCAACCTTAGTTGGGTTGCATTTAAAAGAGCATTAACGGCAATTATTGGGAATCGCTAATAAATATTTCTAAGATTTACGGCAGAAGACACGAATATTTACCATTTTCAACAAAATGTATATTTAAACTTTAAACATATGCCATGAACTTTTTTGTAAACCTGAGAATCCTTTTCTGTTATACATCTAGGCATAACGTACATGTAGTCTGTAGGCATAGGTAATATCTGACCAATCCATTAAGTGTACTTCTGCTTTGCTTGGCAGGACTCCTCATGATTCCGAAGAAGCTCCCGCTGGACATAACCAGCCTGGACATGTCCTCTAACCAGATTCACAGCCTGCTGGCCGGCAAACTGCAGTCATTCAGGCATCTTCGCTTCCTTAGTCTGCGGAACAACAGCCTGGACTACATCCACCCTGGTAAGGAAGTAGAGCGCCACACACCTTGCCGGGCCCACCTCCGCCCACACGACATACACATGCGTGGCAAACACACTGGACTATGAACTGGGTCACTTGAGTTTGATTCTTGGCCTTGGCTAACATCAATGGCGAGTGATATCTAAACCAATCCTGGGTGCCTCCCTTCATCAACCTGAACTGACCAGCGTGTTGAGGTCTGGTCAAACAACCCACACAATGGACACGGAATAAGGGAAGCCTTAATTCAGTAGTGGATTGACAAGAGCTGTTCATGTAAATACCGAAATTGTAGCTGATAATGTTCAAGTCTGTTTGCCACTGGTGTGTAACATTTCTGTGTTTACAAATGTGGAAAGAAAGAAGATCCCTGTATAGCCTTAATATGCTGTTAGGGCGAGTGCTTTTAGCGAGTACCTATTAAGGCTAAAAGGGCACACGAGGCCCATCACCATTCCGGCTGCCTCCGTCTTCCCAGTGGTGACGTGTACACATTGCACCAGGTACTGATTTAAAGCTGAGTAGACCTAAAAGAGGCCCAGGACCGGTTCCGATACTTGCCACCGAGATGTTGGCTGTGGCCACGAATCGAACTCAGACAGTTGGGTTCATAGTGCAGTGCGCCCAACACGACGCAATAACTTCCCACAAACACACAAACAAGCACCTGAATGAGAGATGTATTGCTCTCATCCCATGAGACGAGTGTACTGTATTACTGAAGTGTCGCCACTGCTATGCAGACGCCCTTGCAGGGCTGCACGTTTTGGAGCACGTGGACCTGCGCAACAATCGCCTGTCCAGCCTCGAGTTTGGGACTCTCAAGGACATGTACCACCTCCAGTCCCTGCTGATCGAGGACAACCCCTGGCGGTGTGACTTCGACATCCACTATATGGTCTACTGGTTCAGCTACCACATGGGGGTGAGGTACGGGGAGCCTGTGTGCACCCAGCCGTCAGAGTTCAAGGGCTGGACTCTGGCTAATTACATGCGCCGTTACTACAGCGACTGCTCCGCCAGATCAAACACGAGAGGCGGGTTAAACCAAGCAAACTCCTCCTCAATTGAGAACCAGTGGGATATTAGAAACAACAGCATAGATGAAAGCGTTGGTATCAGCACCGGCAGCATCGGCGTCTCCCTTCCGTAACGTCCCACTCTTTTAATCTTCTAGTGTGCAGCGACAAAAAAACCTCAGCTTGTGCCCAGGATGCCTCGCATGAACGTGCCGTAAATCACGACCGTTGGCTTGTCCCTTAATGCCGTGTCAAAACATGCGGGCCAAGAGGATGTTTTGTTTTACTGGCGACCACGCGTGTCACCGTGAGTGATGTGTTGGGTTTGGGCGTGGGTCTCGGCAGGTATGGATATGTAATGGTGTGACTCAACGCCTGGTTTGGTCTGCCAGCAGCGCTCCACGACACTTAAAGCTACAAATTCTACGTCCTTAATGGCGCCTTTTATAATGAAGCTTGCAATCTTACAGAGCCGGCAGAAGTGGCATGACGTTTAAATGCCTTAGTAGCATAACCCTAAGTTTTAACAATATTACATTGAAATAGAATCTACCCACCAAACTGGTTTAATGCAAATATCTTTTATATCATATCGGCCAGTCCCAACACTACCCTATACCCCCCCGAACGGAAAAATGCACTGTGCTCTGACACTAACCTTAGTTAGGAAAGTTACATGATTTATTTGATCTCATTAACTTATATTAGCTTAAAAAACTATCTCAAAGAAAATTTAACTCGGGGTATTTTATGCAACTGCCCATCACTATTTGTAAATACCAATTAGAATCCTCACAGTGATTTCATTACCAAAGTGAGACAAACATCTTTTAAATTATTTACAAATGTAATTTTACTCTTCAAAGCAACACCAATGTCAAATTTGGCACTGGAAAAATATTAGTGCAAAAGGATAATTGCTGTGCAGACACTCTCTGTCACAAGCACCAAACCACACGTTTCTTTTCCCAATAGGATGATCATTGTATTTGGCAGTTAGTTTTCAAATAAAATGTTGGGGTTATTCAGTTGGTCACAATTATTAAAAACTCATGTTTCTACAATACTTATGTTTGTATTCTGTGGATAATAAATTATTGGTTGACCGCTAAAAACGATTATGGTTTTAACTCCGCAAATGTGTCCCAGTCGAAAATTTATTAAAAGTGGGATTTCAGTTTTTTATGCAATAAAAATGCTCGTGTCGGGGTGTAAAATACATACTTAACTTTGTTCCTGGCTTAGTCTGAACAAGTTTTGCCAATAATGTCTGTGTGTCCCACGTGTGACGTCACTCCACGTCAGCCAGCCCCCCTCATTAATAATCATAACACAGGTGACGTCACTCCACATCGAACAGCCCCCCTCATTAAGAGGTGGCGTCTTCCAAATGGAACCCCCCCATTAATAAGAATTAGCGGGTGACGTCACTCCACATGGAGGGGTGAGGCGCCTCCTCCCCCCTCCTCAGCGTCAACTTACAGCCCTCACTACAAAGGTAGAACCCTCACGTCACACGATCTCCGTCACGCTGTTGAGACATCGAAGTAAAAAGGACGTCATCATGAACAAGGGATTATAAACTTTACACGAAATAAGTCTGTCACCGCGGCCTTACAAATTGCACACGAAATCATGCAATGAATATCACGTCGCAGTCTGCTTTTCGCTTGCAAGTTTCAGATTTACTGAAATACACCCGTCCTTGGATGGACAAAAGTCGAGTTGAAAATAAACTTTACGAATTGCCGCTTTTATTCCATAGCGTAGTGTTAAGCAGTACGGCCTGTGTTAGGTAGTTATATTGTGTTCACTCGCTGTTAGATGTCTAAACCGTCATAACTATTTCTGTCTTACGTACAACTTTTGTATTAAAATAAATGAATCCATTGGTTATGGACACCTTGTGTTTGTCATTTTAACTTGACGACGTACTGAATGGATTGTTAAGGTGCTTTGCCTGTTGAGACACGAGAATAATCTTTGGACGTTTCCCGCTTTTACTCCAATTGTGCCAGCAGGGTCATGAAATGAAGCATCCCTTTTGAAACATTGCAGAGCAATTGCATCATCCCATGTATTGGAGAATGGCCCATAGAAGCAAACAGTACAGAATCTGTTTGAGAAGGTTTTTTTTAATTATCTCCACACTAGTGGGATTACTTTCCCACAAGCCCTGCTAAAGCGATAAGTTCATTGCATAGAAGTGCAACACACAATGTGTGATTCTGTGAGCTGGAATTTAGCCAAATGAAGTGAAAACCCCAAATTGAATGTGATGGGCTTCTTTATTTTTATATACATTGAGAATACCCAGCCTTCTCTTGGATGGTTTCCTGTATTCAAACCCAGAATCTCAGTGGTACTGGTTCAGTCCACTGACCGCTGAGCCACCTGACAACCTCCAAAATGTTTATTATTTACAGTTATTATGAGTGGTTAAAACCTTTGGAATACAAGATGGTTAACTGATGTGATTGTGCACAAAATCGCACAATGGCAAAATCATACACATCACAGTTGACAATTCATAACAATGATGCGAGAGATAACACGAGCGATTACATAATCGCGGCACATCTTCGTGAGCGTGGCCAGCAGCAGTACGCACTGGGAGAGACCGTGAGTTGACTGTGCCCAAGTAGTGCCACTGTTTGACAATCAATCAATCTTTAGTTGACGAGCCAATATCGCCCTCACTAAAGTAGGCATCAGTGCACATTACAACGGAACGGGAAAGGCACGGGGGGGGGGGGGGCATAGAGCAAGAGGAATGAGAAAAGAAACCCGTAGCGCCCTCGAGAGCTAACACCGACCGAGCACAGTAAATTGCGACCGTGCTCCAAATCGAGTGGTGTGCTGGCTCCGCGTCGGTGGCATGGGGATATAGAGCGGAGTGGTCTTCTGGGTATTACATTTTACTACTGCTACTCCTCTTTATTGTAGCAATTATTGGCTTGTCTTGGCATGGTGTATACTGCTCTAGTCTGTAAGTATATTACCCGAAACTCGCATTCTTTTATCCTGCCAATTCAAAAGTTAATATGCTCTTCAAAACTGCACCCGAGTTTAATATTTATTGTACGAGTCAAATTGTCCGTTTTCCCCCCTATTTGGTTTTATTTTGGATATTTCATTGATACATTTCCCCAAGTTTCTCCCAAGTCTTCCTTGAAAAAAAAAGAGATTCGTCTCAATGGAATCTCACCTCATTTTGAAGCACTGACGATGAGGCTGTAATGTACTGTCATACAGCCTAGTTCAAGTAAAGTAAATATTTATTTGACATTAATAGCACAGTGTGATATTTTACCCACCTGGCCAATCAATTCATTGGAACGATTTAGGGGGTCGTGATTCGATTTAAGAACGGATTCGTGTTTTAGCATTATCATGAATGTTGCAGTCACCAATGTGTGCAGTATTCCCGTGAACATATAACATACAACACACGCGAATTGAAAAACACCGACTGTGACACATGATTCGGTGCACTTATCACCAGTGTAAGAATCGATACTGCCCGGGGACTAAATTAATTGATGAAGAAGCTAACAGTGGTAGCCATCTCAGACAAGCTGACAGAGTTGACTCGGATGGCTAGGATGTCATCAACAGAGGAAAACCACGTGAGAAGAAGATGATGAACATGGAAGCACCTGCGTGGAGACCGAGAGACAGGCCTAGAAAGAGATGGTTGAAAGTGATGAACCAAAATGTGACTGTGGAGTGGACTTGCAGATGGCTCAGAGCAATGAGGGAATGGAGAAACAGACTCAGGAAGGCAGGCCCCACACGAGTGTGAAAAACACCAAGAATCAGAATGGGAATAAAGAATGATAATCCTCACATCATCATATCACATTTCCTAAGCAATATATGCTGGGTGGTTAGTGCGGTGCTTACTGACGGCACGGAAGGCAGGTGGCCCAATTGTGGTGCAGCCCCTGAGGCTGAGGTGCAGCAGGAACGGACGACAACGGCGCAAGAGGCGAGAGACAACATTGTCATCGATGCGGCCTCGTGCTGGGAACAAATCCATCTGCACGCAACACCCCGACGCAGCACGGCGCTCGTAACAGGGCACACAGCATTGAACAGTGTAGCACAGTCAGGACAGAGCGTTAGATGTAATATAAAGCACAAAAGGCATGGAGAGGTGCATGCTTGGAGTTGCGCTGAGAGACGGGAAGAATAACACGTGGATTAGAGCGCATACACAAGTTAAAGCCATCATAACGACTGTGAAGAAAAGTGGGCTTGGGCAAGACACGTCGTGAGAAGGAACGATGAACGGTGGTTGAGACTCATGAAAAAGAGGCAGGCCAAGCAGGAAACGCATCACAGAGAATGTCTACCACGCATATGGAGTGATGAAACAAGTCATAGAATCGAATGGATTTTCGTATTGCGAGATCGCCGCAAGAAATAGCACCAGCTTGGGTTCACATTCATCCAGCAGTGAATAGATGATGGCTGCCGATGATGAAAAGCAGAAGATTTATCTGAAACATGTAGTCAAGTATGGCATCACAGCCTGAATATCGCACTCCATGGGTACAATTGGAAAGTTAACACTGCAGGTAGCACTAGACAACACAGCAGCCGGCATGCCCCAGGTGGGTGCTACAAGTTACCCGGCTCCACAGGATGCTGGCTTGGGAAATGACCTTCCAGGAGCGGCATACACCGGCACATTTCACTAGGTTCATTATGTCCAAGTAGCTGAAAATCTGCAAAGGAAGCAAACAAATAATATCCCTTAAGTATATTTTATGATCATGATTGTAGACGTGTTTTCTCATCATTAGCTGCACAAAACGTGTAAAAAAATATCAATTTGTATTTGAACAGATTGGTTCATCTCATCCTCCTCACAGCCTAGAAAAATCCCTCTCCGCAGTCATCCATGCTCTCGATTCCCTGCCTGTTTAAAACCAGGCTCAAGACTTTTTTTCTTATCAGCTACTTATTGTTATTAAATAACCATGGCGACCGATTAGTCACAGCATCCTTCGGATGTGGTTGCATTTAGATACGATATAAATCCAAACAGAGTTTAATATTGGACTCGATTAACATGTTGGGAAATGTTCTTTTCATTCAATGTTTGTTTCAAAACATGAGCATCAATGGGAAATTACTAAGAAAATGCATTTTGCCCATTTCGTTAACATGTGAATCTCTTATCTAAATCATAATTTACTCAATAAATAATTTTATTACAAGGGTCATTTTCATTTAAAGCATTTCATGCAACCGGCCAACTGGTCCCTTTACATTAACACCACAAGAAAACCTTTCTGGTGAGCCATAAGTCGCTGTTTCTCAAATACAAATGTTAATCAGCCTAAGTTGGTTCATTGTAGCTCATCTCTGCCCAACCTGTGTCTTGCAAACGCATGCTCAGACACAAAACTCAACCTTCAGAGCTGCCCGAGGAGGGAGCTGGGAGACTTGGTCAGCGGTGTTAGGTGGTGGAACCAAGTAGCTGTCGTTGTCCTCCTCCAGATCACCCCTTTCCAGCCGCTGCACTCAACTCACAATCAACAATCAGTTCATGAGCTCAGGACAATCAACATGTTTATGTAATTTTAGTGTGATTGCAAATGGGCTAAATTGAAGACCTCAAAGTATTCCTTGGTTTTGCGAGCATCCAAGGCAACAGTGTGCCAGGCTTTGAGGACCAGACTGCAGAGAAGTTGCTGGTATACCCGTTGAATCCGAAGAGCAGCTCCTGTTAGTGTGCAGCATACAGCAAGCATACAGCAAGCATACAGCAAGCAAACACATACCACACAGAAAAAACATCACAGTATGCACACATAGTCCATAGTAGGATCACAAGCCACACAGCAGAGATGCACATCACAACTCGCCCCCAATTATATCCAGATTGTGACATTGGTGTCACGACAAAATATTCATTCAAATCTATTGCAAAGTGGTGAAAGAACGGCTCGAGGGAGCAGATATCACAGAGATACAAGTGAGATGCCGTCAAGTGGATACTGGGCAGCTGCCTGGATTAAAACCTCGGACCTCAACGGTGCCAGCTCAACACTCTGACCTCCAAGCCACCCAGCCGCCCTCTATCACACATAAACGTAAAGGAACATGGAACCTCACCGGCCATGCGCTCCTGGCGTGCGTGTAGCCACTGAGACCAGCTGAGAAGGGCAGCACCCAACGTTTTCCGCATGTAATGGTCGCATGCTCGATGCAGGGCCCGCGTAAGCTGCTCCCTGCGGGCGCGCCGCCGGGCCCCGTACATGGCCCACCGTCTGTCATCTCAAACAACCAGTGCTTCTTTTCAGCCAGAATAGTCCACAATGATGCTCTGGGAATAATTTTGGCGCGCACACATCCATCTCACCTTACTCTGTTCTCATGGTACTGAATCTACACTGGCAGCAATGGTGAGTCCACGCAGCGAAAAAATTATAAACCTGCTCGTAGGATTATAGTCATATAGGGTACGATAATATAGGATCGTTTACCGTGACGTTTAGCGGTAGTGCTTTCCAATAATGCCTACTTCAAGCGAGCCTAGCAGCGTTCTGGAAAATATCAAGTGAGAAATTAAGCCCAGCACGCAACTCACTGAGTGTGTGCAGAAGAAATGGAGCGACCCCCCCCCCCCGCCCCAGACTGGGTGAAAGTTGACAAGGGGCCTCAAAAGAAGGCCTTGGTTTACTGGAGCAGAGAGCACGTGAAGGGCAGCAGAGTGAGAATTTGACAGGAGGTTTAAAACAGGCAGACTCAAACATAAGCCCAAAGCCTGTGGCTGCCTCCCTCTGATCCATCCTGACCTCAAAGAACCCCTGAAGACCCTTGATGAAGTGCTTCATACTGTGTAGCCTGAGTGTGTTTGCTTAGTGGGGATGTAAATGGTGTCACGAAGCTAAAGTGAAGTGCTTCACGGCACTTATGTGCCCATATGGAGAAGAGGGGTTTGTTCATTCATTACTAAATGTCTGTAAACAGTTGACATATTTTACACACTTTTATTTTATTACAAGAGCTAATCCACGTGTATAGCCGAGTTAAGAGTTAGGTCTCATATGAGACGTGTTGCCTTGACTTTGATAACAATTATTCATTATAACATTGTGTAGAAGCAGATCACCGTGTGGACTTGGTTTCCCATTCAGTTTCACACTTTACTCCTGATGAAAACCATTCTGTGCATCACTGTTAACTCTTTATAATATGGCTGGCTTCGTGGCTGCCTGCCACTGCCATTAAGGAGATATATCTGTTATAGATTTGTCCATCAAGGCGTTTGAAAATAAATAACCACTTCGTTTATGGCATTCACTAACCCGAATAGTAAACTTTTGTAACCTCGGATGCGCTTAAATTTTTTGTCGTATTTCAATACTCAATTTGGGATCTTTTGATTTCCCCCAGATGCTCCTCACACGTGGTTCCTACATTGCATCTGCTTTGTGGAAAACGATTCCTTCCTATTTAATCTTAATTGGAGGATTCGATTCACTGCTCGGACAACATGAATTCAATCAGTTTTTAAACTGTACCTTATTATTAAATGTATCTCAAATTGTGATTTAATTTCGTCCATTGATCCTGTATTACATTTGTAATGTAGAAATAGCTATCGAATTGCAGATTGATTTAGAATAGATTTGCACGTATCCTGAGCATAATAACATATTGCAATCGACGGTGCATCGTTACGTATGGAGTGTACACACTCAGGATGTACACACAATGGTAAGGTCTCCCTTTAGAAAGATACAAATTTCACTCGCTTTCAAACAAAAGGGCTCTCTCTCTCTCATCGTTTGTGAAGGTAGACTTATGACGAAGCACATGCAAGTGGTGTGCATGCAGTGGGAGATAAAAACAGCCGCTAGAATAATTTTATTTTAAACACGCGTTTAGACTATTTAGATTATTTTGCTGCTATAAATGTCCAAATGATAATCCACTTTGTTGAGCTATCATTTGCGGCCAGGTCGCTTTTGAAAACTAACTTAATACCTCAGTGGGTTTTGCCCGTTACGGTGGAGAGGTTTTAGTTGGATTTGTGCGAATTTTTTTTCTATTTTGAACTCCTATTGTATTTCATGTTGTTTGTTGTTGTTGTAACGATCTTACCCGCCCCGACTTTGTGATCTGTGAAAAAATATATTTACAGCTCATCGGATTCCTCCAGCATAAATACATATTCTGGCTCCGATAAATTCACGGCTACTTACATGAAATATTCCCGTTGTAGTTTCCTGCGCAGGAAGGAGTATGCCTTCTCAAACTGGTGGGGAGCAGGCTGTAACAAGCAACAAACACAACCATTAGGCTGACTAGATTGCAAGCATCATCTTGGTATTTTTTCAGCCAGAAACAAACCACAGCACTTGGAAAGTGTTCACGGGAAAGTGACCTTTGATTAGTTTTGTTTTTATCGCAGGACGGCGAGTGAACAAAGTCTACTTACCGCGTCGTCGTCGAACCTGAATATGAACGTCATGTATCCAGCGGTCACCCTCTTCAGCTTCGGCCTCAGACTCTCGTCAATGAACATCTCCCTAGCACGCGGGTGCATCGTGGGGCACAAAGGCAACACAACTACTGTTAAGTACAATCGTCATGCATTTATAACATCGACGGTAGGTTATATGTAACCGTGCAGGAACATTGGTTCAGGCAGTGATAGGAACCAAATCACCCAGAATACACCCGACCTCGGAAGCTAAGCAGGCGCTTTTTTGAGCCTGGAAAACGCTAGCGGGGCTGCGTGTTGGGTAGCAGAGGAGGATGCGGCAAACCCCATTATTGTACTGTATTCTATGCTCCCACGTCCACGCCTCCCCGCTCGCACTGACCAGCGTGGGGAAGTAGAACGCAAGATCCAAAGACCTCCATCCACGACCAGGTGTGGCGAGGCCTTTATCGAGTGGCGGATTGACTAAATAGCTGGACATATCGACTGGTTTGTGTGTGGCCGAATCTGCGGCACCCTAACCGGTACTGCACGCTGCACACGCCGATTTGATTGCTTCGATTCGTTGAATGTTTATATTCATTGAAAGCTTCTTCGCCATGCTTCGATTCGTTGAAATTCAACTTCCTGCAGGCCCTGCCCCTTCCTCTTTATACCCCGCCCCCTTACGCCTTAGGCCCCACCCCATTCCCGACGAGCCTCACCCCATCCCCGACTAGCCCCACCCCATTACCTACTAGCCCCACCCCATTCCCGACTAGCCCCACCCCTTTCCCGACTAGCCCCACCCCATTCCCGACTAGCCCCACCCCATTCCCGACTAGCCTCACCCCATTCCCGACTAGCCCCACCCCATTACCGACTAGCCCCACCCCATTCCCGACTAGCCCCACCCCGTTCCCGACTAGCCCCACCCCTTTTCGTGTCGACTCCATGCCTTCAGGGTCAGGGCTGGTTTGGTGGTGGTTGTCGAGTATGTGTGTGTGTGTACAGCAAGAGGTCGGGCGTGGTGCTTGCTGGTCACCCACCCCCTCGTGTGCCGTTCCGGCCTTCATAGGTGCTACTCACTAACAGCACTTGCCCCAACAGTATTTGAAGGCTCTACGCGGGATCTTTGTATTTTGTGTGTGTGCAGCAAGAGGTGGTGGGTGGTGACAGCAGTGGTGGGGCAGCTTCCAGGCAATCGACAAAGTCGCTCTCTGAGCACCAATGGACTCTACAGTAATTCCTCGTTTAACGTGGTAGATGCGTTCCTGAAAAAGTTCCGCGTGAAGCAAAAGCCATGTTAAGCGGCGGATTACTACGACTGAATCACATTCGCACCATGAAATCAGCCTTTCAGTCACCCCGTGGTGGGACAAAGCACTGAGACGAGGGTACGTTACCACGTACTCTTATCATTCCACGTACTCTGTCATTCCACTCAGCCGCGCAGCTCAAGAAAGAAGTTTCCTGTCAACCGCTCAGAAGCTGCGTTATAACGGTGCTTGTTCCGCGTTATGTGAAAAGTGTTCCCAAATAGCAGAATTCCGCTTCAGCGAAAATGCATTGTGTGAACACACGTTAAGCGAGGACTTACCATAATGTATAGGTCATAATACACTACCTATTCTTTGGGTCTTTCGGTAAAGTCACGTAGATAAGTTCAAAGAAAATAACAAAAAAACTACGACGTTTCGATCGCAACACAAGCATTCGTCATCCTGATGATGTTATTTTTTGTTATTTTCTTTGAACCTATCTACGTGACTTTACCGAAAGACCCAAAGAATATGAATTCCTGCAGTCACGAAAGCTTTAAGTCAAGAGTTAATACAATACCTGTCGAGGCAGTGTTCATGACAAATGTAGTAAAACTACTGTCAGCGCAGTCCTTTATTTGTTTGTATATTGTATTGCGTTTTGCCAAAACTTGTATTTATTATTTCATCTTGTACAACGTATGTTATACCTGTTGATATGCGTACTGTATCAAACAAGCTAAGAACTGCCATGTGTGCCTTAAACGAAATACTTTTCTTACCAATCCAAGGTGTGTAGCCCAAATTCTTGTATTTCTCTCATTTTGTTTAAGAGAAATTCCAGGGGATTTTCAGGGCAGAGCACGCAAAGTGCGGTCAGCAACGCCTGTGCAGATGTAACACACACACAACAGGGCACTCGAATAAAAATGAAATATGTACAACTGTGACCAAATCGCTTGGGATATGCCCGAACTTAACAGATTTCGACATCTAAGCAAGTTTAAGCCTGGATAGCGTTCGTATGGGAAGACCATCATGCATTAAACAGATGTAGGTTTCTGCCGGGGCTAAAATATCAGCAAGTAGCAATGTAGCCAATTCCATTATTGTTTTATCCTGTGACCCAATGTCTATGCCCTCACCTTCACCAACCCGCACTGACCAGAGTGGTCTAGTATGGTCAAATAACCCCCTCGACCTGCATGACGCGGGGAGGACCTCAGCCCGCAGTGGATTGGCAAAATGGCTGTGTATGTACCATGTACACAGTGTACAGCTGTGCCCAAGAGGGAAGTATCCACAGACACAAATCCAAGTGGATAAATAATAAACATTGGCAAACCGTTGTACAAACAGGACAGTTTACACATAACTCACATTCCAACAGTTTTAGTCCAATTCTCTGCACAGCCCAGTTCTTGGGGCATTTTATGTGTATCCTCCATTACCAGACGTGGTTGCTGGATTTACGCCAAGCAAATAAACTTGTAAGAATTGTGTAAACCATGTCAGGGAAATCTCGCTAAATACAGCGTCGTTGATTGGGCATGGCCCTGGCACTGATGTGCAACGTTTTTGTTCTCTCTTCAGGTTTTGTCTCAAGGACAAACGCCTCACATGATTAGAGATGGCAGCACCCTTGCACAACTGCACATTAGAAGGGCTGTTGTTTGTTTTTATCCTTTTACCTGTTGTTATTTTATCACGGTTGCTGAGCACAGACACAATGGCATGAAACGCCCAGCAACAAACAGCAATATTGAAGTTGTAATGGCCAATTATTATTTAGTTTGTTTTAATTGAGCAAGGTTCTAAGAATTTAAGAAAAGAGATCGTGTTGGGGAGTTCCAGAGTATAACAGTCCGTTGGATGAAAGTGGAAAGAGAAGTGGTGTGGCCGCCAGTGTGGTTGGTTGAACAGTGTAGATGAGATGGTAAGTCTGGTAGACCGAGACCTCAACATGGTTGAAAGATCAATGGGTGAAATTTACGGAAACAGTAACCATGGCAGGAGCGATAAGATAAGAGACGACTGACTTGTCAGTGAGCGAGTGAACGGAGGGAATCAGTGAGTGCTGGCTCATCAATGAACTGCCACAAGTTGAATTATATCAAGTACAGTGAGGAAGAATATGGGCGCTCCATCCCAGCTATTTCAAAAATAAATTGCAATACGACCCAGATGTGTATGGATCGTGGAAACATTTATAGATGGATGGAATGGCTGCAATCCAGACAGGAGCACGTGTGTGATGACGGCTAAGTGGTAGACCGACTGATGGTTCAACTCTGGCTAACGGCGAAGCCTGAGATTCGTCTAAAACACCGTTCGCCTCTTGAGAAAGGATGCGGTGTTAAAGCACGATGATGCATTGCCAAAAACTGCACGTGCAAGGAATTTTCAGCAAAGCTTGGATGGAATGTCTTGTAACATCTGGCACGCGGTTCAGACATAGTCCCCGCAGATTTCCATCTGTGCGCACTCCTGAAAGCTTTTCGTGGAAAGCGATTCAATAGAAACGAAGTTGTGGAAGCAGTGGTGAAGTCATGGCTTCAGGGTTAGCCAGGAAGGCGCTTGTGGGCTACTCGGGGTGGGGTATTTTAGTCGAGGGGAACTACGTGGAGCGATATGTACTGTAGTATGTTTGCCATATTGATGCTAATATTTGAAAGGTAATGTTTGTCTCTTTACTCATTGAAACATCTAAGATTAAATCACTTTCAAAGTGCCAAATCTCATAAGATCTCGGAAGATAAGCAAAGTTGACCCTGGATGGGGCGACTGCAATTCATAACATGTGATTCAGGCTGCCGGGGGCCATACGTCGTGGGCAGCAGATGGCAGTGTCGCACATAAACCATTGTACCGTACTTCTATGCTCCCTGCCTTCAGCAACCCACACTGACTAGTGTGGTAACCTTTGGTCAAATAATCGCGGTGGACAGATAAAAGAGTTGTACATGTACTCATTGAAACGCCCTGGCATGTTATGCAGTTGACATTGAACGTTCTCTTGAGCATTCACCCCACTCACCCCGGCTTGTATATATGTGCCATTCCAAAGGACCCCATGGACTTTTGTGCCTACAAGAAGCTGTAATTATATGCTCAGGAAATTAGAGACTGTGTCTGCGTTGAAGATTAGTGGGGGCGACGCTGTGGTTATGGTCACTGCATGAGAATCTGATCCTATTCCCGGGCCACGGTTACAATCAGCGGCGAGTGATATACGAACCGGTCCTAACCAGCTCCTTCATCAACCCACACTGACCAGCGTGGTGAAGTATGGCAACAATCCCCATGACAGACGCCTTCATCCAGCAATGGACTCACAAATGACCGTTGATTATTTGCATTGAGTGCAGAAATGCAGCCAGTCTGAATGAACTGCAGTACTTTATCACAAGTGCTGTAATGATTTTCAAAACATGTGCCCGGAACATGCGCTCTTTGGCTATCTATTTGTAAAAGCAATTTTCACTGTTACATTTTCCATCGGAAAAAAAAGTTGCCTCTCAAGATGTACACCAGACACAGTGCAGTGATGTCGAGGGGGGTCTTGTAAAAATTCCAGCGCATTCAATGACACCAGAGGGGATGTATGTATGTTGTATGTATGTTGGACTTATTTCGCACCGTACGTAGCCAACCGTGCGAATCGGAGGTGCGGGGGGAAAGACAACAGAGGGGTGAGAGGGTTGAGGTAAGAGGAGCGAGGTGACAGGTGAGTGGGCAGAGGTGCGAGAGGAGACGTGAAGCCGAATGAGTCAGGGGTGAGACGTTGAGGCAGTGCCGGATTAAGCTCGTGCGGGGCCTGTAGTACATGTTATAAAGAGGCCCTAAAAAGAAAACACCACAAATATTAAAACACAAATTTTTTACTTGCATAGTAAAGTAATTGTATTTTTTCATTTGTTATACAGCCAGATAATACAAATCGCTAACCTTAAACAACCAGTCGTTCGTAAAAGCTGAAGGCGGTGTAGTACTATAGTAATAGAGCAAGTGCAGAATCACTGAACCGGAATTGATCGTCTGAAAGCATTTATCGCGGGGCCCTTTAAAGTTCGGGGCCCGTAGCTTATGTAGCTACTTTTGCTCCCAGGATAATCCGTCACTGCGTTCAGGGGGTGATGAGTGTGAGAGGGACGAGGCGAGGGGATCGAGACGGGTGAGAGGTTGAGGGCTGCGAGGTCAAAGTGGTGAGAGGTGCGATGGCTTTTCAATGCGAGTGGCTCGGGATTTGGTGTACGGGGAATGAGAGGTAACGGGGTCAAAGTTGGGAGGAGAGGTGTGAAGGGAGTGAGTGGTGAGGGATGTGGTGAGATTGGTGAGAGGGGAAATTAATTAAAAGGGGTGGATTGTAAGAGTGGTCAGGGATGAGAGAGGGGAGTGTGTGCGAGAGGGGTGAGGTAAGGTGGTTGCTGTGATATCTGTGAGGTGTGAGGAGTGCACCGAGGGGGTCGTTATGAAGGGGTTTGCCGTCACGTTGTTCACTCAGATGCGCTTCTGCGGCCGTCTGGAACGCTCTTCCGATATTCGGAAGCCACTGAAGCGATGCACTTTTACATTTAGATTGAAAACTCAGTCCTTAAGAACTGCTGTGTTTAGTTGTACTTCCCCCGCACCTATGATTAGCATGGTGGGCAACGTACGGCGCGAAAGAAGTTCAACATAAATAACCATCCCAACGCTCTTAATACTTCACGTCACTTCTCTCCACCTCTCTAACCTCACGACCCTCGCCCATCTCACCACGCCACCACTTTTGCGTCACCTTCCCGCTCGCCCCATGAATCTCATCCCTCCCACCTCACCTCGTAAATCTCGGCGATGTCGTGACGTTTCAAGTACAACTTGAAGTCTCCGTCCCGGTCGGGGACGCGGGCTGCCCCCGCCGCCCCCGCCGTCTTCCCCTTCGCCCTGGTCTCCTCCATCACCCCCACGGCCCCCATCACCCCCACGGCCCCCATCACCTCGATAACCGCGGTCTCCTCCTCCTCCATCCTCATCCCCATCGCCTCCTCCTCCTCCATCACCACCACAGCGCGTCCCGTTGCCGAGCAACCGCCTCGCGGACGTGACGTCACGTCGGGGTGGCGCGCCCAGGTGAGCGAGCCACGTGGGGCAGTGCTGCTCATCTCGTGGGTCAGCACGTGTCCATCAATACTCTTTGGTTTTTTCGGTAAAGTCACGTAGGTCAAAACTAAAATAAATCACGTTTCGGAGGCAACACAAGCTTCCGTCTTCAGGTGGAGCCGTCACCGCAAAATACTGTATCCAAAACGTCGTGATTTAATTTGTTTTTTATTTTATGTTTTACCTACGTGACTTTACCGAAAAAGCCAACGAGTATGGACCCTTGCAGTCACGAAAACTTCAAATCTAGAATTGAAGGATAAGCAAGTGCTTGAGTATAGGCGGTGTAGCGGGTTTAACGACACATTTCTATTTACGTGATCTAACCCTCCCAGAAAACCCTACGTTATGGATATTGGTCGCGAAAGCCTTCGTGTTAAACTCAAACGCTTTAAACCTGGGGAGATGCCCTTTCTGAGGGTGCGAGGCATGGACAGATGTTTTTTAGAAGGTAAATAATCGAAACACAAATTAAGCACGGGCACTACTTTGTTTAATCAAACTTATAGATGTTAACATAAAAAAAACAATTACGATTGATAACCAAAGGGGTGCAGAACCACTGCTTTAGACGGACACTGCATTGCGCATTCACATGCCCTGGAGTTATGCACTTTTAAATCAAGATTTTAAACTCATTTATTTAGAACTTCTTGTTGCGTTTAGTTTGTTGTCCTTGCCCCGCACCTCCGATTAGCATGGTTGGCTTCCGTACCGTGCGAAAGAAGTTCAACATGTATGCATATAATGCAACTATCCATGGCAGCTTCTGCACTTAAACCGATGTCGTCGCTCCGTCTCTCCTCTTTGGGGGGGTCACTCGCTCGTTCGTGTTCACCGCCAGACATGAAACGTGTCCACCAAAGCGCGGCTTTATCAAGCGAATGTCTCGCTTGCGTGGATGTTCCTGTCAGTGCGATTCTAAGCACGGAACTCTCCATGCTCACTTGCCTAAATTTTCTATCTATGCACTGTCAGAAACAAGAAAGTTTGCTTTTTTCTGTCACGCATAGCCTGTTGGATGTATTCAAAGGTTTAAAAATGTCTCAACGTATTACTTTATTCGGTCTTGGTGCCCACAAAATCTAATATGCCGGTTTAATAAAATACGTTTTACAAGTTGGACGTGATATTATAAATCATGAGAACATTACTTCACTGCAGTGTTGCATTTCAACTCATTGCAGACACGAGATTATTTTAAGCTCACAAGTTGAAATAATTAAGTAACGGCTGTGGAATGTCAACTCTGTTTTAATTAATTACACAAGCGAAACAAACACCACAGCCCACGGGACTTTGGGTGGCTATTTTAGTAAGTTAAATATAGGAGAAATATATACAATGCATCGTTTATTAACAATCCGAAATATTTCCGAGGGTTACCACCAATTCTGTGTTGAACAAGTGCTTTTAAAAATATTTGAGTGCCACATCCTTCAGTAAACAAAGATGTAAAGTGAATGTCTACACATCAGCCACCTATAATGTACAACTTAAATTTTACGTATAGCCATTAACCCGAGGGAAAATATAGTCATGGACATTGTATTGCTGTGTGGAAATATACACAATAGTTGTCCAATGGAAAGATGTGCCCGTCATATTAATGTGGAATTTCCACCACTGGCTCAGGGTTGCAAAATGATTAACGCCCCATAAACCACCAATGTTGAATAGTGAATAACCTGATTAAAATGCTAAACAATGTTTCATGTAGGGAATATGCATACACTTCAATTTGCATAAAGTCCTTGTTAATCCACTTTGAGGTTAAGACCTTGGGCCCTGAGCCCTGAGCGCCAGCGTCCAAAGGGCCAAGGGGCAGCCTGGGGTTGAGTTGGCCAGGTCCAGGATCTGGGACCCCAGCCCCTCACCCCCTGTTCCCCTCACCCCCTGTTCCCCTTCCCATACAGTTTTCCACATGGCATCTGGAAATGTTTAAACAATACTCCATCAGTGCTTTGGATACGATATTTTATAACTCTAACATAACTTTTTTTATGGACCACTTGCATTTTCACGACATGGAATAAGAACAGATTGATATATATTACATGTGATGTGATACGAGCACAAGGCATCAGCTGTTCAACAGATTGGAATAAATTGAGCTAAACCTCACAATATGGATTTATGAAATGTCTAAATAGACCACAATTTAAAACAAGGCAATCACAACCACACATCATTGGATAACAGCGCAGTCACAAAACAGAGGGGTGTAAAATTAAATATCACAGCAAGTGTGTGGGCTGGAGGGGGTCATGTGGACACATTAGAGCAACATGAATACAAATTAAATTCTTATGTCATTTGATTCATGTATCCTAACGGGACTGAATCGATGCATCTCTACACCACGATTCAAAATTCTGCTTTCCCTGGTATCTTTTGTCCATCTCGTAATGTTCATACAAACACCAGTGGGGGCTCCATGCGGCTTTCCAAAGGATGACCGTGAAAGAGGGAAAAAAACCATGCAGGCACACTGCAAAGTCCAGACATATGTACAGGAAATGGACTATTATCATGTATTAACAACAGTGGACTATTAGCATCATGGTGAAGCACGCCGTTCGGTATAGAAGCTGTTGAAGTTGATTCGTACGAGGAAGTCTTCGAGGTGAGGTTGATATCCTCGGCTCACCAGCTTTGTCACAACTGAAAATAAGAAAGTTAGAAAGCATTCAATCACAGCGGCAGGGGCATTAACAACATACAATACTATCACGTGACTACAAATCGATGTTAAAGATTTCCAGCATGAGTTTTTAAGACGCGTACAGATCTTTATTCTTAAAATTAAATGCGTTTATGATGCGTACTCCTAAGAACACCAACATTGATCATATCCCACCTGTAATCTCTGCATATGACCAAATCACCCACAATATACCACACCATCAAATTTCAGAAGCCAAGCAGGCTTAAGCCTGGAGCGTGCCACCACCATGCACTCCAGGATGTCAGAGATGGCTGCAGTGCGCTGTCCTTCGTGATGGTCAGTAGAAGCCACAACAGCAAATACATTGTTGTAATGGAGTTATATGCTCTGTCTATGCTACCTACTTTCACAGACCCATACGCACCAGCATGGTGAAATATGGTAAAAGAACCCCAATGGCCTAAATGGCTTGGGAAGACCCTTATCTAGTAGTGGATTGAGGAAAAGAGCTGTACATGTAAACGTAAAAGCTTGCTGAAATTTTCTTAAGCTGAAAGTCATATTAATCCAAATCCTACAGAGACACTACTATAACAGTCAACGGAAGGGTTTGGGAGAGGTGGGGTTTATGCCTCCATGTGCAAAAGAAGATGTAATTTCCACTCACCCTTGTGCAGGAAATGTGAGTAATACTTGAAAGCCTGGTGGGATTCTCTCAGGAGAGCGAAGTTAGGATGTGTGGCCCCGTGCGGGAGGCAATCCCAGGGCCGAGACACCAGCTGCGTATGGAACCGCAGGATGAGGCTGAATATGCTGCGAATCACATTCATCACTGGCGCAGCCTTCTCTGTCAGGAGACCCCTGGGAAAACATTCATCGGTGAGCAGCAAGAGGCGTATGACAGCTTTATTGGTGCATTGGCAGTAAGATTCTATAGCAACTAGTTTCAGGTGGGCCACAATAAAATTGGTGTGCTCATGGGCCATCATGACATTTCATAACATCTGTACGTGTGACCACTAATCTGTGCCTCGTTTGCTGGTCTCTCATCTCTCCTGCGCTCTTTCAACTCACAAATTTTGATCTCTTTCTCAGCAAGCCAATTCTCTCGACGAGCCACAGAACAGGGGTCGCTCCATGGGCCAAATGTGGCCTATGGACCGCCAGTTAAGAAATGTGATGCAGATCATACACCTTGCTATTGAGCAATGAACATGACAGACCATACAGAATGTACAGAGGTTACAAATCAAGTGTTCAGAACGTGACCTCCCATTAAGAACACAACTCAACTGTAGAAACTGAGTATTTAGACCTAGCCTTGCTGATCAATATTAATGCCGAGTGTCAAACACTCACCCCTATACACAGTCTTAACGTCAAACCGCATCAACATGCATCGCAAGGGAGTGTGCACCGTGACATACCTGAATATTGCTGTGTTCAAGTATTCAGCATGGATTCTGTGGAGGTCATCCAAGTTTTTGACAGTCTTCAGATTCGCCTGAAACTCACTCCAGCTCACGTGAAGGATCTGCGTCATGATGTAACCCTGAATGACCTTGACAAAATGCTGCATTTCGTGCCTGAAAAGCTGCAGTTGGTGGAACTGAGTAGAGTGAATGGTCGGCTTCACAAAGGCTGCAATACACACACATGAAGGCCATTAAGGGCGAGTTATTTTAATTACCATTCACTTGATTGTGCTGTGCATGCAGTGTGATTACTTGTCAGGAATCGTGGTATTATTTTCAGCTTGGATCAACACTGCCAAATTACCACGTGTTTATAAATTGTTAAACGAGAGCTTATGACCAAATTGCAAAGAACGCACCCAATCTCGTCAGCAAGATCGAGCTTGGATCGTGTGCAAAACAGATGTTTATAGGCTGCTGTGGGGCTACATTATGGGCAGCAGAGGGCAGCAAGATCCACGAATGTACTGCACTTCTAAGCTTCAGCGTCTGTGCTTGCTGCCTTCAGCCCAGATTGACCAGTGTGGTGAAGTATGTTCCCTATATATTAAAAACAAATGATAGTGATGTTCTACGCATAGTCAAGTCTAGTGCTTCTGCGCGTGGCTTCTTGACACGTGTGTGCACCATGCACCTCCGCTCTTGAGGTGAAACCACACATCCTTGAGGGTCCAAACCATCCTCTCCAGCTGCAGCATCACTGAGAACACCTTGTTGTATTTGGTCAAGCAGCTGTCCGTGATCACTATGTTAAGAGGCCAGTCCACCTGCACATCAAAGGCACAGTGCACTCTACATCAACATCCATGCATCACGTACCCCTTCGTGATATCAGAATAATATCTTTGTGAAGCTAACACAATGGGTTTTCTAAACTTAACATATTTTTGGTCTTTCCCCCCAGTTTTAACCCGATGGTGTTATCGGCATCATGCCGCACCATGAAAATAATAATCCACTCGGATTTCTTGCAAAGCGGTGCAAGACTTAGTGTGAGAAAACAGTCCACACGGAAGTGGATATCATAGAGCTACCTCTGACATCTCTTCAAGCAACTTCTGGTCCTCAGACAGGGGGGCAGCACTTCCCCCACAATGCTCATCGCATGACAGCCAATATATTTTTAATTCTCCGAAATGGAATTGTTAAATTAGGTGCAAAACCACATTTAATGTTATGGCTTTTTGTGCAGTCATTGGTCATTGGGCTGAAACTATGAACTCACTACACTTGAAAACCCGGTTCGACTACAGGTGGTTGGGCCGAATTCGAACCCAGGATCTCAGTGGTATCAGTTAATATTTGTTAAAAATAAATTAACGTCTACGTTGTTAAACTGCGACTAAATACACGTGAGTGCATTTACCTTGTAGCCGAGCTGCAGGCAATTGAGTGCGTCGGGGTCATTTGCTTTGAAGATGTCGGGCACCCGCTTGACAGCCAGGGAGAGGCTGGCAACAGGCAGCGAGTCCCCGTGCTGACTCTCCTGCAGTGCTTTGCCAAGCATGGCGTTGAGGGGCATTGGGCTGAGCAGCTGCGCTGGACTGGGCCCGCTGGCGAGCTGCACACGCGAGCATGGTTACAGGCAAGTGCCAAGGACCGCGTCTCCTGGCAAACGGAACACGCTCCCCAACCGCCTGGCTACAAGCAGTGAGCCTGAGCCGTCATGGCAAACAGCACACACAACGCACCGGCATGGTTGCACTAAGTGCCAAGGATTGCGCCCACTGGCAGGTTCGGGACAACAAACCAATGTGGTTACGTAGTGCCGGTATAACAACATAAAATTCACCATCCTTACTCCAAGCAGTGTGAGTCCCAGTGACAAACTGCACAACCAACACGTGTGTCTGGCTGCAGGTAGGATGGGAGCAATGCCACTGCATGAGTTTTCACGGCTGTGCTGTATAACTCTCTGTGATGTGTTTTTGGGTTGCACCGCGTGTTGTTTGTCAATTTAATTCAGTTTCCGAAGATGCCTCCGCCAGCACGTGGAGAGAAACGTCGGACATCGTGCTGAACAAAACGCGGTAACACCAAAAACACACGGGAGAGTTCCCCTGGCAGACATAACACTCCCTTTACCGGCCTGGCTACGAGCAGTGCCGTCCGTGCTTGTGCCCCCGAGCAAATCTAGGCAGTGCCAGGTTGCACACTCTTGGAAAGCTGCACAACACCTTTGCCTGGTTATAAGTAACACGAGACCGAGTTTCCCTGGCATGTACTGTGAGCTTAGGGCTCCTATTCTTCAGCCATTAAGGCATTACAATACCAATAGAAGAAATGTTCACGTATAGCAGGGCAATATCCCTGCACATAGGGCACTGCCTTTAGATTTTTGTCACAACTATAAGTGTAAATTTACTTTCAATTGCAGTTGTAAACAACAAATGAAGCCATATTAATGTGTTATAACATTTTAAGTTATGGAAATCTTACCTTTGCAAACAGCTGTTCACTCAAGGAATGAGCAAATTCACCATCTTCCAACAACACAAAATGCTTCAATGCTTCAAAATGAGTCTTCACATTCAGGTCTACAATGTAATACTCTACAATTGCTTTATTTACAATTGAAATCCTGAAACACACAAGCACAACACATTGCAAGCATGGGAAATTGAGAACACAATGGAATGAGACATTTTTCCTTATTTGATTGATTCACGTGAGCTGAATTGTGTCCACAGTCGAGTGGAGAGGTAGATGCTTGGAGTTGCACTGGGACAGAAAGGGACACATGGGTTCGAGAAAATACGCAAATTAGAAATATTAAATTGAAGAGTTAGTGGCCTCCGGCAGGCTACTTTGCTAAAAGGAACGATGGCTGGTGGTTGAGGCTAATGATGGAATGGCAGTCAAAGGAGGAATGAAGCCCCAGAGTACATCCACTAAGCAGACGGAGAGATTAAATGAGCCCATGTGCAGGTAGCAAATGGATTGTTACGTTCCATTACCGCGAGAGATTGCGACGGCAATCACCAAGCAGCAGATTAATTGTAGCTGATGATGGATGAGGAACTTTGAAGAGCAACATTTATTTGCGTGATCTTTATCCATATTTAGTTAAATGCAAAAGTGGCAACCCCATTGTATAATAACTCGTAAATATACTTACTGAGCCAAAATGGGTGAAATGATGGACCTCTTCACAAGGACGGGCAGGGGAAGGCGCTGGCTGGCGGTCACGGCGGTGTGGTCGGTGGCGGTGCCCGTGGGCAGCTCAGCTGGGGCATGGGAGTGGCTCTCGTGATGGACCATGGCCTGCAGAAGGTGAGCCACTGGTGGACTCGCTGTTGGGCACACAAAGCCGCTGGGTTAGCAATGAGGGTGGAAGGATTCACCCTTCACTGGTGATTCGATGAATGCTTGTGAATCACGGTTGCGATTCTATTCCAGAATAGATTTTTTTTAAACAGCATTGAACAGTCTGACCCCCAGTGGCGACAGATGATTTTATACAAGAAGAATAGAACAAATATTGATTCTTACACACTAGATGGATGCATGTATCATGAGCTTTACAATCAATTTGAATAAATTAATTAACACATTGTCACACCCCTTGTAACTACACAGGTCTCAACCTTTGAATATAAAAAATAAACACCTAGAGGTCTAAGAGGTCACATTTGTGAAGCCCATTTCTGCACAGTGGCGTAGATACTGAGTGTGTAGGGCGCGCAAGTGCACCGGGGCCCATGGAGCTGAGGGGCCCATGGGCTGGAGGGGCCCGGGGGGGGGGGGGGGGGGAATTGTACAGAGGGGCACCATCTCATTCCTAACACCAGGGCCCATGCCAACCACACTACGCCACTGCCACCTACAGCACAACACAGTCGACACCTGGCCGGTGTACTCACACATGCTGGGAAAGCCATCCTGGTATTTGTCTGCCTCGTACATGTTCGCCAGCGTCTCAAACTGCTGCGCCACGTTCTGGCTGAGCAGCAATTCAGGTGATGTCAGATGTTGACTGGTGGGTGTCACCGGCTCCTGTAACAACACAGTCCCGAACGTTACCTGCTGTAACTGCCAGACAAACCCACTCAAAGCCAAACATGCAAGGCATGTACAGGATTAATACGGCACATGTAGGATAAGATTAACAAGGAATATTAAAATGGTGTAAAATTACCACATTCTCATCGCCAGATGACAAAACCGCCACCACATCTCCTGGTACGTTTGCGTCCAATTCAACCAAATGTGTATCTGCTAAAAAATAAACAATCATTTATTTCATAAGTGATATCATCTTACAATCCATATTAAACATTAAAAGCAATTCACTAAAAAGAAACGCAAATCTCCGTTAATCAATATAGATGTAAAGCATGTATGCTATTGTTTCAATCAATAAAAACCAAGGGACTGCATGAGCTGTCGTGTACGAGAACAAATAAAAATACTCATCACTTTATAAGAGAAATTATAACAGGGAAAAAAATCGCTGTGTTGTGAAGCATTATAAACGATAGTTCATTGTCAGTCCACTGATGGAGCAGGACCTCCCCACACAATGGGGGTTCATGGGGGTTATTTGACTATACTTCACCACGCTGGTCAGTGCGGGATGGGGAAGGCAGGGAGCATAGGTGTGGGGGCATCGATTACAGTCCAATAGATTTTGCTGAACTGCCCACCATGTAGCTCTGCAGCTATAACACCCTGCTGTAAATGGTGGTCACCAACCAAGGCACTGTTTAGATTCCAAGGTCTGGTGAGATCAACTATCACAGGATGCACAAAAAATGCTGGGCTCACCTTCAGACGGATGTTCCTTGCTTCGCTTCTCTCTCATAACATCCTTCATCTGCAGCCGTATCTGGTCACCCCTGGTTTCTATGCCCGGGTTCAATATGTGGCCTATCGTTGAGTCAGACACGTGAGCGTTCGTCTGTTTGCGTTTCGGGATGTGCATCGTTTCCAATGTCGCCAAAACCCCAGATGAGCGGATGCTCGATTGGGAAACGTGGCCGTAAATATGTGTCACAGGCACCGTGACGTGACCTTCTGCAGCCCCTTCTCCAACTCGGACGGTGGCTTTGGTGTCGCGTCCACGAGCGGTTTCTTGAGACGTCGGCGCTTCAACCCCTTTGTGTGTCGTCTCTACATGCACACGAACGAGTGTCGCATGCTCCTCGGATTGTGGATTGGCAACATCACACTCCTCTGTAATTGGAGATAAGTGGATCAACGATCTTGGAATGTCAGGAGCTTCCTGCACGTGAGAACCGGTAATGTCAGTCACGTGTGGAACTGCAGTGAAGGTTGCAGTCTCCAGTTCGTTATGCAAAGGCTGGACTCGATCAGCGATGGATGTAGTGGTCGCCGCGTATAACATGGTTGGAGAAATGCATCTTACAGATGCGGCATCTTTGGAATGTTCTCCAAGAAGGCTACAAGGGGTGGTTGGTTTCAAGGGCAATGAAACGGCTTCAACCACTCCAGGAAAGACATCTTCCGTCGCAAAGTCTCGACTCTCCAAACTCTCAACGACTCTTTCTCCAGCGACTGCATCTCTAACCACTGCACCTCCAGAATCAACTTCTCTGCGTTCCACTCCCCCAGACACAACCGGTGCTGAACTTCTTTCCGTTCGATTTTCCAATTTCAGTTCATCCTAAAAAGTAAAGAGAGGACATTTTTTTTCCCATTTTCCTTTCGACAACATATACAATGATTTTGCGGCTGTGTGCACGTAGTTTTGCGCAGCAGCAGGCTGACCTGCAGTGCGGCACGCTGGCGCTCCAGGAAGGCCGTGCGGGTGTCGTGCAGCTCGAGCCTGCGCCCTCTCCACTGCGCCCTGTGCTCGCGCTTCCTCGCCTCCGCGTACAGCTTTCCGTAGAGTGCCACCAACTCCTCTCTAGATGTGCACCCAAACACAAAACCCCCCCCACCCCCCGTATAGCCTTTAACAGACTGTTGGGGCAAGCGATGTTATTGAGTAGCAGCACCTATGAAGGCCGGCATGGCACACGAGGGAGCGGGTGGGCCAGCACCACACCTGGCCGTCTTCGTCTCCCAAGGGGCGATGTTTACACACCGCACCAGGTACTGATCTGAGGCTGAGTCGACCTCGGGGAGGCCCAGATAATCATAACTGGTGTTGGCCGTGGCCGGAAATCGAACTCAGGTCGCTGGGTTTGTAGTGCAGCTCGCTAACCGTGAGACTACCGCTCCCCAAATACAAGCACGTTCGCACACACATGAATCCTTACCTACGATTAACCTCCAGGAGGAAAACGGGCCCCATTTAAACCTACAGCAATTTGCAAACTGCCCCACACAGGACACATTTTTTAACAGAAAGTCTTTAGTAAAAAAAAAGGAACTTGGCATGATCCAGATCAGAGAAATCTGTAATACCCTCTTCAACTAGGGGTGGAACAGATTCTAGTTGAGATAGCAGGAATAAATTACTGACAGTTCTTTCGGGCTGAACTTTGACACATCTGTTGAGGCTTATATCCCCCTATTACGCTTGTCCAACCGTATACATTTAAAAATGATTTGTTCCATATGCTTTAACGTGTAATTTAAGACTGCATTCTAAAGACAAATTGTATTTTCATATCAGAAAGAGTTTAAACACTCAAATGAGTATTGTTGGGAGACACCATCTCCGCAGAGCATCCTAAAACAAATTATATCAACGTTCTTGCATAATCTGCAACAAGCTGACGCTGCAATGTAAAATATAACTCTATGAAAGAAAGACTCCTGCTTACGTTGGGGATGCGTTCCTGAAAGGTGCGGTGACAAATATCGAAATGTCAATCAAAGCGATTTACAGGGTATGTGGTGGAGGCAAAGGCCGCGGCGACGGATACGATAAAGGATGGACGATGCTGTCAGCGAGTTAAGTGTGGGGTTGAGGCGACGCAAATCAGGTCGCGGTATTAATAAAGTGCGGGCGTATTTGCGAAACGACGTAAATCGGGGAATTACTGGACGAGTGTTTGTGGAGGCGACTCACAGGGAGCCCTAGAGCAGCAAAGAACGCCGCCCCCTTGTAAAAATCGAAGGGCAAGCGGAAGACGGACGTGGTGGTAGGATGGGGGGGATGACACTACGGAGTAGACCCAGCTCGTCGTCGGGAATATCACGAGCAGAAGTGCTGCCACAAATTGGTCGTCGACCGCCGACTGTCGAGCGGTCACTGACGGATGGGAGTGGGTCTTTCAAGCTCCACAAACCTGGCCTGATTCTTCAACATCCCCTCTTCAGCACTGAGCAGTTCATGCTGAGCAAGCATTTTTTTCCTCAATTCAGCATCTTCCGTGACCTTGTTGTCCTTGTCTGTCTGCTGCTTCTAAAATAAACACATCAGAATGAGATTATCGTGAACTTGGAATACTCTGTAAATGTGACTGTTTAAACACAATGCACGCGTTAGAATCCCAGCAGAACGATACTGCTTGGTAAATAGAAATATGACATCAGTCAGCATGGATATGTTTTCAGTTCGAGGCTTACAGCCAACATCCTGTGCAAAGATTGGGGAGGGCGATTCCAAAAACATATTACTCATGTCTGTTATAGCAGAATAAAGTGGACATTATTGCTATCTTGTTAATGTATTTATGGTTTGTATGTTCACTGCAACTGTATCTAAACAATTTTATTGTTACATTTTAGAAAATTATCTATTTGTTTTTTCCATGGTAACATATATTGGAATTGCCCAGGATTTCACTCAACACAAAAAACATTTTGACACAACGCTTTGCTTTTCCCACTCACATGTGGTTGGATTTGGAAAGTTTAACAATAGAACAGCTATCGCATCTTTTTGGAACAGAAAAAAGCATCTTCTCAAAGGAATACATGTAAAGCAGCAGGCCTCCTTAAAAAAACTATCTATAGTTTAACACGTAGGATTCGCAACCAATATTATGATAATAAAGGTTTTGGGTTAGATCGCGTGAGTATAAATGTGTCGTAACCCTCCACCACCCGACACCGCCAGTAAGGTTTAATTGGGGTGTTGTTTACGTGACAAACCTTGCCGGCGGTGTCGGGTGGTGGAGGGTTACGACACATTTATACTCACGCGATCTAACCCAAAAACCTTTATTATGAAACTATCTATAATACCTCGACTGAATACATGGTCGTGTAAACGCATGAGGAATTATCCTGTGGCATCGTAAATGCCTCAAACTGAACGATAACATCGACTGGGCGTCAGTGCTTACAACACTGTGCAGCATTCAACGTCGGTGCGTCGAGTCTCGATAGCTGGGAAAGACCGTTGTACCTGCACGCTCCTGTTGTACTGGTCCTGCAGCTCCTGAAAAACCCGTTTCTTGGCGTCTCGGAATGCCTTCGCTTGCGCCATCTGGTGTCCTGTGGTAGGATAAGATGTAACGAAAACCATGGCTGGTTCGTAGCGATGCAACATGACTTTGCTAGAATAGCACTTTACATTACCAGATTAATGCGTTAATAGACTTTCGGATGACAGCCTCCCCATGTCTTGCAGGTCGTGGGGGTTAAATGACCATACATCATACAAGCTGGTCAGCGTAGGTTGTTAAGACAGGGCACAAAGACATTGGAGCTGAAAATGTGTTGTACAAGTACGCGCATGGTGGATTGATCGTGGTCGATGATGATAATGTCCGTCTTCATTGCAATGGGAGGTCTCTATTACCCTTGGCAATCCCCAGGGCATTGTCCATTGTCCGGTAGACCTGCACCGCCAGTTCTTCCCGTGCAACTGCGGCTCGCTCCTCCTGAAACGTTAAAACACCAAGATGAGCGTCGCACACCGCATGTTTTCACGAAAGCTACAAGGGGTCATCGACTCCAACACCAGCTGTTTGCGTTTCCCTTCCGACCACTTTGTCCCATTACCTGCTGCGCGCGGGCAACTCGCCTCTCCCATGCAATGCGCTCCATGCTCCTCGTGTAGTCGGCGCAACTCCGCTCGATCTCCACCAACTCCGCCAGGGAGAACGTCACCGATATTTGCGGCACAGCGACGTCAGCGCAGCACACGTAGTTCTGTAATGCACGCGTGAAAAGGCAAAAGTAGGCAAATGCTACAAACGTCTATAAAAAATAATAGTTCCTTTTGTCACCATGCTACCCATGAATACATTTGTTGTGCAGACAAACTCATATATTTATCATCCTTGTAATATTTCTAGCCACTTTATTCCTGCTATCTGCAATATTGTGGCTTAGATATTGGGTTTATTCTCCATCTCTTCAACTGAATTTATATCGATGCAGAATGTGAGTGAAGGCATCAAAAGTGTCGTCTGGTTTAATTTCTTCATAAAATGATGAGTTTACCTGTCAACATGCTTGCAATCATATTGGCAGTCACTGACCCTCGAAGAGTGAGGATCAGCTCATAATTTATCAGAGGGGCATATAAATATTATCTTTTACAAGCACGGTTAATCCACAACCGAAATAATCTGCCCAAGGATAATTAAGACTCAGACTTTATTGAGGCAGACAAGGCCATTTGAATTAAACAGCTCTTTTTTTCAAGGGTGATAATGTAAACTGTTCAATAATTAATAGGTATAACTGCACAGTAAACAAGAGTGTGTAATATATTTAAGGTGGATTGGATTACCTGCGGCTGGCAGAGGCGAAGGAGGTTGATGGTTTTTCCGCACACGTAAATGTCATCAGCCAGGCTGCCCAGGAAGAAGGGAACCCTCTCGTCTGCTTGCACAGGGGCCAGCACGTACCCCTGGCCCCAGTAGTGCTTGTCTGGACAAAACATCAGTTGTCAAGCACACGGAGAGCATGTCTGAGAAACAAAACTATAAACACTGAGTCATGTGGGATTTGCAATAGATAGTTGGAGAAACAGTATAACCAATTTCCCCAATAAGAAAGGTCAACGTAGTTTAACACGTAGACTTTCGGGACCAATATCATCCATAAGAGGTGTTTTGGGTAAGAGCACGCAAATATAAATGTAACGTTAAACCTGCCACAACACCCAACACAGCCAATTAGTATGGTTTATCAAGTAAACAAAACATGCCAATTAGTTACTAGTTCAGCACAACGGTGTGTTGGAGAGTAAACTCACAACATTTAAGTAAATAAAGTAGAGAGGAGCAATGAAAACATTTGAAACATAGGTTCTATAATACAACAGTGATTTCACATCAAATCCATATAACCTGGACTTTACGGACCCACATCCATCATAAGCATTACAAATCTGAATGACCAATACAATTAACTACGTTCCAAAGAAGTGTGTTTTCAATAATACGAGTGTTATGTTAATACACGCATAGTTGGTGCTGTGGCCAGACTGTGTGCATCATATTTGGGAAGTTATAAGTTCAAATCCTGCTTCTGGGTTGACCCAGTGTTTTAATCCGTCAGGTATTAATAAAGTCCCACTTTGTGGAAACTCAACCTTGGCCATCTTATGAATATACTCGGTCATTCCATGGGCATGTTGAATTTTCAAACAGCTGGCTTATGCCCACCAATAGCAACAAGAGCCAAGCAGGGAGGAACTTTCACTTTTAATTGTATTCATAAGTGTGATGTATTTTCAGGACAATGTAGAAATCATTTTCTGTAAATATAAATGACAAGTCTGGGACTAAGAGTCCTCTATGTTGTCATCATATAACGGAATTAAAGCCGTGTTAATAAATGTGTGCTGCCATGAACAATTACCTCGAGACAGGAGGTAGTCTTCATTCACACGGATCATGAATTCTCCGTAAACATCTCTGCAGAGGCCGCTGTAAACCCACTCTTGGATAAACCTGAGAGGGTACAACAATCGCTGTTCATATTCAACATTCAAGCAACAGCACTGCTCTGCCTATGACCAAGCATAGAGTGAAAGTGCTGCAGTTCGTGTATTGGGCTACGATTCCCGCGAGCCGAGTTCAACTCCTGGCCATGGCTAACATTGGTGGCGAGTAATATCTGAACAAGTCCCGGTGAATTAATTGTTCTACCCTGAATAACGAATAACCACCAAATGGTTGCACTATGTTGCATGCACGTGTGAGGTAGTAAAGTGCAGACCGCCAGGAAGCCGGTGTTTAATGCTCACCTGGTGTATGGTTCACAAGAGCTCCTCAGTAGTGACAGAATAACGTAGTAATTTCCTTGATCAGAGCAACAGAGGGCCTCCTTGTAGAGGTATGACAACAGCTGCACCCCCTGCAACATGCAAAGCATGGTCAGCCTCTCCCCCAGGCATCCTACATCTTCATGTCTGCCATTCCGACAAACTTGTAGCGCACAAACAATTTGTGGCTTTTAAATATATTTTAAGTGAAACTACTTACATTTGGGCAGTTGTCGAAAAGGGTGCCATTTCTTGAATCGTCTGTGTGAATTCTGCACAGCTCATTCATGTACCTTTAAAAACAAGTGAATAAAGCGTACATTTCCATTTCCATGTTTAGCCTACAAATGTCCAAGCCGTACATTACAATGATAACGATCAAAGATGTGTTTTACATTTGTATAGATACGTCTCAAAAACACCTAAAAAAATCTGGTAACTGTGTTCAGAGGAATTTACCTTAATCGTGTTGAAAACTAACTGACTTGTAAAACACCAAGTGATACGTCACTCCTCTTTGTACATGTTGACAAACAGACCTATTCCAATCCACTGCTGGATGGCAGTCTTTCCACACTACCCTGGTCAGTGTGGGTTTGCTGAAGGAGGGAAGCACAGACGTGCCAGGAGCATGCTAACAGTGCAACAATGGAGTTTGCTGCACTGCCCTCTGTTGCTCACCATGTAGCCTAACACTTTATGACACGTTTTTAATTGTGATCGCCCGTACAAATACTATCCAGGCCAAAGCCTGCTTGGCTCCTTAGGTTTAATAGGATAGGTCATATTCTGGGTAATTTGGTTATAGCCGATTATTTTTGATTTGATCAAAAAACTATTTTTAAATAAAATATGAACAATAGAAACTAACAACGCAAAGTTCTTGGCATTTTTAACGACACGGGGGAGGAGGAGGCAGTACGAACCGAAGCTGCTGCGTCAGCTGTCGGAAGGCGTGTGACAGAGACAGCAGGCTGTGCGAGGGTGGCGCCGACAGCACACACGCCTTGTAGTACTGCAGGTACCTCCTGATGCCGCTCACAAATGCCTGCACGCCCAGAGGGAGCCACACGAGGCACGTTCCAACACCTCTGCGGCGTCTCACTTGGAAACAGTTGCAAACTATCACCGACAAGCTTTCTAAACGCTGCAATTTTAAACTACACCAGTTCCATAAAGTGTTTAAATTACAATAGTTAAAAAAGATGAGGACAAAATATAATTAGTATCAGTTCATAGTCCCCACCAATTCCTCTGTCAACCCAGAACCCTAACCGCACAGCTCAACTTTTTGTCCATGTCATGTATGAACTTCTTTCGCACGTACGTAGTCAACCGTGCTAATCAGAGGTGCAAGCAACGAGGCCATAAAACGTTAAACCTGAGAAAGTCTTGAAAACAATGAGAGGACCTTTAAGAAATCAAGACTGGGAGATTTGGTAGGCTTATTCTTCAAGCAGTGAAGTTGAGCTTTATGACGTGACGTGCGACTCGCCCAGTACGATGTTTAACCTGGAAGATGAAGCCGCGGTGCTGGCCGGCTTCCCGGCAGGACAGCCCCGTGAAGCTGCAGAGCCTCCAGTAGAGTGTCCCGCACTCGGCCAGCGTGCCCAGCAGCGCGTGCAGGCTCTCCGTGGACAGTCCCGACATCGCCACCCCGTCACGCACCACAAACGCCTGCCGGCCCTGTACCCCGACAGAGAAGTCGCGTGGCACTCCCGTTACCAGTGCCTCGGCTTTTTTAGGGGTTTGTAAAAAAGAAAAGGACGTGGTGAAAATCTGCGGCGTATATTTATATGCGTCAAACACGTACGTGGTGAAAAGAAAAGGTCCTGGAGACGACACCCAGCAGCACGTTGAGGGAATCCTGGATGAGGCGAGCGGATGGCACGAGGGACATCGGAGTCGGCGTCGTGCCCCGCAGGAGGTGCGCCTCCGCACGGCGCACGCTGCACACGCGGTCAAACACCGTGCTCCCGGCCTCCGTCACAAACGGCTTCTCGCTCTTCCGTGGACCGCTGGGCAAAGTGAACAAGACACACATTGCTACACCACCAGTGTCGCACAGACAGAGCCGACATAGAAACAATTACAATACAATTTGTGGAAATGGCTGGGTGGCTCAGCAGTCAGGGCATTGAGCTGGCACTGATGAGATCCAGGCTTACGACCTTCCCAATCTTATCTGCTATGACTGACACATTCTATTCATGTCTTGATCAATTACTGACATGTTTCCCAGCTCTTCCTTTCTCACTCCACATGTATAATAAATTCCCTTGTTTTTTACTATGAGCAAATAAAGCTCTAATAATCCACATCTTGCTCTTTTGTACAGTACCTGCAGGAGTCAGTCAAATTTGTTTTTATGAATGTATACATTAAATGTTTGTCATGCAAAGGAATTAATACTCTAAACTGTTCAAGTGGTGAAGTCTGGAAGACCCATACAAGCAGTAATGTATATTTGCCCCCGCAAGATGACTTATTGTTCCCTTTTTCTCGTGTCAAGTCAGAATCAGAATCTTTACATAGACTGGAGGAATCCGATGAGCTATGTAGCTCTTTTTCACAGACTTCCAGTTCTGGGGTGTAACATTTACACCAAAGTCATCATTAACCCAAGGCCACATTCCTTGGGTTAAAATCATACTTTTTCCCCCATTAAGTTTTATTTCACTTACCAGCCAATCCACTCCCAGGTTCTGTTTTTGCATGCCGTGTGGGTGAGAGCAGCTTCCCACAGGTTTGGCAGGTGGCTCTCCACCTGCGAGTCCGGAGTGAGGTTGGAGGCCGACTGGAAGCCCTCGTCATCAGAGAGGTCATACGCACTTGGAACCTACAGCACACGCAGCATGGTGAAGTATGTGATGCCGAAATCAAGGTGAAATTCACCACCAGGCAGACTATATTTACTTGGGGTTGCGGGCCTGTAAACGGATTCGTATTCCACAACAAAATATCTGTCGTCATGAAAGACATACTGCATTTATTTGAATCCAGTATTATGCTATGGTTTTTATTATTTGTATACTAATTCCAATAATTTACCCAGGAAAGCCTGAGTTTTAAGACTCTTTGTCAAGAGGTTGCTGCAATGAGATGCTTGTCCATTATCATTAATGAGTGACGCGAGTAGAAATCCATGCATATGAGGACGTGACACCCAGCTGCTTTCATCCCGATCTTAAGATTGATTTAAAAGTATAATCTTAAACATAAACGAAAGCTAAAAACGTTTTAAAAACTTTTTCTAATAGCAGTATATTCACCTTGATGGACAAGCCAGTGATATCCACATTGTTAGGGATGGATGGCAGATCAAGCTTGATGTCCATGTCCATTGTTTTAGTATGAACCAGTGCCCCAAACAAGGACAGATGTGTCTGCTTCTCGTACTCATTACAGACTAACGTGTTCTGTTTAAACAACCCTGTTCCTGCGAGACCACTTCCAGGAGTGGATGTGAAAAGCTGCATGTTCCTCTCGATTTCATCTTCGAACAGAGGATCTCTCAACGTGTTTTGCGCAAAGCAATCAGCTTCAAAGTAGTTGAGGTCACAGCACTGATACCCCTTGAACCTGCACACTCTGCTGGGCACAGCGTCATCTCCGTAACGCTTTGGAACGATTCCGCAGCTGCGGAGTGCGCCTCCCGAGTCGACGAGCTCCAGGAGAAACACCACGGTCGCGCTGACGCCATCGTCCGCCAGGTCTTCCAGCTGCTGCCCGAGTTCTTCGAGGCGGTCGGCTTCGCCGCCTCTTCCTCTCACCCGCATGTCAAAGGACACCATGAGCAACCTGGTCTTCACGGTTGGCGAGCGCTCCTCTAATGCCACCGTCTCCTGGCGCGGTCCTCCTTCGCCGCTCAAGACGTTCCTGAACAAAGCGGTGTACGCCGACTTTTTCAACTTCGACTTCATGGCTTCCCAGTTGGGCATCGTTCTTTCGGTGAGGGGCCTCCTGAAGTTTGCCACCATGTGCGCCGTGCACAGGTCTTCGAAAAGTTGCGGGACGCTCATCGTGTCGCGCGAGGACCCTTGACATATACAATGCAACATAAACACCCGTTAATACATCCGAACGGCACAATATAACGATGTAAACTCAACTCATCAACAAGCACTGGATGTCCCCCCTAATGACTTGTACTCCTGGATCGTACATTCCGTTTTAATATTGACATCTCATATAAATAAGGCAGTCAAGCATCACCATTGAAAATTGAAATGTTTTTTAATGGATAGTAAGTTGACATTTGTGCCACGATATACTCAAGTCTGTACGTATAACAATAAACGTCCTAAAATAAAAAAAGTGATGATGGTGAGCTGTAAGACTCAAGTCAGTGCGCTGCCAGTGATATCATTGATCATAAACCTGACTCTCAGTAGCTTTGAGACTGATGGCTGTGGTGATTAAGGGAGCTAAATTTAACGAAATGATTTTATTTTATTTTATACCTACGTGACTTTATCGAAAGAACTAAAGAGTATTAACGAAGTGATGTCAGTGATGACTGTGGCTAGGGTTCTTCGACTACTATAAATTCCCTAACATGATCATCCACTCCGATGAGCCGTCAGGTGTGGCCAGGTTACCTCTGAAAAATAGCTCTCGTGTGTGGTTGATGTGTGCCAGGCTGATAATATAATTAAGTGTGGGGGACACACAACAGCTCCATGGGCATGCTACAACAGCGATCTGTGTCGACTTACCGCGTGCAGATCTTCTGTACGGGCACTCCATTGTGTTCCAACTGTCTGCGTACACAGGTCTCGTTTGTGTTAAATGCTCAACACTTTGTGACGTCCTGTGTTTGTGTTATACATTGTGTACCATAGTAAACACCGTGTGTACTGTCCCCAATGTGTGTTATATCAACATAGTCTGTGTTAATCATTAACCATAATAGTTTGTGTTAAATGTTCAACACTTTGTGACGTCCTGTGTTTGTGTTACACATTGTGTGCGGTAGTAAACACCGTGTGTACTGTCTACAATGTGTGTTATATCAACATTACCACCGTTTCTGTGTTAAATGCACTGTTTAACACACTGTTTAACACACAATGTGTAGAATATTTGCGTTTCGCACTAAGCGTGTGCGGTAAACGCAGAACACACAACGTGCGTTAGCATTCAGTAAACCACCTGCATACAGCCGCTGTGGATTCGTGTTAATGAAACTGTATATGCGTTAAACGCGTCGTGCATTTTAAATGAAACAAACATAATGTAAGCACTGTAGTCGATAGTTTAATACGTACCTCTTAAACAAGCCCAATGTACGAGGAGTTTGCGTGGCGGTCGCTGTCAATGTAAACCTCCCACGCGTTCGACAGAGAACACGCCGAGATGTCGACTCCCTGCCTCCTCCACGCGTCTGTGCACATTAAACATCGCTGCTGAACGACTCAAAACGTCGTCGTCTTCGTTGTTTTACTTCGAAGGGCTCGGAGCGAGAAGTGGAAGACGAACCGGGATTGCCCGCAGCCTGCGCTAGGCCGCAAACGCCGCCAGAGCCGCGGGCGCCCTCACCCCGCACACCGCCTCAGCTAAATTAACAACAACGACCACGATGATATAGAGTATAGACTGTGCACGGTACTGTCGCTACGATTACAACAATCGTAGCTCTTTAACAGCCCCCCACACACACACAGACCCCGGTGCGCTTCGGGGCTGAGGGTGACCCGCTCCTGCCTCCTCCTCCTCCCGCCCCGTCGAGCGAGGGTCAAAGCCGGCTTCGGTGCGGAGACGAACCTCGTTCATTGATCATCGTCTCGCGAACGTGGAAGCGGCGTTATCACTCAGAATTCCGAGTGTCTTTGCGTCAGTAAGATGCCGGCATCGCCCTGCAGGGATCTATCTGCCTTGAGGCTGGAGCAGCTTCGCGTTACCGCGGCGACTTCTGCCACAGCAAAGGCCTCAGGGCGCTTGCTTGAACACTTGAACACACGCTTCAGGATACTATTGGTCTGTAAAGACGTGTTCTATGTTTGTTTCTCTGTGTATGTGCAGACACAGGACGAAGAGGTCGTCAGATCGAGATACCCGCCGGGTATTTGCGCGCTCTGAGTTTCTGCATCTCACCATCACCACCACACTGGAATGGGCGAGTGAGAGTTTGTTGCTATGTACGGAATTAAAAAAAAAAAAATTTGAGCGCGTAACATTTGTGAAAAGTTACTATTCAACGAAGTGCTGCTTTCACGCGATTTTTAAATGTTAGTAAAAAAATGGAAATTTAAGTTTGGGAAATATTACACCTCCGGTTTACGACAATCAGATTTGCTACCCGAATTTACGACGGCTACGCGAGCCCACGGCCGATTTGCTTTACGGCACAGACCCCCCCTCAAATATGACGTCACAAAGCTCTGCCCCCCCCCCCTCCAAAAAAAATAAACATGCTTCAAATCGCTTTAAACTATTGTCATTGTAGTGCGTATTTAATGTGGCGCTGCACTCTGATGTAGTAGGAGAAAACATTTATTAAAAAGTCTATTTAATTAAGTAGAACGTGTTGTCTATATTTATTTAAAGTTGCGCATTTTGATGTGACGTCACACATCGTCACAAATGTCTGACCCCCCCCCCCAGGTGCGTGACGTCATTTATGAACAGCCCCAAAGTGTCTTTAGCCGTTTAATAATTATAAGTCCACGAGGAGAGCGTGTAGCCTGCCAATCTTCTAATTGGCCCTTTGCACAGACATTAGGGGGCCCTTTAACACGCCGGCTTTCGCGACCAATATCCATCATGAAGCTGGTTGTAGTTACTGGCGAAACGTCCTTAGATTCTAAATGTTGTGGATTTGCTCTCCAACACATCGGTTAGTGCTGTACTAGTAACGCATCGGCATGTTCTGTTTACGTGGCAAGCCTTTATAATTGGCTGTGTCGGGTGGTGGCGGGTTTAACGACACGTTTACGCGATCTAACTAAAAAAATAACAAAAAACCTATACAGTATTATGGATTCGGGCCCTTCCCTATCAAGTTCCAGTGTTGCCAACTTCTTACAGCGTAAAGTCGCTAGATGTCGCTAGATAGCACTAAAGTCTTAAAATACACGCGCATTCGGCGAGAAATGTGGCCTTAAAAGCGAAACATGTATAATTGGCGACGTTTCGGACATTGACCCTGATTCATAGCACACTCATTGCCTGTGCACCACTATCAGCGCAGCATTACCAAATAATTTAAAGTGAAGTCTTAAGTAGATAACTCACCAAGTATGAAACATTGTCGGAGGATACTTGAACATTTTGTTGCAAAATAAACCCCAAAACTCGCCAAATTTAGCGACACAATCGTCAAGTATTGCAACAGTTCTGCCCACTACTCAAAAGCCCTGACCTCATCCCGAATCGTGAGTCCAGGACATCGTGAACCACGACCAATTTCTGATTATTGTGTTTTCTGACACAGTTTCTCCTGGACACCGGGACATTCTTCGCGAATCTGGGACAAACCGGGAGGAGGTTTGAGCTTCAGTGGCTCCTGGCCTTCGTACTCCGTACATGGTGGATTGAGAGACGATGTCAGGGAAGGAATCACTCGAGTGGTCACCACACGAAGATGATGGCCGTGTTTGGACACGTCACATACGTATCGTGTCACATGTCACATACATGTGACACGATACCTTGAACATATATGCGAGATGAAACGGGTATGTAATATTGTATCGATCATCGAAATGAAAACTTGCCTGGGGTGTGACAAAATTTCCCCCTGGATGCAAGATCAATGTGCTGATGGTAGAGACATGTAAAGTATGTACATGTCAATCCACTGCTGGATGAGGGCCTTCCGATGCCGTGCAGATCGTGGAGGTTGTTTGACCATCGCCACGCTGTCGAGTGCAGGTTGGTGAAGGTGTGGTGCTCACACGTGGGAGCATAGAAGTATAGTACAGCAAAACAATGCATTGACATGCATTACACTTTAGTATTAAAAATGTGGAACATCGTCTGCAAGTACCGTATGCTTAACTTACTTTTTTTAACGCAGCTGCTGAGCGCCGGGCAAAGGGGGGGGGGGATTTCAAAGTCGCGCAATGCGAGGGAATAAGTGTTTTGATCTGCAGTGTTAATGATCGAACGCAGTGTGGGTGCAATGAAACGACGAGAGTGGTAGAGGTGCACTCGTCTAAATGTCCCCCAGATAGCGACCACAACCACCCTCAACATCCACCTCTAGCAGACCTCACCAGCCGGCGACAAAGACAGCACAGCAAGATGAGTCACAGCCCCGTCTATTCATGCCTTCTGGTCTTTATTTTATACAGTATGTCGTAATTTTTACTAATGTATAAACAGTCCGTAGGCATGAGCCCTCCAAATGATCTACATTTGAAGCAATTGCTCCATTACCACATATACAAATTAGCACAGACTACCTGGTTAGGTCATCATGGGCTCACAGCATTCCCACTTCTCACCACAAAGCACTTATTACGATGCTATGCATATGGATAGTACACGTCACTTTTACACACAAATAGCAAATGTTGTTTAATTGCCACGAACAAAATGGGGAAAAATAAACACCGTAATTCCGATACAAATCAAAACATTTCTTTCGTAAGCTGTGTCACCCTTGTAGGTCACTGCATAATGAATGACCACTGCCAATCTTAGAATCGTCCAAAAATGAACCAGTTGTTGGGCGAGACCAGATAATTATGCAATTGTAAATACCTCAATTAGGCATAAACGTCTGCAATTAAGAAAACCAAACCAAGCACCTGAAAGCAATTTGTAAAAACAAACATCAGCACATCTTGAAGTTTTTGTTGTATACTGTATGTAAAATGTAAAAAAATAATTCCAAAGCTTTGCAAAGGCAGTGTAACGATGAGGATGTAAGAAGGCAGATTAATGAAATGCATTCGTGACACCCAGTTCTCTTCAATACTTTTGGCTGCTGACCTACATCAGAGGGAGCCATACAACTCTCCGCACTTGTCACTGATAATACTTTTGTATTAGCGTTTTTGTATTCTCTGTTGTGTATATTACATACACATATTGCCTCAACTGTGTTGTTTGTGAACATATTTGCCTGCAGTAACTTCCCCACCGAGTATTTATCTCAAATTCCCTGATTGAGCACCTCCAAATGTGCTGCGTGGGAAGGAGGCGCGCGTGTTGAGACGAAATAACGACTGTGTCAAATGTTGCCTCCCGACAGTGGCGCCTGGGGTATCGCACCGTTGGACGGACACCTTGGGGGGAAACTCGGAGCGTTGTTCCTTGCAGTCCCCAAATCTTATCTCCACCAGCTGTGTGCAGGGTAGACACATAACGTAGCCTTCGCTCAGGCATAACTCCGGGAAAGTTGACAATGAAGTTGTGCGTTATCAATGTAATGTCTTTACAGTTTGATGATTAATGTTGTCGGACGTGCTTCTCACATTACCATGCTAATTATGGCAACAAGTACACTAGGCCGGATGCTTTGGGGAAATGGCTCTTCCTTTCAAAAGAGAGTAAGGGCCGTTGCCTAATACATCATACTATACATTACATTTGTCTGTCATTAACGCTACATACGCCAGACGATAAGTTTAAGTCCTGCTGGATGAAGGCCTCGCCACGACGTGTTGATCATGGGGCTTGTTTGAACCATACTTCACCATGCTGGTCAGTGCGGGTTTGGTGGATGTGGGACCAGAACGAATTCAGTTATCACTTCCTCACTGATGTTAGCCGTGGCCAGGAATCTCGGGTTTCCAGGTTTTTCGGGCAGTGCATAAATTGCGATGCCTCTGCTTCGTCCCCAATGTAATTAAAAGGCAGGGTTGATGCTGAATATGGCAATACTTTTTTCACCACTGCCAAAGCATTCTTTTGTCTACTTCCATGCTAACGATGGTTAGTTTATGGAGTCATTTGTTACGCCATTCTAAGTATTCACTCGCTTTAATTGCCCTGTGACGTCCCAGTGAAGCAATCAACAGCAGCCTCCACTCGTCAATTCTCCAACAGCGTTAATGTCAGCGTAAGTAGCCCCGCTGTGTGATATTGCTTCTCTTATTACTCCGCACAGCAGCTTCACTTTGGTTTTGCCCACGGCTGTTTGGAGATTGGGAATGCGCGCGTGCTGCGGGGAAATTAAAGGGGAATTTTTTTACCGATACAGTCTGCTTCATGGGAATCCAGTTTGCATCCCAAATCCTGTATTTTTGTGGCCCTAATACACATCCCGTGGTACAAATTATAAAACAGCACGTTGTACAAAACGCATGCGTCTCAAGCACTCGCGTTAACGAGAAAAAAGTGTCGACAAAATAGGTTCCAGTTTAAAACAATTACTTCTATAATTCACAGTATAAGGTTTCGACTAAAGCCAGAAAGCGTCCATAAGCCCTCGCTGCAGCTCATTAAAAATACGGCAGTCAAAGAGTAATCCTGGTCAGACATCGGCGGGATAGATTTACTCCGAAAGAGATAAATAAAGTCAACATTTAGATCGGCAGGTCTTTTCTCCGATAATCAGCTGTTGCCCATCACCCTAAGCCACATGATGCACAAGGGCAATTGTTTCCGGCAAGTCACTGGTAATGCTTTTACAATGAGCAACTGTGGCAAGTCGATGAAAGCAAATACAAATTAGTTCTATCCGGCAATTAAAACATCGTTAAAAAGTGAGTTGAGTTGAACAGTGGCCTTGGGCAGTCATGCGACCTCTGATCTCTATGATTTTGATTGGACATTGCGCCTACTTGGATGAGCAGCGATCCTATTTGTCCAGATGTGGGCGACTCAGTTTTCTTTACAACAGAATATCGGGCAGTAACCATGAACAGTAATTTTTTTCCCAACAGTATATCGTGGCCTTATCTCGTAACCCCATCTCGTAACCCCGTGGTTCCTTGCAGAATAACCAACTCTCGACCATGCAGCAGACAATTTCTGCACGAGGTTTGTTTTGGTTCCGACCAAATTCCGACAACGTAAACCAAGAGCCTAGCCTGCCAGCGGCACCCACTCCATTGATTAAATAACTCGGTCCTAGCTCAACCAATTACACTTAACATCAGTAGAAAAAAAATACTATTGGCAGAGTCACACAAAGAGTCTAAACCCGCAAACGTTACATGGGTAAATGAGCGGATTCTTATGTCCGGTGCAAAAAATTAATCCACGCAAGAAGAGGGGATTTCCTTTTTTTTAAGCCTCTAAAATGCGACTCTCCGAGCTGGTGTTTGACAAATAACAAAAGGCACGCGAGCAGAGGGGCACGCATATCACGA